ACAATTTTGCCACTGTAGTATTAACTAAAAGCACACCAAAATTAAACATCAAACAAAGTACAGTATATGGCCTTATCTAGACCTTTGAAAGTATTCATTCTTCGCTAATAATTTTTTAATTGAAAACGCAGTACCATAGCAGTTTACAGTAGTTCTAGAATTTAACCGAACGAATGCAATTGCATTATGGTTTCATTGATCACTTCAACTTCAACTGTTTCACCTCAATCCCTTTCTATGAAAATCTTGAGTGCTTTTCCATATTCGCGATATGTCTTATTACAGATCCTAATTCAGCGATATATCTTCATCAAATGGATTTATAGAGGTTTTTTGACGGATTCAATTATGACTTAGTGGTACTATACATGAATTTCATCGCTTAGTTCACTTTTAATATAGAGACATATTATTGTGTAAAGTGTTCAGTTTAAACCAATATAGATAGAATTCACGTCCATTATGGCCACAATTGCTTGACTTATTAGGATGATTTAATTCTAGAAAGGATATATTGAAGCTTTAAAGGCAAAGGATACATGCATAATAAATTATCTTCATATAGTAATTAAAATGCATTGAGTTGGGTTAAAGTAAATATGGTAAATAAGCAAAATCAATGGGGTGTAAGAAAAGAGAATGGCGTTCTGATATAGCCGTACCCAATATTGCTTAGATTTTTTTCAGTCTATAGTAATTAAATCTAATATTTATCCGTCGAAGAAATTCGGTAGGAAAAAACGAAATTTCGTCAGTATGAATTCACTGATTATTTCCAAAAAAGACAATAATTAAGTAGTGGCGAGTTACGATCAGTCTACAGTATATTTAGCTAGCTATTAAGCAGATCCTAAAAGGTGTATTGATTAATTCAAAGTTCAGAAAATTCACTAAAAATGTTCGAGTGAAAGTGAGACACTAATAAAAACGCTATTTCATATCCATTTTTTTCTTAATACAGTAATAATAATTATGTTTATTGGATCTAAAGTAGAAATGATAGCTCGAATCAATGAATAATGAATATAATTTAAAGAACTCTGCATTGAAAATCTAATTTTAATTAAATGACGATTACCATCTGTATTTGCATCTAACGGTCCAGTGAAACTTTCGTAACTTATATGAATTAAGCTATATGATCAATATCAATAGAACAAAGAATGAATTATTTTTTAATTCTCATCTCAGGGTACTATCCTTTGCTTTATTTCATATAACAATAAAAACTACAGTAAAGTAAGTTACAGTATACTTCTATTGCAGATGTAATAGCTGAAGTTCATTATGAATAAGGATATAAGGTTAGCCTTCGTAAACTCGAATGTTTGCATTGGGGATTCTTGATGCCGTAACTGAACCAATATATTTAAGATTAAGTAAACTGTTAAATGTACAATCGGAACTGAACGAGAAACGATAGCAGGAAAAGTGTTTACGATATCATGAAGTAAAGTAAGCTACAGAATGATATTCAGATCTCAATATCGGTTCATCACTGTTAGGGTTGAATGAATATATTAGGACTTTTCGTTATAGTGTTTAGAATAAAGTAAATAGATAGAGAAGGTCTTCTCTATCTGTAAATTAAATTCTTAGCAGATCAAGAACTGAAGTACAGTAGTTAGTAAACGCTACGATACTAATAAGCACAATTATTACCTAAAGTTGTCAGCAAGAAGAAATAAGGATAAATTCACACTTAAAACAACGTAATAATTCTATAATCTATCATATTAATCATCACTATTCACATAGCATAACTAATCTTTTGACTAATAAGCCAATTATGTAAAATAATAGTTTATGCATATAATAATCAAAAAGAGATGTTAACCGGTTTAATAGAATGGATTTCTAATAATTTTCGTACTTAAATTGATTTAAAGAATGGAAACTATTTTTGACTCGATTTTAGTTTTCATCATTTCAATTGGGTTTCATAAGCTAAGGAAGTTAACTTGATTTTCATAATACAAATTCGTTCTGTAACATTTAGGATAAATCGTAGTCAAGTAGAAATGTAGTAGTTACTACATTAACCTAAAAAAATGATATTATTCTATATAGATATCCTGTTTGTCTAAAAATAATTTTTTTGATCTTAGCAAACGAGAATGAACTGTCTACCTAGAAAAACATCGCAGAATTTCTAAATCGTATTAGTACTTGTCACCTAGTCGTTACTGTGATATAGCCGATATATCGAACTTCTCTCTCCCTTGCAACAATTACGCTCTTTGGTTCATTTGGTTGCTATGGAAGATAACTTGCAAAGTTAAAAATAGCTCTAGCGATATCTTCAAATGTAAGTATTGACGATATTCTTGGTATCATTATTGTACACTACTTGCTGATAAAATGATAATCGATAAATGAAGTTTATGAATAGTGCAAAACTTGATAATTTGCATGTCTAAATGCGTAACTATTTTCAACAGTTTAAATTGCAGTAATAAGCTGGTTTCAATTGCTTACGGCAATCGTACTCTATTTTTCCTGTCGATCCTCAGATAGTAACTTGGTGGAACGCTATGCACTAGTTTTCGATATATAACCTTAGTAGAAGGAAATTAATATTAGTAATCGTAAGATTAGCTGCGAAAGTATAGGGATTCTCGGTTGATTACTTAGATTTGATATGGATTATTGCTATCAACGAGACCTATCACGGATACAAAATGGGCGTCTTTCCGCAATCCTTAAAATTTAATCTTACTATTCATATCAGGGAATAACTATATTCGTAGTGATGAGATACCTTAATGGATGATAAATTCTGTTATCTATTTAATACCTGTTAATAATACTAGCAACAGCTGAATTACGGCAGTTTCAGTCTATAGGCGGTAAAGATATCATAACTATTTCGTATATAAATATATCATAAAACTTAATTGAACGAAATTTTCTACATGCTCATTTTTAACCTTTTCTACTTTACCCTTCCATTTATCAGTCGTCATATTTTCATCCCTAGAAATTTAAAATGACCCAAGCAAGCTTTAAATTAGTACGAAACATCCCCACAGAATATCGCGGATGGTATAAGTAGAAGTTAATTTATTCTTTGTTAGGATTCCATACAATTAAATAAACTAGATATTTCATGTAGTAAGCATAAGTATCTTCTATTTGATACTGATTTTATGTCGAATTTCTGCTAAAAAGATGACAAATTATTTTAACGGGTGGTGTCGTAACTAGTAGAACTATCTTACTTCATGCTATATCATGTTAACCTTGCTACAGTTTACGTTCTCATCATTTGGTGATATTGATTATAGTTATTGATTAATAATGAAAGACACAATATAGTAATGTTTAAGTAATTAGATCTGATGATATCGGAAGCTTAAAGGATGGGTCCTATTATACATATATTATTAATTGAAGAGAAAGATCAGTAAATAAAAATGGAATACACTACTACCAAGTATCATCACCTTATAACAGTGTTTTTCGATGACGTAAACAAGCTATGCATTCGTAAGGACACTATACATAATTTCTGCATTATTGATTAATTCATTACCTTCTGAATTCTTTTTCATGCGGATATAAAAGATCTATAATATCTGAGATATCATTAAAGTAAAAATGTAAGCATCAAAAATTAAAACCAATTGCAAAATAGCAGTATCCATTTAGTGTAACTGTTTATACAGTATATTCAACTTTTATCCATACGTATAGTATAATATGCGCTCATATTTGTGTCATAATAAACTCCCTAGGTGGCATCCTTGTTAGACTGCTGTGTGTTTTAATAACATGCTACTTGGCTGTAAATATCGTGATATAATACTCAATTTGTATTGTATCTTATTGAACCAGTTAGGGTAATATCATCATATATTCTTTTAATAACTATGATTATTCGTATTATCAATAGTTTCAGGAGAATCTTACGTAAGATGAGAATTCATTTTTTGGATCGTATCTTCAATAGAGGCTCGTCATCAACAGTCCATATTCTTAATCCTTCACAATTTACTGATTGTATCCAAAATAAAATCGTCATGGAAGACGACCAGCACCTTGATGACTTTTATCGGGAAAAGAAATCGCGATACCAAAGTCGAGTAGATTTTTGCTTAATTATCAGCATTTTAATTGTGCTTTGTTGTACTATGATGATTTTTAGCTTAATAAGCTACCTGAAACTATCAAATGCCATTAATAAGGAGGCAGTTATAAGTAATAGGATCCAAATTACTTTGGAATGCTTACACATGAATCAATTATTATTACAGGAACGCGACGTCTCATCACGCTATGTTTATGGCAATTATTCAAAAGAATTTTATCAATCGAATGTATTACCTTCACGCCAAATAACTGATCAATACTTTACCGATCAATATTTAAATAAATTACATAACCAATCTGTGTTAATGGTAGATAAATTTAAAATTAAACAAATGGTAAGGCAGTTCCGCCTTTTAATTGATTCTGGTAACCGAAATTTAACTAAAATTTTTCGATTTTATACTTCTATTATAACTCAAAATCATGAAGTTGCTATACAATATATACAGCAAGTTGACGTTATTCATTTTTGGCACGATATTGCATCGTTTGTATTTTTATTAAAGAGTATGGAAGCATTAGAAACAGAGCAAATTACTGGCGGCGTTTACTACCAATATGGCTACTTTCCGAAAAGAAAGCATCACTTCGCATTTATTAGACAAGCGTCTGAAAAGCAATTATATATTATGCAAGCTAGTAAACATTCCAGTTTATATTCGTTTTTCTATGAGCAGGAATTTGTAAATGCTTCAATCGAAGGGGAGATTGAAGATCTAGAAGAACGTATGGGTCGTAACATGTCTACTCAGACTAATATACAAAATCGTTTTCACTGGCTTAATGTTACAACTTCATATAATAAAAAGTTATATGCAGTAGCGGAAAATCTTGGCAAAGCTATTACAGCATCAAATTCCTTATCTCATATTCTCCGTTATCATCAGTTGCCATTATCAATTGCAGCGATGGTTGTAGTATTAGTAACGGCTTTATTTTTAGGTATTGCTGTTGGACGTATTCTATGTTCCAGTTATACCACGATTAAAGCTACTGTAAATCAGACTGAAATTATCGAAATGGAAAAAGAAAATACAGATCGGCTGTTAGAACAGTTGTTACCGCCGACTGTAGCTCAGCAACTCAAACAATGTAAAACTGTTCGTGCAGAAGCATTCGATGATGTTACTATTTATTGCAGTGATATATGCGGTTTTACTAATATTTGCCATAGTTGGCGACCTATTCAAGTTGTCTACATGCTTAATGGATTATATACGTTATTTGATCGAATTATCGATCGATACAGCGTTTATAAGTTAGAGACTATTGGTGATGCTTATATTGCGGTATCTGGTGCACCAAAAACGCTTCAACAACGCCAGCATGCAAAAGAAATTGCTTGTATGGCACTAGATATTGTCGAAGGAATGAAAACACTTCGAATACCTAATATGCTAGATACACAATTGTCAATGAGAATCGGTATTCACACGGGTAAGTCAATTTATGTTTATTTGGCAGATATGGGACGATGTAGACATGGCTAGTTTTCATATTTTTACATGCTGAAAGAAAATGATTCAATCAATTACAGTACCATATCGCTTGAGATATCATAGTTGCGGGATTGGTGTTAAATTTAAAAGAGCAATTTTAATTGAGTTTAAATAGCTGTTATGCTTTGACAAGTCAAATAGAATAAGTATTCAGTATATGTTTTAGCATTTCCTTTGGTTCTAACTGTTATAGAAGCACTTATCGCTCTAGTTATAGCCATAAATGGTAAATACTCGATTACATTCGTTGCTCTCGTTCTTATTACCCGGGCAACTTCTAAAGTTGTAGCCTAAAGCTTATTTCATACATGTTCTGTTGTGAGTAAACTTCTTTTAATAGTCTACGTCTTGCGGTATATTTAAAGGTCCTTGTGCCGCAGGAGTGGTTGGATTGAAAATGCCGCGGTATTGTCTCTTTGGTGATACCGTCAATTTGGCATCTAAAATCGAATCAACAGGAAAAGGTAAGGGCATTTATAATTAATAAGATCGGAAAGTATTCCATCTAAATTTAAACAGACTTAATAAGTTATTGTAGTCACTCGATCTCTATCCTTAATTCCATTTTGTATGATAACTGGATAGATTATGGCCATAGCGCTGTCATAAATCTGTATTCCATAAATCACGACCGTTTATTGAGATATCCAATAGCTGCAGCTGTAATCTGCTAATTTAAATAAGATTTCATGGCTGGAAATTAAAATTTCCACTAGCTATTCGTGTATTTGAATTCAAAAGAATGAAATAATTCGTCCATACAGCACTAGTTTTCGGTACGGCAGCTTTCATCATTTGGTTTTATTTATATTGCAGAAGCGATCGAATCTAGCTGCTTTGCAGCTACCAAGTTTAGATTTCTTTATTCTAAGCAATTGTAATAATTATATCATTATACCTGAATAAGTTTATACGCTATTTGATTTATAGTACGGCTGATAATCGCTTTAGCCATCAAGTTTAGATTTCCGTAAAAATAAATTAACGCGCATACGAATCACCCGTTCAATAGTAAATTGATTCCCATCATGTTCATATAGGACATGAGCACCATTTGTCCTTAAATTAATCATAGATCGAAATCAGATCTGTAGTTGAAGTTATTATCGTGATCGAATGCTAGACTTGTGTGGGCTACAAATCAGTAAAGTGTATCTACAAAGAATCTCTTTTTAAATTTATTCAATTCATTTGATTAATTGACGATGATGAATAACCTTATAAATTCAGAAGAACGCGTTTGTTGATTTAACATAAAGGTCAACCTACATGGGCATATTTTATATAGCAATGAGTATCTAATATTTTTAGGATGATGTATACAGTAGTTGGGTACCGGTAATTTTACCCCCATGAACTGTATTGGCCTAGTAAAAGAGAAGAATCAGGATGGGTATTCATATTGAATACTCGTGTCGCATGCTAGAAATATTCACGAATGAGTTGACTAAAATTTTAAGCGTATGATGCTGCGTGAAATTGAATCTTCCTATACTGGAATAGGTAAAATTATAAAATGATCATTGATGATTAAAAGGAGTAAGGTACTAAATGCTTTTCATTCCAAACTATTCCTGCAATGAAAAGATGCATGTAGGGAGATCGAATTATTCTACATTAAATCATCACGGAAAAATGTTACTGGAAATAAGGTTGTTCCTTCTTTTTCCTTATTATACGTAACCTTCATCAAAATTATTATCATCCTCCCTGGCAAATAGAATTAGCTCTAGTATACCTCGTTTCTGTTTTTTTTAGTAAAAGGAAGGAAATGATTATTATATGATAGAAATACATAATCAATTAATAAAATACCTGCCAGTTTAATATTTTATAACTGTCTACATACTACATGCTCGTACGTGTAGGAAAGAGCTATACGCATACATAAAAATAGCCCAATCAAAACCTAAATGGAAAGTAGTGTTACTATGAGCGTATTGCGAATTCAGCTGCTGATAATAGTTAAAGCTTCCGCTGCTTTTTGATAGTTTTGGATATTAAAGCTAATTCTTTTTTGGTTCCAATTATACAGATACTTTTGATATCAAAGTGGCTATAAATTTAAATTTCTTTGGTCACTTCCTATAACAAATGCTTGATCTCGCGAATGATAGTGGATAATCGTTCTTAATTATTTAGTAATTAAGATTTCAATTAAGCAAAAATTATGCAACGTTCCTTAATTATTGAAAATTGACGACTTGCATTGTTAATATTATCTAGCCGTACATCGATTGGGTAATAGTAAATATCGATGTTCGATTAACCAAATCATCTGCATTCAATTTCACAAAAGGCTTTAGTGCGATATATCGTCTACGATAGTCAAATTGAATTATTCTGTTGAATTACCTAGTTAAATCAGAGAACGAAATCTAAGATAAATTCATTATACATTTTATCAAGTTTATAAACTATCGATCAAGCCTATTAATAGAAATCACTTAAGTTTTTTGAAATCAGCTTTAATTGAAAGTTGTCACAACGAGGATAATGATTATCGAACTTGAATCACAGCGTATTATTTACCACCGTAATTGTAAAGAGCTATAAAAAGAAAACAAAGATTACTTATTTATAACTTATTGTAGATTATTCGAATTTCATAAACATTATTCATATTGCCAATTCTCTTAAATTTACCATTACATGGATTATGATGTAAAATTATTTGAACGATATATAAGAATGATATTAAGCGTTGCGACAATATTGTCAGATATTTAGATAATTATTATTTTGTAGAGATGACTCAATTTTATTATAGTATTTTCCAAGAAACAGACTATCTGTTTAGGATTTATCAGAATTGTAGTATTTAAATTGCTATTTAGCCACCGATATCATGATTTCGTTGTATGCACTTTCTAAAATTTAAAAGCAATTTCACGTAAACAGTTAATCTATTGCCTTTTTCGTTTGTTAAAAATTATGCAATTATATTGAATTAATTATCATTTGCCTGCGATTAAATAGTAGTTGACATAAATAAACAATATAACAGAAATAGTATGGTACTATATAAGTATGCATCAGGAAGTCTGTTGATTTTTTGACCAATATCATCTGATCTTATGTCATAGCATCACAAATTCATCTTAGTCACACAACCTATGAAGCGTTGGAGGAAATTGGAGGTTACGAAATGGTTTTTGATGAAGTTAAATGCCTATTGGTAAAGAAACTTTTCTTTGTTGTAAATGAATTAAACCACATACTTACAAAATTAAGAACTTAATGTAGTTTTAAATTTTTGCAAATAGCATGATTTTACTGCATTATTCGGTCTTGATTAAAATCTTAATGTTCTAAGTATGATTTAAAATAGTATAATTAAATTCATTACAAATTAATGTAGCTAACAAAAAATGTGTCCATCATTGGAAGATTTTCTATCAATTTATAATTATATTTTACATCAAATTTCAAACTTGAATATTGTGGATTATTGTGTTTTAGCTTGCAATATAGTATCAGAATAGTATATAGATTGTACTTAGTGATCTTAGACGATAGCTGCAGGTTTTCATTCCCTTTATTGATATCTAATGAAATACAATTGAATAGCGTTTATGCCACTAGTCATAAATTGCTTGTCAGTAGTTATTATTATTAATTTATGGGCGATCGTGAATAGTGAATACAAAGGCAATCTTAACCGTATAACTATGTCATTTATTACTTATGATGAGAAAGTAGAGATAAAATAATAGTATACTAATTCTCTTACTCATCTGTTAGGGCTTGGGCAACATTCCTACATACTGGTTAGTCGGAAAAAAGGAAGTTTCACTTAATCACCGCAGCAGTTCTGGACTTATGTAATATTTCTAGCCAATAATGTCAGACGAATCAACCCGATGTATTTTTCATTTAAAATGGATCTATTAATAAGGAGTAAAGTTACGTTTCTGCCACATATGTTTTGTATCGATTACAGTAGGAGTAATCTATCCTATTAAAAATATTATGGTTATTGCTTCATTGTATATTGGAGCCTATAAGCTGCAATATTTCTTTATTCGTACTGCATTGTATAATGTACGCATATAACCTCATTATAACTTAGAAATTAATATTGCGAGAATTTTCGTGCATTAGTTTATCATCATGCTGTATTATTTATAACGTATACTAACACATTAAATAGGTATATTGTCTATATTAAGAAAATAAATTATTCATATGTTCTTATATAACAAAACCTGCTATGGTAGCACGTATTCCAAGTAATCAAGATCAATTGTTAAGATTTGCATTATTACCTAATGCTAATATTGTAATTAGACGCCGACTCGTCTTAATGATTGCTGTATTTATGAGGGTAATTCTCTATAATGAGGATTAAACTTAAGTAAATTCTTCATGGAATTTCTGTAATAGTAAAATCAAATTAAAATTGCAAACGTAATAAATTGTATACTTATGTCACTCTATAAATTTAGTTGATATCGCGCGAAATGTATATTCGTACACATTAATAAAAATTTTGGCTCATTTCCAAGGAAGAAAGCTACTCATTTAACGTTCGCAAAAACTTACAGACATTTACAATAAATTTTATTACGCAGCAACGTATTGCACTTTAATTTATTTTAGTCCTCATCTCTTTAAATTTAGCTATATTAATGAGAATCATTTACGAGTATATTTTACTATTTATTAGTATTGTACCAATGAGCTATCAGAGCTATGTGTTGTAGTCTAAAGTTAAATTGATTAAGGAGAATTTTTGGACGATACACTATGCTAGTTTGGAGTAGCAAAATATGCAATATTTAAGCTTAAATCTATTGTAGCATTTTTCTCCGATGGAGGTTAAAAATTCTATGATTTTAATTTGAAATAGCAATACAGCATCAGCTAGATTTTTGGCATTATGGCGATGTTTGGCATCGACAAATTACATTCAGTTAAAATGATTTAATGATCAACTTATGGCAAGAAAATGTACAGTAAAGCTTTCTTGAATATCTACTAAAGAAAGGTGTCTAAGTAATACATTATTTTTTCCAGGATCTTATAACCACTCTTATGGATAACGCAATAAACTTTTAAACGCTATTTCGACCTTAATACTGTAACGTACACTATCAACAATTATAAAACAGATCTTTTTGCTTCTGACAATGTGTCCTTTATAGGAATCATCTTGACTTGTAAACAATTTTGAACAATTTATTGTTCTTTATAAGGAAATATAAGAGCATTAACGACAACCTTATTCCATTCATGGCTTCATTACTAGTGGTCATTCTTGACTTGTTTTCACGCATAATTTTTAATTTAATAAGTAAGATTTTTGTATTGTCAACTCCTGTGAACTGAGGATTAATCAATGTCATATTGTTACTGACTACAATCAACAGCAATCGTTGCTAAATATGGTAACGGTAAGACAACTTACCTCAAAATCAAGATAGATGAGACTCTGAGAGCAATATCTAGTTTACAATGGTGGATTTCAGAAAAGTAAATAAATCCGTTATATTATTTTAGTATTAGTCAGACCTTATGTCAATATGACGTCAATCAATGATTTAGACATTGCCACCTAGAACGATGGAATACAGCATTTACCATTAGCGGCCGCTCACTATCTAAATCGTTATATTAAAGAATTTTTTGGGATAAAGCATCTCGCAGTTGCAAATTCTTATCAATTTTCCTGTAATATGTGGCATTATGCGGCATCCATACGTACCTAACATGTACACACACGAAATATTTTGTATATTATTTAGTATTCTAAGTTCAATCTGTGCAGTACGGCATCAAATTGTGAATTTAATCCGTCATTTCATTACTTAATGAAAGAAGTTGCTATTTTAGAAGATTATATATTAAAATTAATGCAGCATAAGTAAACTGCAAAAAAACTGCTTGAACTTAACTAATCTCATGTAGAATTAGTCAATAGGAACCTATTATTGCTATTAGGATAGCCGTATCATTTAATAATTCAATTTATTGTGAAGTGAGACCATTCACATTGGGTTAGCAAGATTCATACATGAATAAACTTTCTTGGGATTGATAAATTAATTAGTATGATAAAGACTAATAGCTAAAAGTGCTTTCTTTTCAAGCGAATAATGATTGCTATTGAAGATAACATTAGATAGTAAGATACAGGAAATGATGAGATATCCATAAACTGATTTTACGTTACGAAGTTGATTTAAAATGGAATTTTAGCCTCCAAATAGATTAGAAATTAAAATTAGACGTTTAGATCACATTGGAAAAATAAATTTTAACTGGATTCTTATATCTTTAACTGACTTTGACTGCGAAAAAATAGTAATCCTCTAGAGAGCTACTATTCATAATTTAATGGCTGATGTATGGTTACTATAAAAACAATACCGTTAATTATTGATTGACAATAATTTGACGATTTTTCAATCATACCTATTTTAAGTTTTGGAAAATTTTTACTATGCTCTCGTTATTCTCCAATAATGAGTATCGGATTATCCATAAGAAATAAAATTCAACTGCTGTAATTTCTAGAAATCACTCATTTTTATTGGTTAATACTTTTATGTATAGGTATTGCTTAGTGATTATTCATAAATCTAGCTTTGTTTTCTTTATTATTTTACATAGTGAATGTTACACCGATTATATAGACCAAGTTGGGGAAGAGAGGCCAAAATTATGATCTAATAACATTTTATGGAAGCCAAGTAAGGTTGAAGAGGAAAGGCAATTTCGATACCGTAATGAGCAACGCATCAACAATACCTATAAAAATTACACTCCTGTCGCAAACTTATATTTATATATCAATTTGTCAGCTGATATCTTATGTGTACTAATTATGTACCGTACCCAGTTTAATAAAAGTAAAGATATTTATTTTCAATATAGAATATCATTAACGATATGTATTCTAAACCTATGATTAAGGCTTATTGTCTATAACTAGTTTACTAAGTTTTTGGGATAAAATAGCGGTCGGAGTAATCAAATATTTATTGTTTGTGTATGATCTCTTGGAAGTAAGGAGATTTTGTATTAATATGTCGCAAAGAGGAGAGCTGCCAGGGTTTGCATGAACAATTCTGAAGAAACTCGAAAATAATGAGGAGTCCCTATCAGCAGTGTTTAAAGAGACAACGGATTGACTTTCTTGATTTAATGTCAGTATTCATAATTCACATTGCACTAAATTTTTTTAAATTACTTTGCTGTCGCCTCTGCCTAGCCCTGGGCACTGATTCTAGCACCAGAAAGTAATTGGATACATTTTAACTCAAGCAGGGAATTAAACACATCTTTTCGTTTCTTTTAATAACAATCCAACTAAGAAGCTTTTTTATGTAAATGAAGTGGGACTCAGTAAGCAGCTGTCCTATAGCACCTTTGCCTATTAAATGTTTTAAAAGATTCCACAAAATGATTTTCACTAACTAATGCTAATCTTATTTCGCCATACAGTATACTTTGATATTTATGGGATAATATCGTTTTCTATGACATTATATATAGTCTTATAGATAACTGTAAAGTCTCATAACAAATATCAATGTAACTAAACTCTAAATTAACTGATTATCTGATGAAGTCTACGGTCGCTTTTGTCCGAGAGAGATATATTGTTTGCTGTAGCTTGCTAATGATAGGGAAGATTGTCAGCATTTGGAGTCGTATAGTATGTAGATATCTGGGAGAACAAACCTAACGGTAGACACGTAATCTTAATTTTCTTCGTTACAAACTTTTATTCATAGTAGGGGATAATATTGCTAATAATTTAATCTATAAAAATAATTCAAAAAACTTTCTTCTTCAATCTTTAACGATTTTTATACAGCTAGAAGAAAGTCCGTAATTTGAAGTCAAGCTAAGTTACCCTATAATGTCAGAAAATGATACCCAGACTTAACGAATTTCATTTACTATTGGGTGATCGATCATCTCTAGTTGTGCATTGCTAATGACTGATTGTGTCCATAGGGAGTATTAAAGAGATTAATAATGACTTATGCAAGCAAATTCTTACTATTTCTGATTTTTCATCGACTTAGATTCAGTCCTCGTTGTTCTTAACTTTAGCAGATATCATGTAGATGGTTATAGACCAAATGCATATACTTCTAGTTCATGCTAAATATATTTATAATCATTCAAATTGTTAATAAGAATCGATGTATGATGTCTATAACGGCACCTCGTTTTTTAGGATATACTATAGCAATTCAGTCGCAGTTTACCGCTGATTTCAGATTGTGGAGATCATATAAGCAATACTAATTTGATTTTTTTTACTAATGTTACGGTAATCAATCTCTGACGAAGATTCTCCCCTTTTGAATAGCAACGGATATTCTTCAGCTCTAATTTTTAAATTTGAACAGCTAATTATATCATTGATTTATTAAATACCGGTAGATTTTTCTGCAAAATTAATTTTCCATTTTAAATTCAAATTCAATGATCATTTGACCATTTTATGGTTGTCAAAAATATATTGCGTCTAATTTATTTTAATTTATAGTACTAGCAATATGCTAATTATGCTCTTGATCAAGTTTATTTGAATCTAAGTATTATTTTGTAAGATGTAAATTTAATATAATACCATGGTAGATATATAACATCTATTAAGTAAGTAGCTCTTATTCAATACATTTCTGTTATATATCGATTAAAACGTCTGCTTTATCTTCTTAATTGCAGTATGATCTAGAATAACAGCTTGTTGTTCATGAAAGATTATTTACTTTAACTCACTGATCCAATGTCACAACATTTCCAGTATTGGACTACTTAATTAGGCATCATATTAATACTCGTTTCTTTCCATTTCCTGCTGCAAATACAGATTCACAGTGATTGGATTCAACCAGAAATTCTAACGCTGTGTAAATGATTCCTAAGTTTTTACACTATCGCTAGCAAGAAAGGCTGCTAATCTCTTCTATATCGCCGGAAGAGTATAATAGAACTATAATAACCGACAAATAATTCAGTTTTTAAGCCAAAATTATGAATCCTGAGATTTGTTATGATCTAATACAGTTAATAACTATATTACTCTAAACATTAGTTTACGTCATATACTGTAAGTAGGATTATAATTTTACGTGTTTACATATCAATATATTTTTAAAACACGGACGTGATATTAATAGTATATACCAAATAGAGATTTTAAACATAAAGTATTTCTAAGTAACGGCTACTAAAGTTATTCATGATAAAATTTTCAAATCTCATTAATCAATTGCAATCTAAAGTGCTGAGGTTTACTTCATCTATCGCAATATCTTAGATCTTAACTAGTTCATTCATGAAATAAATGACTATATTAATGTGATTCTGTTATAAAATTACGACGATTTATCTCCATACTACTTACAATGACCCCTGTGCGTATAATGAACTATATTTTTAGACCTCCGAAGTCAATAATTTCAATTTCCAGTAAACTCTATTATTGATGATAAAGGACTTATGCTCGACTTTAATAATAATGAGTAATAAAAGTACTTTACGTATTTTTACAGGGGAAATATAAGTCCTTAATTGTCTTAACAGGAAATTCTATCCTGGTCATAATAAGAAAGTACTAGCTTAGTGAATGATGACATGAAATTAAATTGAAACTAAAGCTGCTATTTGGTTTAGAATTGCATCATTTACATATGACCGTAACTTTCTTTCTAATTTCCTTATTGACCACTAATAATAACAGTGGTGATCTCTTTGACGCCAAAGACAGTAAAGTCGATATCATCTTGTATTATCATGATAATAAAAGAATTAAGAGTTAGATCAATGCATTTTATATTAAAAATTGTCCTCCAAAATCTAAACAGATAATAATAGTAAAAATATAGAATTAGCTCTTTCTGCTACCGAATGAAAAAGCTAATAAATTGGAAGAATTCACTGTCAATAATATAATTAGCGAGGGATACTTTATTTATCTTGTAAAAATGCCAGTAGTAGAATATTATATTCGTATAAAAGTTCAGACGTCAAATTAATTATGTAAGATGGTTATTTGATTAAGCTTAGATCCGGTGTCAAGAATATAATACAATATTCACAAAAGAAGAGATTGATTTATCGATCAATTTTTGACCATTACTATTAACTTGCCATCTGTTCAATTTTGTCATCACATATAACAGTACCTATAAAATAGAACTTAAAATATAAACACATACTAGACATACAAAGAAACAGATCTTAAGCTGATTAACGGCCACTACGATATCCAACCCATCATTTAATGCCATAGTAACTATATATGGCAAAGAAATCTACTATTGCTAGTTAGCCTTTTGCATTTAACTTTAACCTAGCTATCATTATACAAAATTGTTTCTTCTAATTTATCATAATTAATCGGCGGTTATTGGCATCAGCTAAAAGCAGATAGAAATCAGATACCAAAGAATTAGAGAAATATAGCTTTCATTCATAATCCTGATTGATAATATAACAGTGGCTATCAGAGCAATTTGCCTGTTCAATATTTTGTCATTAAATGCGTTGTAAATGGTGATAGATAGATGTTGAGATATTTAAAATACATTAAAATTAGCCAAGCATAAAGAAGAAATTTTTTTCGTTGGATCATTATCACACCAAGAAATTACCCTCAATTATCTAGTTTAAAAGAGGTTAACTCGATGATCTCACTAAGGAAAAGACCATTTAAGCCTATATAAAATATTTTAGAACAATCAATGGGAGAACTTATTAAACGCGTAGAAGGAATTTTTAGCATGATTTAATATTTGAATTGGCGGTCTTGTCTTGAATGTTGAAAGCTATTACATGCAGTATTAGGTATTGATCATAATATTGTATGAATCTTTATTTCAATTTCAATTTTTCATCATAGGAATGAAATTTTATACAGGTATTTAACCTATCATAACGAATTTTAAAAGACTATTAGCTAAGATTAAAAAAAAAATCGAAGTTGTTTATTAGCTAATTGATGCTATAGCATCTATGGCTGCTTATCGACGTTGAAAAATTCGTATATTTTGGTCGAAAAAAAGATCGTTGTCGGCATGCATATTTATTTATTGCATAGCTTTTGACATTCTCGTATCAAATTGGAATACCGTAAACATTAGAAGGTGTTGTGGTGACGTTTTATCGCTAAAAGTTTGAAAATAAGAATATAGAATTAATAATCGATCTTTTTTAAACATATTTGGTCGGTATAATTATATTCCCTTATAGCTACATGATTATATTTAATAAATATATATAATCAGTTAAAAATAGGTTATCGAAAGATTTGGTAAATCCATTACCGGCATTAGATTACAGCAATGAATTTCGTAACTAGAGCTATTCCGAGTAGAAGAAGGAGAAGCATGCTAACAAGGTATGATACCGTTGAAAGCTATGATTTAACGGAGAGCCGAGATCAACTTGGCTTTTGGCATAGATTATGCGGCAGAGGAAATTTAAAGGATGATTCATCGCAGTATAAACGTAGCAGACGGCAGAGTATGATTATTATTTTATTTACCACGTTGATCTGTGTCTTTTTTATTGTTTTATCCGCGACTAATTTTCGACGTTCTACTAAAGATATTGCACAAATTAATTCAATTCGTAAAGCAGTGGATAGCCTATTTGATCATGTGGATAAAATTCAAGCTATCTTGAGTGAGTTAACTGCTACTATTACGTATATCAATTCGAATTATTCTAGTAATATCTATGACAGTAATGTACTGGATAAACGTAATATTACTGATTCTAAATTTGAAAATGGCCATGAAGAGGATGAGCATCATAAAGATAGCTTGGATGATCATGATGATGATGAAGATGAAATCATTCATCATAGAATTGAAGATCATCGTAATAAAACGGATAATAAATTAACTAATGTTTTACTTGAAGTTGAATTTTATGCCCGTACAGTAGGACTGTTATCTGAACATAAAGTTCGTCTGATACAAACTACATCAACATTGCTCGATTGGCAGGATCTTATAGCTATTCATTTTTTAATTTTAGCTGAAGATGAGGCTACTCTAAGTCGAGCTATTGGTAATTTATATTATTCACGCGGTTATTTATATTCAAGTGAAGTCTTCATTTTTATATATCATAATAGTCGTCATCAGTTATACTTGACATCAGCGGGGCGTTTATCTTCTTTCATAAACAATTATTTTCAAAACCACTTAAATAATACTGTTGTAGAAATAATTAACCAAGAAATTACTAAAATTATGTTCAATCGACATCATCAACCTAATGTTCAGTCTTTATCGTATTGGAAAAATAGCACCACCCAATACTTACAGATGTTAACTACTTTAAGCTATCAATTAAGAGAAAATATCCATAATGATACTGACAAACTTGTACGTGACATTAAAGTTGTTAATCGTCAGCAAATTTTAGTTTTGGCTGCTGCTTTAATTGTTGGAGTTTTAGTTATTATAATGACTACTGGTATGCAACGACAAATTCAGAGACAAGTGTCCTATTTTGGACTCCGATTGAGTGATATTGAATATCACCGATATCGTACTGATCAATTGTTACATCAGTTATTACCTTCAGCTGTTGCTGAACAATTAAAATTGGGTAAAGTCGTCATTGCTGAAGCTTTCGATGATGTTACTATATATATTAGTGATATTGTTGGCTTTACACACATATGTCATTCCACTACACCGGTACGAGTAGTTTATATGCTAAATGCTATTTATACGCTATTTGATCGTATTGTCGATCGTTATCATGTCTATAAAACGGAAACTATTGGCGATGCGTATATGGTAGCCTCTGGTGTTCCGAAGCGATTAGCAGAGAAAAAGCACGCGGTAGAAATTGCCCAAATGGCAATGGAAATCTTGACTAATATGCGACGAATTAACATTCCCCATGTTCCTGTTGAACAATTGCAAATGAGAATTGGTATCCATACTGGTGAGAACGTTATATCAGTTCACATTTTGTTATTCTTGGTACCGACAGTGTTTGTATTCAAAATTAGATACTTGAAAAATCTAGTAGCGAACTACATTAAGAGGCAATTCTGTGTTTACACCGATGATATTCATAATAATACAGGAAATTTTAATATTTTATGATGCTGTCAAATAATAATTTAATTTGTTCTTACCATAACTTGTTAATAACTGGCGAATAATGAAGAATATTTCAACTTAAAGTTCTGTTTTTATTTAATAGTTACATTACCATTTACTTATTATTTAGCTACGTGCATGATTATTTGATACCATGAATTAATTTTTTTACTAATGTTTAAGTCAGATGTTGATTATATTGGTCAATGTTGTAATTATTTCTATATACTTTTTGATACGGCAGGATCGTGCGTTGCTGGTGTAGTTGGGATTAAAATGCCGCGCTATTGCTTATTCGGTCAGACAGTATCTGTAGCAACTAGGATGGAAGCACGAGGAAGTCGTAAGTTCAAATTGAAATTTACTTAAACTAGAAAAAATGTTCAGGTACTTTACTACCCAGTGCGTGTTAACTGCTAATCTTGATTTTTACTATGATAATAATCTATGATTATCATGATTGATATTAACTTACAGTCAAATCAAAATTATCACTGATAATTATAATAGTATATAATATTTGGATGATTCGTTTGCTAATTGATGTCAATTCTGCGAAATTGCTTCATTATTACCTGTATGTTCCTCTTAGCTATGAAGATAAATATTAGTAAATCAACTTATGAAGCCTTATCTAGCTATGGCGACTATGATATGCGTTATCATGAATCTATTCCCATTTTGGTAAGAGTTACAATTTATATAAGCGTAATTACCTTATCAATGTGATATAAAAATATAAACGCGTTCACATTGGAAGACGTCTATTATTATTTTAACTTTATTTTAAGTAATTTTAGTCTATTTAATTTATTCTGTTGTGTTGAAATAGGATAACGGAAAGGCTACGATTGATACATATTGGCTTGAAGGCAAATGTATAGCGTAGCAAATCTTTATTCGGCTTGATGTAATTGTCTTTGGTAGCGCTCGTTTCAACTTTCGTAATGGTTAAATTAGGGATATAACAAAGATAAATGTGTGCAAGAAGTGAACAAAATAAAGAATATATATTAATCCTTTATCATTTTCTCTTGTATTTTCTGCTGAAAAGCGTCACTGCAATCAATAAAGCTTGTCTTAATAAAAGATAATGAGTAGCTGTAAGCTGGAGTTTATCAAGTATGAAATACTTGTCAAGTATTTTGAGAAAAGAATCACGTATTGTAGAACGAAAGGACTTGATATAGTGATATTAATTCCCACTATTATTGATTGCTGACTTTCGCGGTTATACTATGATCTATTTCATAGTATTATGTTACATTTTATAGTGCATATTAAAATGCAGTACGTATATAATAAGACATTGCTGTAGACCAATAAACAAATAGATACGCATATTTTTCTTATGGACATTATTATTTCACATCGACAGTATTTTCATGGAGTATTTTTTTGCCTCTGCTAACCCTCAATTGCATTAAGCAAGGATATTAGTTTTAACTATTAAATACTTATACTGTAAATTAGCATGATTATATATATCATATACACGTACTTTAATTTTTGTCCTGTCTTTCCGTCGAGAATATTTGATCGTTTTAATTCAGCGAATGACCAGCAACTGATCATAGGCATAAGTAAACATACTGCATCGATATTTGAATAGTTTAATTGCTGTCTCGCCTTTTTACCGCATTAAATTTGATCGTTTCGATTTAGTGAATGACAGCAACTATGCATAGCCTTAAGCAGGCATATTGTATCGATATGTGGGTTGTTACATTTAAGTCCTGTCTTTCTACTGAGAATATTTGATCGTTTTAATCTAGTGAATGACCAGCAACTATGCATAGGCTTAAGCAGGTATATTGTATCGATATGTGAGTAGTTTCATTTATGTCCTGTCTTTCCACTAAGAATATTTGATCCTTTTAATCTAGCGAACGATCAGCTACCATATATAGTCGTAAGTAGGCTTATTGTATCAATATGAGGGTAATTTCATTCATATCCATCCTTTTCACCGAGAATATTTGATCGTTTTAATCTAGCGAACAATCAGCAACTATACAGTACATAGGCGTAAGCAGGCATATTATATCGATATATGTGTAGTTTATTGTTTACAGTATCAGAAATTTGCCAAAATTGTCAAGATTTTCTTACCTATATGACTATGATGGCATTCTGTTAGTTTCTTTTCTATACTATAGCTGTCGTAGTCAACTATTTTCATATTGCGTTTAGTAAATGATTGATCGCTAATATGGCTGTAGTCATCAATAGCTATTGGTTTAACAAGATGATACATAGGAGGCCGTAATTCTATACTTCCTATGCACATTGCCAGTAGTTGATACAGCGCTCGACAATTCCAGAACTATACAATATGTTAAGAAAGTCAAGACTTTGTAAACAAGCCTTACCAGAAATCTATCATGTTGTGCTGGCTACAGTATCGTGATCTCTCGTAAAACATATGAATGCTAATTTTATTGCACATCATTGCTAGCGAATGCAGCTAATGCATATTTGTACTTATAACGTTGAAGATTACAATATACTGAGTCATGGACTCTTCCATTTTCTCATGTCTTATAATTAAAACCTGTTCATCGTGTAGGAAAACTAGATTATGTTGAGGCATCGGGTAAATAAGATAGTAGATTAGCGTTGTTAGATCCACCCTATTAGGTGTTGTGGGCATTACAGACAATTAGTTGATGATGTTTTGGATGTTTGCAGGAGCCATATTGAACGTTAAGTAGAGTAAGGAATCATATAGGGAAAGCAAAGTAGGATTTACCTAAATTGATTGAAACGGGGATTTGATAAACATATTTATCAATAATCTTTTCTAGGAATGTATTTATAAAAGGCCAACTCCTTTGGAGGGGAGATAGGTCGATAGCCTTGAACTAGCTGTGTGGTGTAGTTGCATTATCTTCAGTTCTACTACTGCAATGCTCATCAATAAGATTTGAAGTAATAAACTATATTTTTAACCGCTACTTTGAGGGCTTACTTCGTTGTGTGACTGGATACTGTAAGGCTGAAAGTAGTACTTATTACACATCGCTACTAGCTTAAAATGTACAAGTCATTTCTTGCCATGTTGACGAAGTCACTTTGACAATCTACACCAATGGCTACCAACGCGTATATTCAGGATACACTGTCTAGTACAATAGCCAGTGTTGTACCATGGACTAGCAGAATGAACACTGTATTTATTTTCACTTGCAACTTTTGGATGGCAAAGTACATCGTCATCATTACTAGGTGCTACGACTGTTCTTGCATTTTATGCAAAATGGTCAGGGCTAATGGACAGTCGGTATTCGGACAAAATTGCACTTTGTAATGTAGCAGATTTTGTCTTTTAAAGTAATATTTTATAATGAGCATTACGAGTAGCGTAATTCTATCAACTTGTATACAAAGTTCAGCTTTCTAGCTACATAAAGCTATAAAGGTATAGTAATTTTACGTTAGTTTCAGAACTATTTTTCCCTTTTTCTGAGTCTGAAAAGAAAATAAACGCATCGCAATCTTCTAGTCATCCATGACTAGAAGATTGTGACGGCTTGTGCAACCCTAAATGCAGAACAGTCGTAATTTTGTACCGTACGGAATGGTAAAGCACGGTCAATTGAAGGTGCTGTAGGGGACTGAGTGAGTGCGTTGACTGCTGCTCTAGTAACTGCGCAGTACAGTAGAGCCAATTAATTTCAGCTCGTCTTGGCAACGATTGCATTAGCTGAGGAATATTCTATCTTGGCCACGGTTGGAAGTAAGTGATAGTGTATTACAGTAACTTCTATGCTGTACTGGAAGAAAATTCTTACATATGCCTATAACTATTTCTGTATTAATTTGGCTATTAAGTAAAGACTTAACTGTTAGAATCTTATGATGATTCATCAATGTTAGCTGATGCCCAAGGGTCAATATAATAATTATGAGCTCAGTAGATAGTGGAATAAAATGACTTCTCTGGTTGTACAATATCGAAGCAAAGGCGTCTAAGTTCTTATGAGTAGACAAGGGATATTGAATCTTGGGCGACTTTAGAAATTTAGAGATTTATTTTGACGTAAACCTTGTTACGAAGCTGTTTTGTGACAATCTTTTAATCAATCAAATATTGATCCAACTATTCTGGTTTATCAATACACTAGCTGCAACATGAAGAAGGTCATCGTACTGGGTGCTGTTACATGTGGTATTTTAACATTAGAATTTGGGCCACACTTTTTCCATCAAAGCGTCGTTTCTAATTTTATGCTCAATACTAAACCTGTTCAACAAGAAACATTCGATTTATGCCAGAGTATTTGTAGGAAACTTGGTATTAATAAAAGCAATAAAATTGAAGTTGTTGTTGGAGAAGGTACTTAATAACAACACTGATGAATCATTTCGTAGCTATGGTAGTCATTGCAACAATGTAATTTAGTATTTTATTGCCCTATTGTAGTGTAGTAGTGCAATAAATCAATGTTGATTTTAGTTCGATTTGTATAGAGCAGATCTACGTATCATGAATAAATGGCATTGAAGCTGTTAATAAGGTAATTAGGGAACCCTATTTCAACTTCTCCTTTCTAACTATCATAGGATTTGCAGCTGGAAATTTAGGAAGTACCAGTTTGCGAAATGGAGCTGTTCTAAGTCTACCATATACAATGTACTTTGCAACGAGAAATGATATCGAGCGTTCTGGGATTATCAAATCAAGTTATTTATCTCGACATCCAGATTTAGCTGACAAATTAATTCCGTCACCTAATTGTAACAAGTTTCAAATGGCTCATGAGCTAGTACGTTTGAAATACAAGGACTTTATATTATCTGGTACAATCTTGCCTGCATTTTATTTGCTTGGTTATGGAGGTTTTGCTTTGTGTAATAAATGGGCTCTTCAACGAAGATTGCGAATCTTGAATAAAATCTTGGTTGCAGTTGGGACGCTGTCCTTTTATCACATTGTTACTTCACGTGTAATGAATTGGCAAGTTTATAGAGCAGATAGAGTTGCAGCCACTATTGATCCTACCTACATGGCAGGTACTGCTAGTTAATCTTTTGTATTATCTATTGTACACTGTGCCTAAAGTTATTTTTCTAGAATCTGATGTTAGCGTTAAAATGAAGTTTATCAAGATAGTAAGCAACCCCATAGTATAATCGATTTGTTGCAAAGCGTCATTTCAACAGTATAACTTGAAATATTGATATTCTACAGTACTCTCGTCAGGAGGCCGTGGTAATCAATCATACGCCTCTTTTAGGCTTAAACCGCAGAACCTAAAATTTATTCGACTTGTGGCCTCTCTTTTATATTAACTATAGTACACGTCTGAAAACATCAATTGAATCAATTTAGATATGATTGCGAAAGTAAACACTATCTTCCGTCACTATAGATCGTATATTAAAAAACTGAAATTGACGCAGGACTATTTTTGATATCAGTATATTCTAAATTTTATTATCTGGCCGAAATAAGATAATTACTCTATATTATAGTTGTGACAGTCATTTTGTGTACACGTATTTGTACGCGGATATTTTTGAAGATAAGTATAGCAAATTGTATTGGCGTTATTCTTGTTTTGCATATCCTTGTGCATAGCTTGATATAGTCATTGTGATTGCAGGTGGTATTGAATTCATGCGGAAAAATCAACTGTGGGAGAAAGCTTTTCTTAACGGTGCAATGCCTGAAGCTAGTATTATGATGTTGATGGGCTACTTATGGCATCCACCTTCAGGGGAGAGACTTAAACGATTGCTTGACTTGAAAAATTTTACGCCTTACTGTGACGATATTGATTAGAAACTTGGTGGTTTTAACCATGTACTAATTATATAGTATCGAACAAATGTTTAATTTATGATTTGAGATTAGACCCTTGTAGAAGTATTTTGAAATTTTAATTTTTGCTTATCGCATTTTACTGGGCGACTCTTTCAAAATTATCGCATTTCTCTACAGTTTCACGTATTATGAAAATATTTATTGATATTTAATTTGAATCAGTTAATATGAGAAATTGTATATTTTAACTCAGTTGATACTGCTAGTTGAAGCAATTTATTGTTGTAGATGGCTATTAGTAGAGTTTCAATTTGATGCCCTAGTTTGCTCGCCAGTGAAGTAAGTTTGCTATTTTCACAACAGTTTCGCTAATATGGTGTTTAAATAGATTGTTTATCCGGACTATTTGTATGATTTTATTGTGAGATAAGATAGTGTTTTGCTAATTCTAGCAAATTGATCAAATGTAAGTGAAGTAAGAGAGATCTTACAGTATGACATTATCTACTTGTATGCTAACTATAGCAGGTAGATAAGGTGTGCAGTGTATTATACATTCTTCTCTTTCGTAATATGTAATATCTTTTATTTTATTAGGATGAATGTTGCTATTAGGCTGTACTTTACTGATTTTTAATTTATCTGCTGTTTTATTATTGGTACAAAGGCAATTAAAGTGTCAGTATTTATTGGTGCGAGTTACAATACTGTACAATACTTTGATGCATTGTTTTTTCCTCAGATAATACTTTTATTTTGATCAACTTTTGAGCTTAATTATTACTAAAGTACTTTCTCAATTGGAAATGTTGTACCGTGAAAATGCTGGACTGTATTGGAGATTAATAAGATCAAGAGTGCGTTATATGCATAGCTGCAACATTCAAATACTTTTTCCTGAACAAAGTCTTATTAATGATATGATTTATTAGACCACAAAATTTTATAAATTACCTTACTTATCATTAATATTATTGTTGAATTTTGTTGGCCTCTGCATGGCTTGTGACAAAATATCATAAAATAGCGTTGCACTACCGCATTTGTTTCTAAATTTTACATTATCTTTTCATTATACAATTATAAACTTGACCACTTTAATTGAAATTATCCAGTACCTACAAACAAGTTGCTGTCTAGATATTGTTGAATTTGAATGATGCGTTGATTTTTTCGTCCGTATAGCTAGCTGTAGGATTTGGTTTTCAAGTAATTTACGGGTGTTTCTATCCCAGCCTGTTAAAGCGGATATTACGTCCTTGTCGTGAGCACTTTTTAAGTTGATTGTTTGTATATCGTTCGTGACTTGATTTGAATAGATAAAATTATGCTCTCTGCAGTAATTTTTTACTAAATTACCTATTAAATGTAAGAGTATTGATTAAGTTTTATATAGTAATATGTAAATCACTTTATGTTTTTTATGTATAGCATAATATTGCTACATCCATATAGCTTTCAAATATTTGAAAGATCTATTCCTAAATTTAGATGGTGACGCTTTAATGATACGATGATGATATGATGTATGTTTGGCGCTATGCTACAGCTACTATTATTTTAGGATGAGAATAAACAATATATTCATTTTTATGTTTATAGTAATATTATTATTACATTCCAAAAGTAGTTTTTATAACATTACTTTAATTTTAGAACTTATACGTATAGTAAAAGAGTTGATTTAAATTATTATAAATCATACAGTGCTGTTAAGTTTATTAATCGTTAATTCACGAAGTAAACCTCATAAATGGTTAATCTATTGCAAATAATATTGTTTTCTTGAACCGAAACTAATGTATCCCTAACTAATGTATTAATTTTTGGTGTACGTTTGTAGACAATTACTATTACTTTAGTATCGATAGTTCGTAGATCCAAGCAATACAATAAAATTTTACTAATGGACTTCGTCAATGTACACTAGAGGTTCAAGAATGGTCAAGTTTTATTAGGCCTACTGAATAGGTGTGGATTACTAAATAGACACATCTCTTTAGTAGGTCATGACTAAACCATCTAACAAGGATAATGGCGTCCTTGTCCAATACTATAAAATAAATTAATTGTATTGCTACTACCGTAATTTCTTCCTGTATTTATCTACTAGTAAATTGTTGAAGACTTCAAATACAGTACAGTAGCTTCAAATTTAGGTTACCATCACAGCTTCCAGGTCTTCATTAGAAATTTCCTAGTAATCAACGTCAAATGCGCTGATTTAGCGAATAGAATGCCGTAACTAGAAATTAGTTATTATTATAATTATATATATATATCAATATAGTGTATATTGATTAGTATTATACCGTAGGATTTAGTCGATACGTGTATTGAGTGAACAGAATCCCATAACTAGAAATTAATTATTATTATATATATGAACGTGACCGTATGCGAAGTCGGTCATTTTGCAAACTGCCCGGGCATTTTGCAAAATGACAATATGTGGTGTGTGTATTTATCGGTATTAAACTGCGTATAGGATCGAGTCAATGTTTTGCATTGCAATTTATTCAATCAAAGAAGAAATTTCCTGAACTAGCTCACTAACTTGTCCCAGTCTATACTATAGGATCGAGTCAATATTGTACATTGTATTGCGATTTATTCAATCAAGGAAGAAATTTCCCAAACTAGCTCTCTAACTTGGCCGAGTCTATACTATAGGATCTATTCCATACTTTACTTTATATTGCGATTTATTTAATCAAGGAAGAAATTTACCGAACTAGCGCACTAACTTGGACGAAACTATACTATAGGATCTATTCCATACTTTACTTTGTATTGCGATTTATTCAATCAAAGAAGAACTTTCTCGAGCTAGCTCTGTAACTTGGCTGAATCTATTCAGTACTATAGAATCTATTCCCATACTTTACTTTGTATTGCGAGTTATTCAATCAAAGAAGAACTTTCTCGAGCTAGCTCTGTAACTTGGCTGAATCTATTCAATACTATAGAATCTATTCCCATACTTTACTTTGTATTGCGATTTATTCAATCAAAGAAGAACTTTCTCGAGCTAGCTCTGTAACTTGGCTGAATCTATTCAGTACTATAGAATCTATTCTCATACTTTACTTTGTATTGCGATTTATTCAATCAAAGAAGAACTTTCTCGAGCTAGCTCTGTAACTTGGCTGAATCTATTCCCATACTTTACTTTGTATTGCAATTTATTCAATCAAAGAAGAACTTTTTCGAGCTAGCTCTGTAACTTGGCTGAATCTATACAGTACTATAGGATCTATTCCATACTTTACTTTGTATTGCAATTTATTCCATGAAAGAAGAAATTTGCCCAACTAGCTAACTAATTTGGTCGTATTAGGGACTCACAGGTAGTATTTAAGTGGAGATTCTGAAGAGTGTGGGGATAGTAGGAGAGACTGTGATTATTAGGTGTATGAGAAGCACCTCTAACTTGGCCGAGTTTATACTGTAAGATCGAGTCAATATTGTACTTTGTATTGGGATTTGTTCCATCAAAGAAGAAATTTGCCCAACTAGCTAACTAATTTGGTCGTATTAGGGACTCACAGGTAGTATTTAATTAGATTCTGAAGAGTGTAGGGATAGTAGGAGAGACTAGGAGAGACTGTGATTATTAGGTGTGTGAGAAGCAACTCTAACTTGGCCAAGTTTATACTGTAAGATCGAGTCAATATTGTACTTTGTATTGGGATTTGTTCCATCAAAGAAGAAATTTGCCCAACTAGCTAACTAATTTGGTCGTATTAAGGTCTTAGGGACCAACTGGTAGTATTTAATTAGATTCTGAAGAGTGTAGGGGATAGTAAGAGAGACTAGGAGAGACCGCCATGATAGGGGGCATTCGTTGCTGTGCGACTGTTGACTAGTTGTAGTGTTGAGTAGAGACGTGTGAGATGCCAGTATGACTCAACGTATTCGCAGCAGTTGTCCCTACTGCGCAAGTGTTGATTGCTAGTGTTTGAGTAGGTCAGCTGCAGTTGGACGTTTCTACCAGAGCTGCCGCTTGACTGTACTGTATTGCAAGTGATGGGCCAGTTTGACATTCTGCTGACGTAGTCTATACTGTCCAAGTATTGAGCCGGTAGCGTTTGAGTCGAGATCGTAAATTGTGTACAGCCAGCGCCCACTTCCCATAGTGTATAGCGTCAGTATCGTCACCAAGGAGTCCTCCAACTTGGTCAGCGTCCATTTCGCCGGCTTCTATATCTCAGACATCAAAATGGCTGCTGTTACGGCTATCAATCGATTAAAACTTAATTTAAATGCAAAAGAAATTGCATCAACTACTGACGAATTGATCGAGCGAATGAAAGCGGTTTACGATTCTGTTGGATTAATGAAAAATGCAGATGTAACGTACGAAAATTGCATTAAGGTATGGTAGACAACATGCTATAGTAGGGTGGCGATGCTACCACTGTCTTTCAATTGGATTAAATCATGTCGAAACTGTATTCTTTCTCTCTCTATCATCGGATATTCACCTAGTAGTGGTATCCTAATGTCTACTTTTAGTGTACAGTATCAGTGCAAATTAGTCTAGTTATAATGGAAGGTTTAGCTGATGATTTCGGCTTATTTTATCTTGATCAACTGCAAGAATCATTTTGCCTGTTTCCACGTACGATAGGCATCAATGGTGTTATTATAGGAGAATATGCACTACAATGTACTCTTGATTTCATTTTTGAATAGACTTTAGCTGATTTCTCTGCTGATTCCAGCGCTATTCGGTCATCGATTGATTTTCCTCAGCATGTCTCGCCAGGTTAGGTTGTTTTCTTGGGCTAATTAAATTATACTTCAAGTTAATACCGGGTAATAAAATTGATAATTAGAATTTGTAAACATTTGCATCTGGTTGTTTTGTCATCAGCCAATATTGTCTGCTAGTCAATTGCTTTGGATAATAAGATATGCAGCAATAAAACGGGATCGTACATGGCGTTACTGTCGATCAGTTGCAATCGTTATAAGGGATATAGACGATTATCGTAGCATTTTATATTGTTGATGATGCGACAGGATGTTAAGCTTGTATTATTTAATAGAAGTATCGATATCAGCTAACAGCAGTTATTACAGACAGTATCATGTGTTCACTCGATACTACGCTATATTTGTTCGATTGTACGATATAATACTATATTCTTTCGCAGAAAATACATCTAAAGTTGAATTAGAAAACACGTGCTGTAATTTATGATTTTTTATGCTTTGACAAGTATGTGTATGTTTCCCCTGATTGATTTGATTATAACATGCTATATCCAGCGTTAAAGGTATAATACTACTGTAGTTGAAGTAACCGTGATGATAATATATTTTTTCATTAAATTATCTCCAGATAAGGAAATTAGAAATGCTAGCACTGAGGCTGAGAGAAAACTATCGGAAGTGGAGGTAGAAATAAGGTATTGATCAGTCAATGTTAGGTTTGTTGGCAGTCTTGTGGCACGATTCAATTCCTAAATGAGAAATAGTAATGCAGACTAGATTAAAGGTGTTAAGCGTTCTTTAATCTCGTAACTTTCATTTTGTGAACAGCATGAGGCAGGATGTTTACGACAACATCAAAGCTTTCGATGTAATTATGCCAAATTTTAATGAATTAAAACTGAACATTTTATATGAAATGTAGACTTCATAATCTTCTATCACAGCTCAATCAAATGGTACTACTCTTTATCTTAATCAGGAAAAATTGGGTCAAACATTAACTGGTGAAGTAAAAAGATTTGTCAGCAGATTAATAAGAAATGGAAAGAGAAATGGTAAGTATTGCTTCAGAACTACGTATAAACTTAGTCTGAAATACAAAATAAGATTGCTTTAACATGAAATAAAAGAGCTCTATTGAAGTCATACAATAGTTTTTTACTCATATCATTATCACTACTATGATTTAGTTGTGTTGTGCATTACAGTATTCTAATATTTACATTAACACTTGCATGTTAATTCTTGCTGGTGTCCTACATCATAGCCTATGATATTGCATAATTTGTTTTAATTATTTCTCAGCAATGATAGCATTCGTATCTGATTTTAAACTACTCGTATATTTACACGCTACTATGGTTATAATGAAATATTATTAAATGTATTCATATATATCCGTGTACGGTCTTTTATTGATTAGGCTTACATTTGGATAAGGAGATTCGAGATCAAATCACCGTCATCAAGAAGCGAATGACGGAACTAGCTATTAATTTTAATAGAAACTTAAATGAGGAAAATACTATTCTAGAATTTTCTACCGAAGATTTACATGGTTTACCTGATGATTTTTTGGATGGGTTGAGTAAAACCGAAAGCGGTTTATACCAGGTTTCGCTCAAGTATCCTCATTATTTTCCTTGCATGAAGAAAGCTACTAATCCAGAAACTAGAAGGAAACTCGAAACTGCATTCAACTCAAGGTATTTCTTCCATATTTAAAAATTACATTATTGCTATCTCAGAATTACTTTCATTGCGTGGATTTATAACCTTAGTATAATGTCATCATGATACTTTATGTTTCGAAATTCCTAAGAAAAATACTTACATTTGGATAATAAATTTTAAATTTTGAAAAAATCAGATTTTTAGTTGTCAAATTTTCGCATCCAAATTTCTCGATTGCTATACATTTGTTGAAGTTAAAATATCAAAATTGAAATAGACATACCCGGCGCTGTTATGTTCACTTTATTAACGTCTCTTCGTTATGATGTAATATTTCATTGATGCTTATACTCTAATGCGTATATAGATGCAAAGATGAAAATGCTGCTATAATGGAAGAACTCGTTGAATTAAGACAAAAGGTATGCATTTATGCCTAAGCAAAAATGTAGATATTACTTACCTTATTCATAAATTTCATAGCAAGCTGACTTACTTGGGTACGCGGTACATGCGGACTATATTACGGAGGTAAGAGTCTCATTATGATCTTTATTCTTAACATTTGAGATAGAAGTAATAGTGTTATCCTGTAAAATATACAGATTAGAATGTCCAAGACAGCAGCCAATGTCAAGAATTTTCTCTCGCGCTTAGCGAGCAAGCTCAAACCGTTAGGAGAGTCTGATCTACAAGCATACTTAAAGTATAAGTCTGAAGAGGTAGTATAGTCTTATGGATATCGGTATTTGATAATTCCAGATTTACCTCATTTATTGATTAATCCTGATGCGATAGAGCCAAAAATATGGGTACAAGGATGATGCAAAAATACATGCTTGGGATATGAGATATTATATGAATTTGGTCGAAGAAAAAGAATATTCGGTTGATCACGAAAAACTGAAGGAATACTTTCCTCTTGAGATTGTAACTGAAGGTAAAGACGTAAAAATTGCTATAGATATGACCTAATATTATATAATATTGAAGCTCTCATTTTCGTAATTATTGGACATGGATAATATGTACGGTACTTTAAAATGACAATTTTGAACTAATTTGAAATTTTTGAATTTCAACATTACTACCACTAGGCCTTTTAAATATCTATCAGGTAAGGATTAAATTACGTATACGTTCTACCCGGGTATTCATCTACATTTTATTGAGCTGATGACATCTTCTCATAGAATTAATATCGCTGTCATTTTTAGCAATTACTGGATTTAAAATTTGAAGAAGTTGAGAATGCAGAAGTGTGGCATCCGGAAGTGCGATTGGTAAATTTGTCTAACTATGAATTTATTTCATACTAGTACCTTTATGTACATTAACTGAGTTCAACTCAATTTTGCAGTTTAATGTCAGTGATGGCTCGTCTGGTACCTTCATGGGCCAATTTTACCTTGATTTACATCCAAGAGAAGGAAAGTTTGGTCATGCCGCTTGCTTTGGATTACAGGTTAATTACGAATGCCATTTATCGTAGTAATTGTCAGATATTTTGATCTATCAAATTGTTTTAATTTGTTAATAGCCCGGATGTGTATTGTCGGATGGCTCTAGACAGGTTATTTTTAATTTGCTGCCTATAGCCATCATTTAGAAACATATCATATAGCCTTGACCTAATCATCGTTCTATTTATGATCATAATCGTTAGCACGCAATTGCTGCAATGGTAGCTAATTTTACAAAGCCTACAGCGACTCGGCCTGCCTTACTCATTCATGATGAGGTAGGATCTGCCTCAAGCAATCGTTTCATGTTGCTGCATTTCTTAATGAAATAGTATTTGTGATTGTGAAGGTGGTGACCTATTTTCATGAGTTTGGCCATGTAATGCATGGAATTTGTGCAGAAGCTAACTTTTCTATGTTCAGGTACACAGTACGAGATTGATAGAGTTAGGTTCGTTTTAAAGTCTTAAAGTGAATTTTAGCTAACATTGATATTTCTGTTCTCTTAGTGGTACACGAGTTGAAAGAGATTTCGTTGAAGCTCCATCTCAAATGCTTGAAAATTGGTGCTGGGAAAAAGAGTCCCTTTGCAAAATGTCTGCCCATTATAAAGGTAATTGGATAATTTAATGTCGAGTCAATTTTCAATCGTAAGTTCTGTATGCATCATTCGTCATTTAATTAATTGATTGTATAAGTAACAAAATATTAAGCAATCGAAACATATTATTGAGATATAGATTATATGGCGTAGATGAAGTATCAATCATCATGTTGATACGTTTCCTATTGGCTTTGTTACTATTGTAGATTCTAGTCCGATTCCTGATGATTTGTTAGAAAAATTGATTAAATCACAACGGGCGAACGCTGGTGTCTTCAACTTGCGTCAGGTATGAATTAAATATAGAGCTTTTAAAATTCTAATTGCTACATTATGCGCTATTTTACTTCCCATCTTAAGTAATATTATTTGATAGACATGGAATATTTAAGCTATCTGTGTATTGTCTATTTGTTTTTTATTTAAAAAGATCATGTTGGGAACCTTCGATCAGACCATCCATACAAGTCGTAAAGTAAATAATTGTTACAGGAATTCTATAGTTAATATTATGACAGATAAGCAAAACACTATATATGCGCTAGAAATTCGGTAGCCTAAGATAGTAAAGTATTGATAAGCAAAATTTTGATGTTAGGCGGATACAGCTGCCGTTTATGCTCGATTATCTGAAGAAATATTAGGCATTCAAGCAACTCCAGGTTATTGGTTCATTATCTGCATCATTTTTTTGGAATTTTAAGTGCCCTATATTTATGGCAGTTTCATATTCAAGCTGGCATAAATTTAAAGTTTATAGTACTTTTTTTTATTTATAATTGCAGGCACAAATATGGCGGCAACATTTGGTCATCTTGCGGATGGTTATGATGCAATGTACTATGGATATTTGGTATGAAAATCTTGTGTACAACTAAGCTTGCTATCCATACGGCAGAAATCTCAGTAGCTAGAGATACTTACTATAGAACATAGATTTAGGGTTGCATTCAAAGGTACAGTACGATACTCATGTGTAATTATTTATCTTTCTAGTGGAGCGAAGTATATTGCATGGATATGTTTTATACGCGATTTAAGAAGAACGTTATGAACGCTACAGCTGGTCGTGACTATCGAGAAAAGATATTAAAACCTGGAGGAACAAAGGTATTATAGCAGTACAATCCGGAATTAGTGATTTTTTAATTTTGACATTCTTTACTGACATAACATAAAATTTGATCACAGGATGCAATCGATATGCTAAAAGAATTTTTAGGTCGAGATCCGGATGAAACAGCATTTCTAACCAGTAAAGGGCTGACGGTAGATTAAACTGCTCTTAATATATATATATAAGTGTATACTTTCATCATAGTCATGCCATTGCTTTATGACTTCAATAGTCATACCATTTTGCTAAGGTTATCAGTCTAGATCTTGCTGAGCGTCCTTCGAGTTCATTGCTAGTTCAAACTATGACCTACCTAGTTTAATTTTAGGCAGTTATCGACGATTTTTGTTTTTACACCTCTTTATTCTATTGCGTTTATTCCTGATCTGATAACATAAGTCTTTACATAATTAGCAATTAACATTTAGAACTTCTAATTGCGGTAAGAGCGCACGTTTCCTTTTCATCATATATTAAATTTGTTTTCAAGTCGCTAGCAAATTCACAGTGTAACATGTTCCTGCTGTGATTTTGAGTATCTTAAAAGCTTAAATTTAAAAGAATAAAAACTTTTAAGCTAAATATATTGCAACGATGGAAGCCATGCTATATAGTTCCGCAGCAACAATTTCGTTTCCAAACTGGATATATGTAAGACTGCTATATGCATTGACATACTACATAAACTTCATGATATTGTATGTAACATTATCTACCTAAGAAGATCGATATTGTTTAATTCTCTAATCGGTAACGTCTCCAGAGGCCAATAATGACACTAGCTAACCGCGTTCATTTAAAAATCGGGTGTACTCGTATCTACTTCATAAACAGCCTACTGCTATTTGAAGTACTCTATTCGTATTTACCAGCATTAAGCGCAAATTCATTTATGGGACGCCCAGTAATTTAACAATATCATTTTTAAAACTTTTTTATGCTATGAAATATTACTTACGTTATTATCGCCTTCGCAAAATGTGTAATACATTGTATAAGTTAGTTATATTTACGTTATAATGTCGTATTACATCTCCAATAACTACATTTTTTTTGTAAACTGTACTGCAAGTTTCAAATACGCTACCAGTTAAAAAAACACTTGACCAAGAGTTCCATGTAAGGTTAGGCACCACTATGATCCGAATACCTCAGTATTTTCGTCAATAGGTGTGTAAGAATATTTACCACGGCCATCAAATTGCAGCACATACTATCGTATAAAAACGCATTTAATTGGCAACACGGTACAATAAACATTGATAGATGATTTAATAGATAAGTTGATTAATAAAACTTACATCATGATACTTCCATAGCGATTTTCTATGTGAAACTGTGAATAAAGTAATACCAACCTAATAATAGTGGTGCAATACATCAACAATCGGTCACATGGTTGTAAACAAAAGAATGACAAATTGACAATTAATATTATACAATATGATAAGAAAGTTACGTTTGGACCACAAGATTCTCACCTTCTTGCAATAGGAATACATAAATCCTTCGACGTCTACACTAACTGCACTGGTGCATTCATCTAAGATTGCAAATTGTGGACGATGATAGAACAATCTGGCCATCTAAGAATGGATTATTGTGTTATGACTGATACTTAATCGAGTTATTGTTCTTAGTACATACATAGTTTATATGACAGCTATCTCTCAAGAAGACTTACAGCGACTCTCTGTTTTTCACCTCCACTTAAAACATCCATCCAATCCTAGCGTAACACAATTTGGAGATAAGTACATAGCACTTTACGTAAATCATTTTTCCTTTACAAAAAGATAATTTACTTGAACGGATTCCCATCCATTTTCTTCTCGTTCGACAAGATTAGTAAGTTGAACCTGCGATAGTAGTAGAAGAAAAGTGAAATTCTTAGCATATTACTGAGAATATACTTTACAATAAACGCTAGGGAAAACAAAGAGTTACTTCATTAAGAAGCTCAGCCAGCATATCATCTGTAAATCCTTTTTTCTTTTGGTCTTCAAGCGTATCTGGGTATATTATTTGATCCCTGAGACTACCAATTGTCATATAAGGTCGCTATAACGAAATTCATCAAAATTAATACTGAAATGTAATCAAGTTACTTCGCCTACATCTACAGATCATTGCGAAAGTTAGTAAAGTACCTGAGGAACATAGAACAGCTTCTTCTTTTCTGGCTTAACCAATACTCCGCCAAATAATGGCCATAGCTTTAAAAAACAACGATTGGCGTTACTAAGTAAATGGTATGCGTAGACTAGTTATCAAGCCGACCAATTAGTTTCATACTTCGCCTAATATCCTAAATAAAGAGCTCTTGCCGCAACCATTGGGACCGCATACTAAAACATTTTGACCGGACTTTACCTACATACGGACGGTACAGATAGAGTATCAGTATATATTACACATAACATTTAGGATATGCAGTGATATTACCTCAAAGTTGAGTCCATCAACCAGTAAATCTGCATTAGGCGTAACCAATGGTACGTCTTCAAACCTGGCATTATCAGTAAAATCAATTAAGCACAATTCTCTGTTTAGTTAACATCGCTGCAATTTTACGAAGCGGAGGAATCTTATACAGATTAGATATTCCTATTCACCTAATGATATGATCTTCGTAAACGATTTTACCATTTCCGGGAGCAAAATCCAATCGTGGTTTAGCTGAAATAAAGTAAGATTCTAATCACACCCGGTTACTCGTTCCGCATTAGTTTTTAAATGGCCTTACAGCCTCCGGTAACCATAGTACGTTCATATAGTCCGTTATTAAGGTCTTTCAAAACAGTCATTAGTTCCGTTATTCTGGCAGTGAAACTGGAAAGTTAAAAGTGTTAAAATTGATTAGTTAAACTATACTGCGTAAACGTCATCATCATAGGTCTTACCCAGCTAGTCGCGTTAGCTCTCTGCCAGCTAGGACAAGCCTTCCAATGGCTTCTGCCATACGGACCAGCATTCTTCCGCTACGGTAGTATTCCTGATACAAAGCAATCACAAAAATACATAAAAAAGTTGCCTCGACAATCATACAATACTATTACAAGAATAAATAACCTCTAGCAGCTGGTTATGGGAAAAGCCAACGAAACGGTCATTAGTTAAATTTAAAAACGGTCGACTGACTACAAGGTAACCAACAACTGTAGCCATATCTGATAAATAGAAAAAATTCCTTAGTCGATTCTAAATTAAGTCAAACCGGATCGCCACTAGAGTAAGCTATGTCGCATACATTTCGCAATAATATTGTCAAAAAGACCGAGGGTGTATCGAAATTGAAGGAGATTCCTTAAATGCTTCATCTAGTGTATTACAAGAAGAAAGATATTTCGTTACATGTTAATTAGTTAACACACAACGTTAGAATGCAAAAATAAAACTGACCAGTTTATGAAACGTGGCCAAAATAGTAATTTTTTCTCTTTCGTTTCCTCCATAGAAAGCAATTTCTTCGCTGCCATAACAGAGAGGAAATTTTTAGAATTCACTATCACTATGTTAATACCTTAGAAGATTGAAGCAATCACGTATCTAGGTACTATCTGAATTACCTATTAGTAATAAGTCTCGAGTTAACAAAACGATATTCTCCTTCTAATTTTTGTTCAGTTACCGTCATCCGACTGATTGGGCGTCGTAATCTATAGGTACGATGAAATTTATTCTTATAGCGTAAATATAGAGGATTAAACTAACCAGTCTCGTATTTTACTGTATGATCATAAATTTATTAGTGTCCTTACCGAGTGAGCACAAGGCCTGAAATAGCAAGGTATACAAGCATATAGCCTGGCCCTTGAGCACCAATAGCAGCAGCTAATTCACGAGCATATATGATAATATCTAGTAAGGGCTATAGTTGAATGTAAAAATATTTAGGGTTAGCATAGATCAGCTATTACAAGTTTGTTAGTTCTGTTATCATACAGTCTGGTTTATTCTATATGACAGAAAAATCTACTTTATACCTTGCTAATGTTTGAATATAGCTCTGTAACACTTTCGCAAAATCTTTCCACATCCTGAAACAAAGGAGAACAAAGGCCTATATTAGATTACAATTGCTTCTTTATGTTATACAGTATATTGCACAGATTCACCTGAGTAAGTAACTGATCAGCATTTGCAATTCGGTTGTCAATATTTGACATTTTGTAGTACGTAAATCCACTATTACGAGAGAAATAAGGCACTTTTAAAGAGGTTGTATGTCACAATATTTTAGGCCAATAAATAGGCAAGCTTTTACTAACTTTAAATATTGCTGGTATAGATAATTGGATAATCTCTCACGAAATCTTAATTTCAACTCATTTAAACTGTACTGTTAACAAGAAGAATAAGTGTTTATTATATGTCCACTTGTAGATGAAAGATGACGATATAACATCATTGTAATGAGAAGGTACCTTTAAGGCATTGTTGACGATTGAAATCTGATAAATTAAAAAAATTAGAATACACAGGATTAGTAAGTACAGTGGATCACGTGCTAATATAAACGTTTTAAGTAACAAATATTACCACAATATCATAACATTAATAAAAATGATACATACTATAGGCATGGCACAAAGCAAGCGAGTCAGGTGGCTGAGAAAAAGTGAGTAGTTTCGGCCAATAATCGAGCTGAACAAATATTTATTGCAGTACTTATGAGTAAATTATTCAGTTATCTTATGTTACGAACCTTGAAATTAAGACGTTGATTATTAATTAAAGCTGAGACTGCTAGTGATTTATTTACCTTTCAACTGAAGTTCCATTTGAAATCATCCAAACGTCACAAGCGGTTCTGGCTACCAGTGAAATGGCAACCATGACCATGTAACCGCTCTAAAGACATCATAAAATAAGTTGTCATCACTAATTTATCATGCATAATCTGGTTGGCATCTAAAATCTTTGTCCTACTGTCAAAATCAGTAAACATGTACTACAAGCCATCGGAATGAAATATAACACTTACTAACAAGTTGCATGATTACATTGAACGAGTTACCGATTCTATTGTATATTTTACAGCAATTAAGCACATAACACACTACTTAGATTTGAACTAATTTAGCTCACCTCTGGACATATTAATTTCGGAACAAGTATACGAAATATTGACGCTATACTCCTGTAGTCCAAAAGATTATGTGTTAAAGTTGTGTCGGGTTACATAGCTTATGATATCTAATGTTTGTTTCTTAAAATACCGAAAAAATTTGAGATTGACAGCTACACGAAGTTCCTTTTTACCATTACCCTAAAAGAATTCGAAAGTTTGTTTAATATTAGAAAAGGAAAATCAATGATCTGCCACAAAATAGGCTAACACGATCATGCAATGAAATTATTATCCATTTAATGTTTTACTACAATTTGCTTCATTACAATCATGTAAACACATCATCCATTACGATCATGGTTACGATGTATTTTTTACCTTCCTTGGAAGAATTTGAATTTCACTCTTGGTTTTTCTTATCCATAGGAATTATAAGGATTTAAACAATAAAAGTAATTCGATAAGTTGCTAAGGTACTTTAGGATTACAGACAGGATGATAGTAATACATATCCAAAATATTAAAAATGTCAAGCCGGGGACCTATAGACAATCTGTACAGTAATGCACATTGCACACGTATGTATAGAAGAAAATGTGCTGAACACTGTAAGTTACTGTGGTAAATCATACCGTAGATTTAAAACTATTGCAATTTAGCGTGATGACTGCTACGGTAAATTCAATCAATATTCTATCCATTGCCGTTATGAGTAGAACAAACTAGATACTAGATTTTATTCGATGGTGATAAGGATATTACAGTACTGTACATTGTACAAGGGTGTTGTATTTTGATGTTAGCCAAGCAGGAGATTTACATGATAATAAGCAAATGGTTTAGTAGATAGATCTGTTATTTCCTGGACGAAGAAATCTAAGTAACTAAGCAAATAATATCTGATAACTTTCGATAGTACTATTTTAATCGATTATCAATTTTTTTATTATTAGTTATCAAGTACCTTGTCAATGAAATAGACAAGGTATGAAACCAGTTTACTTAAAATCGGTACACTGTACAGTAAATCTGTATATTACTGCACAGCCATATACGGTACAGTGTATAACACACTACAGTAAGTAGAAGGCGAATGAATTTACTATCATCCTAGAGCTAGGATTGGCAGCAATGAAACAGCTTGTGAAACTCCATATAATAAGCAAACGAGAGCCATTCTGTACATGCCCATGAACCGATTCTATACACCAACCTCGTCAACAAATCAGCTTATTTAAAGTATTTACAGTAAGAAGGTCTGAAAGGGTGCAGTAGTGTATGACCTCTTTACAACTCTATCCTTACGGCAACGAATGCGTTAAATACTGTAAAAAGCAACTCCATACAAGATATTTTAAGGCATGAGATTTACTTACTGTGATGATATGCTTCTACTAATAAATATTAACGCTGCTAAACTTCCACCAAGTACTGCAGCACTTGCTCGTGGATTTTCGACTAATTTTGATATCGCCGCCATCAGATTTCCATGCACTCTGTCTTGATCTGATTTATAATGCAAACCAAGCAGTAGCTATGTCGCCGGGTAACTACTACTTGTGCAATACCACTGACGATTACAATTGTATTATTCTGTATGTCACGCCATTCGCAATCCGAGTGACACCGCGTGAAGCGATGAACCTCCACAAAATCCAACTTTGTACTGTACAAATAGCCATAGAGATAAAAGAAAAACCTACAATCCGAACTCCCCATACACCGTGGGCTACAGTACTTGTTACTCTACGAGCTATGGGCCACATTGCACTAGATTTTTGACGGGGTAAAGTTTTTTCTCTACACCTTTCTATAGACGTCCCAACAGTAGAGTGGACAGGAGGACAATGTACAAAGTGCGACCTAAAACTTCAACGTTTTTACCCGGTTAAAAGACGCTGATGGTAAACAATACTATACTGTACAGTATGACCCCATAGAGGTAAAAGAAAAACCCTCCATGATATGACCTTTAACCTGCTACAGTACGGTACTGGTCCACTCCAGCCTAGCTTGGTAGGCCTACAGTACGTACTGTACTTGAAGGAATTAACCCAAAGATCATGAGTGCAGCTCTGGCTCAAGCTAAGCAGGGACGTATCCATATCTTAAATAAGATGCTGGAAGCCTGCCCAAAAGCAAAAGAGCATGCTCTGAGGGCTTTTTTTATGCTTGCATCTTATCAACAGATATCCCAATACTTCTTCTTTTAATTTCTAGAGTAGGAGCATAAAGATGGCTACCCCCCCCCCCCCGTTGGTCCCTTTTCACCTTTAAATTTACATCCATCAAATAGTCATGCCTCTATCCCCCAGTATGCATCATGGACAACTCCCATCTTCTGACGTTTGTTCATCTGCTCATCTGCAACACCAACATCGTCTTCCTCCAGAAAACCCCTACTGGAAAAATCCACATGGAAGCTCTGTCAATGTCTTAACGTCTCTCGTGCCTCGTGATCCTAATGGCCCTTTGATTTACTATTTTTATGTCGCCACCCAGCAAGGGTTTTCCTTAATTTTTTATCAGTCAAAGATTGAACAAAGCATCATGAGATCCTTCTTATCTGGTTGTGATCCTGTTGGAGCACGCGTCGATCCTGTTATTATGGATGCCCGTTATGAGCAGATTTCTTCACAACTTTATGCACTCTTAACTCAGCACATGCACCGAAAAGAAGGCATGCCTCCTACGATTGCATTTCAAGGCCTCTGGCTTCAGCCAAATAACTGCTGTAACCGCCATCCTTCTGGCAGAGAACTCGTTTGCCTTTTGTGTGGCTACAGCTCTGAAGAACGATTCCCATTATTTAACCTAAAGCTCGTTCCAAATACATGGAAAGTCATCGCTCACAATCCTGATTTGCAAGGTCTGAGTTTTGCTCATGCTGGACAAGAAGAGCTTACTGTTTGGTTGCATGAATCTAATAGCCAAGCATTGGGTTCTGCCTTAAAAGCTACAAATATAGAATCTAATAACCTTAAAAAGCGATAAGAAGTCAAGAAGAGGCTATGGGCTTTGTTAAACAATTCTTTGATGATAAAATGAGCGAGAAAAAACTCTTAGGCCAACTATTCAAGTTCAAGCCCCATAGCACCGCTCTCATAAAAGCTTTTCGCGGTGACACAACCCAAACAGCGCTTCTTACCCAGGTTGTAAAAAATGCTGAGGAATACCTCGCCTCATTACAACGGAAACAAAAACAAGTTGTCGAAACTCTGGGCGATCTCCATGCTTATCAAGCAAAATTAGGTGAAATTGAAGCAGCCCAAGGAAACCCCGCTGAAGTTAAGCGCCTTCAAGTCGAACTTGGACGTATGAACTGCCCGGCCTCTTGTGCACAGTCCACTGTTCAAATCCGCAAGCAAAAAGAGTTATCTCCACAAGAAAAGAACTTTTACCTGCAAAAAAATCTGCTAGACACTTTGCAGCTTTTTAAACGCTATTGGCACTTTCTTCCTGAATTTGACCCAACTGAAACCACAGGGTGGCTTGAAGGAGGAAAAGCTCTTCTCATTCAAAAAGCGAACCGGATTATCCGAGACCCAAGTTCAATAATCATCATAGAGCGGTGTGGCTTCGAACGAGACTTAAGCCATCATTTAGGAGACTTAACAGCTCCAACACGGAAACAGGCTGAATGGCTTTTCGAACGTTTTGCCGAATATGAAGCAAATTTTCAAATGCTACGTATCGCCCCATTTGCTGATCAGGATATTGTCTGGCTTCAGGAGACCGTTGGTGTTCTTGAAAGTCACCTGCAACGTTCTGGCCGCCTAACACATGAACTCGAAACGAAAAGATCTGCTCTAGCAAACCAACGAGAAATGCTTTTAGGAATCGAACCCGTCTTTGTCGTAAAACGCCCTGGAGTGGGAGGAGAAATTCAGTCAACCGTTGTTAAACGATTTGGCAAAGATCCCCTAGAGACTCAAGATGAAGTGCATATTCCCGTTGGGGGATAATACATTTCCTGTTATCATGCAGGAAATTTTTTTTTAATGCTGTTACAGTGTTAAATACTGTATTACAGTAGAAATAACTATGTTAGGATAATTCTGTTAGACTATCCTTATTTAGTTAACTTCTAATTTGGATATACTGTATTTTAATATAGCACTGACTTTTTATGACAGTGACACTTATACACATACTGAAATTATAATAGTTATAATAGGGAATGCAAATCATCTGCTTACAGTTCGAATCATTGTGATTGTAATTTACTTATGATAGACTGTAAATTATCATGGAAATGTTCCGTGATAGGACATATCGTAATCTGACTATTCTGTATTAGTTATTACATGTCTATGTTCGTAAATACTGTTGTCTGCATTAAGAGAGCAGTAGCTAAAATTAATATCTAATTCAGTAAATGATTCTAATGTTAATTGTATTAACTATGACTCATGAACTATTGAGGAATAGTATATAAATGCAGTATATCGTGAAATAAAGAAGAATTGTCCAACTTAGTGTTTAACGTAAAATACGAGGCGTTTAAGTCTTTGTGTAGTCTGCTAGTAGAGCAAAAGTGCTCGTGATAGTGCAGATATCGTTCCTTGATACGTAGTTCAAGGAATTGACTTATTGATCGTAGATTACGTTATCTTGTTGCAAAGCTGTTTTGTGACAAATGCATATGGAATTAGGGAAATGAGTTATTTAGCAACATTAAGTCTAGATCAACAGACTTACTTAGACAAAACCCCATCTCTCCAACCTATAGGGACTTATATAAACTCTCGTTGTTTTCCTAATATGCTCAGCGCTCTTCAAGCAAGCAATATCAAGTTTACTCAACTTCTTGAATGTTTAACAAGTCAGCAACCTCTTGCTTCTGGAAGCATTACACAAAGTCTGACTAGCCTAAATGACTCTTTGACCTGGTGCGGGGAGCGTTTAGAAAGCATGAAAAGAGGAGGACTCACACAAATTCCAACTATGTTTGACAGCGTTTCAGTTGAGTATGTTACAACAGGCCTCTCGCCAGAACGCGAAGACAAAACGGAAACAGATACTGAAAATATAAGAGCTTTCGAAGAAGAAATGGGTAAAGCCGCAAAGTTTCAAGAAGTTTTTAAAAATATTCAAGCAATCTCTAAATGGCCCAAGTATTGGGATGTTCAAGTTATGCCCTCCTTTGGAAGTGATTACTCAGTGACTAAGAAATCTGCTTACGCAAAAGTTGAATATGTTGCCATCGTCTTTTTTCTCCTGATAGCCGTTTTCTTGATTCAACTAGTTGTTCGCTCAAAACTCCTTCCGTACTTTAAAACTCTTTAATTAGTTGTCTTCATAAAATGAAGTGATTGCTTCAAAATAAGCCTCAGCCACATCAATAATGCGCTTTGGACAGGGATTTCCTTCAACCATCGCCTCATTTTTATTGAGTTCAATTGCCTCTTCAAGATTATTTTGAATTAAGGTCTCTCCATAACAGAGAGGGCCTTTAACTAAGCGTGTCAAACATAGATTCCGACAGAATACGCCATCAGCTGAAACCAAACTATTTCCAAAGCCACAAATATCTCGTTTAGCGGTTTTAAGGGGCGGCACCTGCAAACTATACAGTATGACCCCATAGAGGTAAAAGAAAAACCCTCCATGATATGACCTTTAACCTGCTACAGTACGGTACTGGTCCACTCCAGCCTAGCTTGGTAGGCCTACAGTACGTACATGTGTACGTACGGTACAGTACAGTACTGTACAGTAGAAGAAGACCGCACTCTCTCTCTCTCAGACAGACGGAAGTTTGTTACCAAATGAGGCTATAAATACCGAAAAATACCTACTTAGTATGGATCTTCCCATGTTTGTTTTCTAAATCACTGGTAGTAATTTTAATAACATCGGCGATTTTATATGACTGCCTCCAAGCGGAACTTAGCAACAGATAATAACATTTAGTGTAATATCACTTAATTTAGAAAAATTAGTCAATTCAAAATCGCCCATCTGCATACTAAAGTACTGTCATAACGAAGTGTTTGAAACAATACACGGTACGCGTGTTTTGACGAGATGAGGCCGAAAATGTCTGTCCATCCTAGAGCGATTAGTTTCAAGTCTTCTTCTAGTACTCCTTGCCTGTTCATTAGGGTTTCTGTACTACTGTACTGTATATCGTACTGTTTTCATATTTCAATGGGCTAGTCGATCCCTCGTTCTTACATACCACTATCACTGTTCTCGTTTACTTCACATTATCACTCCATACATCATTGCATTTTTTTATATACTAGTACATACAGTATATTTACTACATTATGTACCATCATGAATTATGGTGTCAGTAGATGCACCATTGAGTCCTATTGACTATACAGAAATATAGGATACTGCAGATTTTAAGCAAGACAATAAATGCCAAGACGCTTATATAATGAAATAAATTTATTGGCAAGTTTTTGCCTATCTTGCATCTAACCTCTAGATATGGATGATACAGGGCGAAATTATATTTATAAATAAAATCATATACAAAATTACAATTCAACAATATTTGATAGTCTAAGATATCTGTACATATGTATATGTACGCATACGCGTATGTGCTAATATACAAAGAAAAAGATCGAAGTATGACTCCCCAAATTTCTGTTATCATAATTGCATGATGTACTGTACAGAGTACAAGGCTAACACTCCATTTTAGATCATCTATATTAAAAATGATACACGTATAGTAACAATTTAGAGCATCTGAATCACTCTTCCGAGAAACGCAGTGCTAAAACAACGCATTTGCAGTTCTTACCAAGTTTTAGGACAGCAGATGCATTTATAGAATCAGGATAGCTACTTATAATCACAAAGTAGGTTGCAAATAGCACGCTAATCTGTTGCACTGACTTCATAACTGAAAATTAGTAGTACAGTATTAAACTTGAATTTTACGCATCATATGCGATTAGCTACTTTCATGGCCATAGCTAGTAGGTTACTATTAATTTATGGTAATAAAAAGGTTGCAACAATATATTTTGGCATACAGTAAGTACAGTAGTCGAGTATCTTCTTAAAAAACTAAAAATAATCTCATTTTTTATTTTCAGACATTAAGAGAATCTACCAACGTAGATAGATTTTGAATATTTCTCCTTCAATTCTGGCCACTGCACGAAAAGATAGTCAGCAAAGTAATATATGATTTTTCCTGAAAGGGAGAGTGTTGTAACTCTGCATACGCTTTCTACATAAACAATAACACAGTTATGTATTCCCATAACCTATAAATTGGGTAAAATTGATAGTTTTAAAAAGCACTATAGTTAGTTTGCATCTACTCAATAAGAATTTAAAATACGTTTGACAATGATTACAACAATTATCACCTTGAAAGCAAAGGCAATTAAAGAAACTGGAATACAGGTTCCAGGACCGTTGCTTATGATCTGATATGCAATATTCAAAAATGAGTGTTGATGTAGAGATAATATAGCAGCTTAGGAAATTGCGTAGATAATTATAGTTGCCTATAGATATTATGCTACGTATGTAATGACGCATGTACAGAATTATTACCACATCTGGTCGGTGTTTCCACACAAGAGGTATAGAGAATATACATGCATATAAAGTTGTCCAAATTGTCGTTAGCCAAGATTGACGAACCTCGCGACTGCGTGGAATTATCTCACAACAGAACTATAGAAATCGAAAATCAAACAGATTAATAAAAGTACAGTGAGAAAGACGATGCTCTAAAATAATTTCTTCTATATCACATGCATTTTATGCTCGTACAACAGCATAGACATAGACATACATCTCCGCCTAAGTTTGCTTCTTTTTCTAATTTTAGTAACTTTTCTTTGCTCATTTTATCAGTAGCGGCTACAACGTAGATTCTTGGGTTGTAGGCTGAAGTAAGAACTCCTATTAATTTCATTATTTCCATAGTGTGACCACCTAATATTGCAAGCACAGATAAAAAGATTTTTTAGGGATTTTTCGACTGAATAGCAATTATATAATAGCGTATGATCTCTGCATTAGTGCTAATTTTAAGTCTCATTATACAGTATACAGCATCTTGTAAATGGTACTTAATTATGCAATACTGTATAGATCTTCTGCATGATATAACTGTAAATTCCAATGTAAGGTGTAGTGCCACGCAATAATTTCTGTTACGACAGTGGTACAAATAGTACACAGTTACATATGATGCTCATATACCGCTCTATTCTATGAATATTAAATAGTGAAAGTCATTACAAGAAATTTCGGAAATTAAATTTGAGTAGCTGAATATCCCTGACTTCTTATCTACAATAAATTGTATCTACAGCTGCAATCACATCTTGCATCTACATTAGATTAATCACCATAGTGCGTACGTATGTCGGCAAGTTTAACGCAATGAATACTTAGATTATATATACAGGAATAGAAGTAGCTATGATATGCAATGACTAATCTGAAACGATTTATGAATACTATCTGTTTCCATAGTGCTAAGCCTTAAAGAAAGAATTTTCCAATATATCTAATGGTTATTTAATCTCACTTTGCAGTTAATCTAAAATACAGTACGGTACAATGACCTTTAGCTTTGTACTGAATTACTGTACCTGATCCAGCAATAATCATAGTTTTGACACGTCCATCATGTGCTATTTTTGTTGGTAAGTTAGTAAGAATATAAAAGAATCGAAGTAGTAAATAACATCCTACAATGTTGAAACATGCGATACATAATGTCAAAATCCAGTAATTCCAATAATCCATTTTGATATACGTCGTAGTACAGTTAAAATGAAAGTAGACTAGTTGATATTTTGATGGCAAAGCTGGCAATCTGTAATCAGATACCTTTACTGTACAGTGTACAGTGTACAGTATACAGTACTGTAGATTTCAGTTGCATCTGTAGTCGACTCGATATACTGTACTGTAGCTAATGTTGCTGATTTTGCAGCAAAGTACAGTACAGTACGTAGATTGCATCATTTTCATACATTATGAAGGCCAACGCTACCTATCCACTATAATTAGCAATATTATGCTTAGATAAGTACCACTAATTTACCAAATGATTCTTGTTTTTAGAGTACGGCAAGTACAGATACGATAAATTGATTTTAAATTTTTAAGTTTCAGCGACTTTGTAAAATTACATTATGACCAAGTTGTGGCCCACAGTGCAAAGAACGGGAAGTTAGCGCTAATTTCTGACTTGTTTGAAATTTTAGAAATTCAGTAGTGGTCGGCATAATACAGTACGGTGGAATAAGTAAGCACAACAGATAGACAGACAGACCCTCCCAAAATATACAGTATACAGTACAGTATATTACCATACTGTATACTGTACTGTATAAGTGTATATTAGTATAAGATAATATAGAGACATTCATATTCAGTTCCGTCAGGCGGTAGAATTCTCTGTACAGTACTGTACTGTATTGTACATGTCGTTAACGTTCTACCTAAGTACTGTACAGTACCGGACTGTTATTCTCAACCTGTAAATGAACCTGTTCTTCATCCTCTCATCATCCTTGATATCTATTATTATTAAGTCCCAATAAAACATATTGTTATGTATGTAAGAATACAGTAACCTGTTGTACTGCACCTCTAACGTGTTAGCATAAGATAAGGGTATAATATGTCATTACGGCTATACTATTTAAATGCAGTAAATCCCTAAATAAAAGAGACTTTTTAGTAAGCTTACTAGTAGGAGTGTATCAAAGTCTCTTGTGCTAACGTTAACGACTAAGAGTGGAAACACAACGCATATTACAATGTACTCGTAAATCATCTTGCCGTTATCAATCACATATTATACTAATTCAATAGTAATGATCAATCGTTTATTGCATTATAGGCATTATTAATATGTGAAGGTTATATTATCGTTATAAATTTACAAATACGTCATTTATTTCCCCCTATTTTACGTAATTACCTCACGTTACTACATGAGGCAACATCTGCGTCTGATGAACTCAAAAGCATACAAGATAATTCTCTTGCAGTCTTATTTAATCACGACTGTACAATTAAATTATATCTTATATTAATTGATAAAAACAGAACTGTTATCAATCGGTAACAGTTATACTATCATGTCATATGAGTATGATTAGTTACTGTATCGTTTACATGATAGTGTCTTATTATTTCGTTCTACCTTTAAGAATAGTACTGTATAACGAATTAATATCGGTATGCGGTACGGATGGTACCATACTATGAGTAATACAGTACTACGAAAGGAGAGTATAACGTTCAATGCGAGAGAACATTTGTTAATTACCTTATTGAGTTAAGAAATTAAGAATGGACGCTATTAATAAAGATTAAACTTAAGAATTTTGGGGGCAAATTTACCCAATTTTCCCAAATTAAGTCTAACAACTGAACTTTGCTACACTCGTACTGTAACAAGCGTAAGTAAAATCAGGAATCGGATGTAGCGGTTAGTAAAATAAAAAGTCAAAAGAGAATATTTTGTTCAAAAATCACGACACTATCTTAGAAATCTTTAAAAAAATCCAAGTGTAAGTCGTCATTACAGTTATTGACATCATTCATCATCATATCAACAGGGACATTTTCATTCCCATGTAGAAAATCTGCTGAGTTTGTTGTATTTCTGGATGGTGGATCACCGGAATTATTACCAATGATTGAGCAATTATTGTTAACCACCGGATGATCATTCATAAATGATTGTGATTCTGTAGATAACGGTTGATTTGAATTTATTTTAAGTGCTTCTGTTAGGGCTGAAATGTAATTTCGAGCTAATCGCAGAGTTTCAATTTTTGATAACTTCTGATCAGGAGCATAGCCCGGTATAACACGGCGTAATTCTTCCAATGCATCGTTTAACATATGCATTCGACATCTCTCTCTTGCGTTAGCTTTCATTCTACGAATTCTTGACCTGGACGAAGATTTTGATTTGTTTTTGCGCCTGGTTGCAGAAGACGAGGATGTCTTTGATTCAGCAATTTCTCTTTTATTGGAGCATTTCTGAGTAACTTGTTCCCGCGGTCGTAGTGTATATATACCAGAAGATGATATATCATTAAAATCATACGAAAAGTTATTTTCGTGATCCATTAATTTTTCATTTTTAATGCCACAAGCATTCGGCTCAATTACTTGGACTTGCATACTTGCAACGCTCTATTTTATAATGTTCCCCTTCCACAATCAATTTCTTCTTTTGCTAAAATAATCGAATAAAGGTTACAGCCTGAGTAATGTAATCATTTAACATTCTCTCTACCTACATCAACCAATGAACCCTAAAGGGGGCCTTTATAAATGCGAACCAATATAATCGTATACGAGCATACTTCCTGTTTTACTGTAGTCTATAGTACTGATATTAAAAGATTTCTTCTCAAATAGAGCTTAATGAATGAACTTTACTCTTTGTAGTGATTATCCTTTCGATTATAAAGGTATAAAACAGAATGTATCGCTTGTATAGTTGGAATGGCGTTATAGTCTTATAAGGTGTAATTTTTGAGTAGATATGCAATGGAACGCGAATATTTTCGCTAATAAAGAAATGTGATACTGCAATTAGCGCATATACGTGTACATCAATTGTTATTCATACACTATTGTGAGAGTAAGCGCTTAACTATGTTGTGGGAGTGTAAAACTAATAAGGCATTAAATTTTATACTACTAGTAAAATATGTGTAATTATGGCTACAGATTAAAGAAAACTTTATAATTTAATGAGATAAAAACAATTAATTTTATCGATTTTTTACCTTAGTATTTTGGTTAGAAAATTGCTCACTATCGGAAGCGTCAAGTTCTTGTTCCGAATCTATTTAAAAACCGGTTTCATGCAAATGAATAGATAATCGATTTTACGGCATATAAGTAACAATTCGCTAAACTCTTGTTATATCCCAGAATCACTTAGTATTATAAAAATTATCTAAAATAACATATGGATAAATCAATTGATTGTACTGTCGAAAGACAAATTTATCAACTTCAAATCAGAAGAACTAGTTTGCATATTATATTCGCCTGATCTGCTTTGCCATATGTTGCAATACTGTACGGGCTATATCTTATTGAATTGAGAATTTGCCGTTATTAAAGATTTCAAAGAGAACCGGGCGCATAAATTGGAAGAGATTATCACTATGTAGATATGGCGACATAAGGAATTATTATATGCTGTTAAAATAAATTTTACTAAAAAATTTTACCATTTGCTAGCTTAGAATGTATGTTACTTCTATCCAATTTCTGTAAATCAAGAAAATCCTAAGATTAGTTCGTGATGTGGTTAGATTTGATTCTGTCGAAGGGGCAAATAGATTCGCCAATATTTGCATGTATTTGTGTCTTTAAGACATATGTGTGAATATGATCTTCTTTAACTGCAATAATTGGGCGGGTAAGAATATCTCAAAGCATTAATATAAGCCATTTATCTATCAACTCTCCAATATGTAATTGCTATTTCATAGCCACCCCATTTTTTGGCAATCTATATTGAGGTTATTAAAGCATAGTATACAAACTCGATGATAATTAATAATACCGAAACGATATACCATATGTTCTTAAAAAAATATTATCACAGTATTATGATATTGCGGCCTCTTCACCTTTCATAACAGAGATGAATCCTTCAATGGCAATAAAATATTATAGACAGTTGTAGGTGGTTAGCAAGTACTACGTATCAATCGCAATTTTTTAAGTTAAAACATAAAAGTATCCATTCTATTTAGAAGTCCGATATCAATCATGCTATTAGTTATCTGTGCTATTATCGGAAGTCAGTAATAATAGCTAGTTACAGTGATATTAATTTCTGTTCTAATGTCTATATGTAAACATCTGTAGTGATGTTTCAGGTAATAGATTTCGCGGTATTCAGATGAAAAGTTTGGAAAAGTAGCTATTTATAGTTTAGGACTCTGGCTCTGAAATAATAATTTATAAAACGAAAAAAGAGTGAGCTATCTTTAAGCTACGGATATAAGATTTGCTAAAGATAAATTGATAGCTTGCATGTTTAGAATTTGGTGCATATACAAAAATCGAGCACAATACAGTAATAATGGGTGTTTTAGTTTTTTATCAACGGCACATCATCCAACTTAATATACTCTATGTCTTGTATAAATTTATTATACAAATTATACTGAACTTTGACTAATTATCGGTATATAAGAATTAATAGTAAATGGTCTAAGGCATCATTATTGCCAAAAGCTAAAGTTGAAACTGCTTCGTATAAGCTTTTGCAAAAATCTGTAGATGTTGTTAATGCTAAAATCATCCAAGCAAATATCCGAGCACGGACTGATATAAGCTAAATATGATTGAATGAGTAGATTATAGTGATTTATATTTAGATAGTGATTTAAAGCAGATACGTACACGTATATCGAAAATCATTCAAAGTGAGGACATAACGATAAGATTATACCCTTCAACATTAAACATTAAGCTATTAGTATTGTAATACAGGCCACAAATAGGACGAGAAAGTTATTTGGGGACTATCAAGTCGCGCCTGCTGTCTTATCATGATCAAGCTTTATCGCTCAAAGTATACGAGTATGTACTGTACTATAAAGGTGTAGTTGGTAGGTAATTATGGTGCGAGAATTTACTGTTACTATGCGTGTATTTATCAATTAGAGCCGACGATCTCTACGTCATGTCCAATATTGAGTAAGAAAATGTGAGATTCCGACATACCGTAGGTGCGGTATATGAGGTTTTTATTAGTTTACGAGTTTAGCATGAAAAGCTTGATGTTCGTCAATTTTAAGTCAATTATAATTATCGGGTTAAAATATTGTAGGAAAGCTATTTAGAGGAAATAGGACAGAATCGGTTCTAGGCGCTATATTGCTGGTACATGATCAGTCGAGTCATTCTTTTACCTTTATTCGATTCTTAAAAAGTGCAATATTATACTGGTATAGTACTGTAATGGAATATGTCAGATATTTCATATATCTCTATCAGAAAGGATATACGCGTATAGTAGGGATAATTAAATTAACAACTGTGCTCTCAAATGAAGTTATACTGTAGGTGTATAGTAGACTATCCAGTCTTTACTGGATGTTTCACATTATGTACTGAAACGTCTCCAAGATGAGCCTCGACTAAATAAATGCCATCGCTTGACACCTTTGAGCATATAATCTGAAATATCGAGTAAAAAATCTGATGGGCAGATCGTACACTCTCAAATGTACCGTCATTATCTCCTAAAATATTATGATCTTAAACTGATCCATTCGGAATTGAGTCTGTTACTGATTCATTGTCAACATTACAGAAAACTATTATACGTGAATCACGTACGAATGACGATATGTGCATTGTGGTATGAATTAACTCTATACAGTACTCTACTTAGCAGTGTCACCACCTCCAACCCCGCCCTTTCGTGCTTTTAATGTCTTTTACTTTTACCTTAAGATTTTGACTTCCCAGCTCATACTGTATTTGCATTACGTTGCTTGACCTTGCTGTACGCTTTGAACATTGGTACGCCAATACGCAAATACGGTACGTGATGTTACCTAATCTCTTCATTTTTGAAGACATATCATTCCAGAGGCTTACTAAAGAAAAGTTTTACCTCCCTCACTTTCCGTTAAAATTTCCCTACCTAATAAGATCAGGACGAACAACTGACCTATTCATTATGTACGACGTCCATTCAATGATTCATCAAAGTACGCTATTTCTAGCCTGCAGTCTTTCATTTGCAGGCTGTATGTAGTATAAAGTTCAGTTCAAAAGACTTTGCTAACTCAGGCATGTCTCATTCCATGGCCAGTGTCATAGTATGGAATCCTATTACTTACAGTATACTATCTTAGTATGATAGAATTGGTACAATAAGTACATTAATAGCATGCCTGTCTTGATCTACGTAACTACTTATATCATCATATGCATCTGCTTATTCAAAGCATTCTTGAACAACTCTCTCTCTCTCTGATGATAGATCTCTATTTTAGCAACAACACCAATATCGTGTATCGATAAATCGTATCTACTGTACTGTACTTCCATCGACATGCATCTCTTTGACTTAACCCAAACAACATTCCAGCCAGTAGTTCCTGCTTCATACTGTACACTGTACTGTATTGATATTTGATACAGTATTCTTGAAATTTTTCCTGTCAGTAAAAATAGTACTGTAGTCCATGGTACTGTGCTGTGTACTGTACCTACAGTATAATCTGTAGAGTGTACAGTACTGTATAGCGTAGTCTGTACTGTACTGTAATCTCATCTGATCCGAATACGTTCTGTCGGCAAGATAGCAACAACAACAATCTGCCACTTCAATCCAAGAGTTTCTTGCTAAGCCCTTACACTACAGATTGGAAAAGAGTAATGGATAGTAAATAAATTCGATAATGTAAGATCGCTTGTACAGTAGGTCGTGAAACTGATAGTTCAACTTTACGTCATCAATCAGCACCAATCTGTAGAGTAACGCAAGCAGAGTAAAGTGAGTATAATCAGAATCGGTCATATCGTCTGCAGTCGTGTTGAGGTCACCCATCACACACACGATTGAAAGTTTGGATACAATCTTGACAGGTATAACCAACTGCAATATAATGGCTGACAGCAGCAAGAAGTTAACAAATAAAATCACGTCCATAAGCTATTTAAAGCATGATCATGAAGATTATGTTGCATCAGTTGGAGGAAAAGGTAAATTTCAGCTAGAAGTTATAAAGTAATGTACTTCTTGGCAGTAGAGTAGACAGTCATCAATTTGTAGGTTGAATGTTGTTTTTCTGCAATATACGAGGATTGGCGAAATACTTTTCTGAGCTCAGCTAGATACATGCGTATTTGATGAAGTGCATAGGATGTCAATCCATCATGTTCCGACTACTTCTTCATTTTACTCGATAATGGCATAATAAACGAATAACATTAATAGTACAATCAACAAGAGTAAAATAATTAAAGGGACTGTACAGTACACAGATACGAGATGATCATGAATTAAATGATAGTTCAATTCAATATACCCGTATTGACAGTATCGCAATGATATCGTCATTAGTTCAATAAAAGTGGTAAATACTCATTATGTTGTTATTCAATGACATGATTTAGTTTTAAGAATCAATAGATGGTTTACTGGTACGGAATTTTCGGAAATTGCTCGATTTCAATATCGAGAACGAGCGAATAATTTTGTCGATGTTGGATGGCAGGAAAAAAACGGTATACAAGTACTTTATTACTTTTATATAATGCAATACAATATTGATTAACTCTTAGTAACTTTACTACTAGACACATAGTGATTAAATGCTAGTGGTCAATAGGTTAACGTATGCACTAGATAGATCGAGTAGTCCAATATTAAATTATCTTATCGAATTATGACTGGACACACAGGAGTCTAGATACACCAATACATGTCATAGATGGTAGTAAATAGCTTTGGGGACATTTGCTATTTATTGATAGATGGCGTTGGAAATTTTTGCAACACGCTAGTTAGCATTGCTCATATGGAAATATCAAAGCTATAATTTTATATCGTTCTACTTATCCAGTCTAATTGAAGACTTTACAATAACTTGTTATGGATGATAATATCCGCAAGCTAGCCCATCACTGCTGTGATGGAATGCCTCTATTATCTATCTTATATTTTTGTTCTTACTATAAAAATCGAGATTTGCTTTTACTTTATGAACGCAATCACAATGGTCTTATTCCTATATTATAAATCTTCGTTAGGTCATTTTATCGCGACGTCCTTAAATACAGGTCAAATTCAGTTATGGAAATACGATTGGAAACGTGATCTGTGCATAGGTTAGTCAGTAATCCTTAATATGTTATTATTATCTTATTAATTGATTAATGAATGACTGTTATATAAATATTATAATATGTATTGATTTGGCTAGTAATACCAGTGCTGTGCAATTGATATCTCTAATAGCTCATACCTACGAAGATTGCCAGCGAAGTGTTAATTCATTAACATTCGATCCTTATCGTCCAAACCTACTCTATGCTGGTTCACAAAGTCAGATAGTTGTTTTCGTGAGTTATTAATACTGTACTTTAATTGCATAGCCTCTACAGAAACGTGCTATATTTACTGGGGAAAAACCTATGCTAAAAGTTGTTTCCACTTTTATGGAACGTAATTGCCTCCATTTTAATTGCAGCTCTTTGCTTTTTGATTCATTCATAGGACTTAAGAGAAAAGAAGTTAGTTTCTACATACTTAGATCGCGAAGATGCAGTGAGAGATTTACGAGTTAGTTCTTATTTTATTTACTTAAAGTAAAATGATGATTATAGTGCTATAGTTTATCGGAAGTGGTACTTAGAACATACCAGTCCAATATAGCAGTTTTGATATTAACTGGAATCTGAATTATTTTGTAGTTCCCATATTCGGATAGGTCAGAATTTGCAACTGCTCACGATAGTGGGAAAGTGATGGTATAAATGATATTTCTCTTTCGACTATTAATTATTTATAAATGTGTCGGCTCTTGTTCTAATTGTGCTTAGGGTAAAACGTTCAACAGTATATTAAGTAATGCGAACTTCAATATTTTTAGATATGGGATACAAGAAAATCTGATAAATGTTTAAGAGTAATTTCATGCCATGCTCATGTAGTATTTTCTTGTGATTGGCATCCTACAAATAATCAACGAATGGTTACAGCCGGACGAGATCAATACATAAAGGTTTGATAGAACGTTGTTTAAATTTATTAAAATCGTACAATTGAAAGAACCATGGCAGCCAATAATGAATCACTTCCTACTGCAGGTCTGGGATCTCTCTGATAGCGTTGAATCAGCAGTTTACACTATCTTAACATATGCGGGTGTAAGAAAAGTACGATGGAGACCCGGTCATGATGATCAATGTGCAAGGTTTCATGATTGTTTGGTATTTAATTAATGAGATGACATGTCATTTTTTAATGCATCTGCGAATTTTTTCTAATTTGTAAAGTTATGGATCTATGGCATGGGATTGTGATATTAATATATGGGATTTAAGCAGAACATATATTCCTGTAGCCGTGTTAAAAAATCATTCACAGGTGATTTCAGGTATGGCGTATAGTTTGTATATTGATATTTGATAACTAATAGTATTATGTTTGTGGAAATGCAGTTGCTTTGCATAAGTATTTTTTCAATATCTGATTAAACTGCAATTTCGTTTCCCTTACGACTAGGTCTGATCTGGAGGGACAGCAATTCCTTAATTTCAAGTTCAGCAGATAACAGAATTTTGCTCGATGAACTAAAGAATCCTCACATTCCTGCCAAAGATGCTGTATGTGCTTCATATTAAGCCTACTATAGCTAGAGCATGAACAATGTGGACTAGTTTTTTTACAGTGATCTAATTTACTGTACATTTTTTATATTTATAGACCCCTTCCAGTCTTACTTTCAATGCTTATGGGCATCTATGCACGGCAATACGTACGCCTGTTGCAGATAAGGAGAGGTAATATCTATAACATATTTTAATCAGATCATAATGTTACCATTATTTTCACTGACAATGAATTCAAAATTCCATTATGTGTTTCATATTTCAGTAAAACTGTGGATGAAAATGACAACTTGTTCAAATTTTGTAACGCTTATCACCATCTTCAGTATAATAACAGTGTAGTAACGAGTTATGCCCAAAATTTAACGGTGAATTTTGCATACGAGATATTAAATGCAATTTACTAGTTACAGTACTCTAAGCTATCGTTCTGGAAAAGCAATTTTGGAATTGATAATTTCTTAAATAGGATGATAGAAAAATATATTACCTTGCGAAGCATTATTTAATAACTGGAAAATTATTCGGTCAAATTTGTGATCATAATAGAGAGGTATTCACATCATTATTAATTACTAGATATAATTAACGATTGTGAATCAGTTTTTATGTGGCTTCTAATATGTAGTAAATGTTAAGGTTGCCGACAAAGTTCAGTTACATCACATTGCACAAACTTGGTCTGTTCTCAAAGTAATGTACCAGAATTATTCAACACAAAATGATAATAGAAAAGTGTCGGTTCCGGATTTAGATCACTTTGGAAAAGATCTAGTTTTAGATGAAGATGGTAAGCATTAAACTTATGTCAGTAGCTTGTCCAAGAAAAAAATTGTTAGCTCTTTCGATGCGTAACAGTCATAAACTAAACTATATAACTAGATACGGACGGAAGTTTATCGGATGATGCACCAAGCAGTTCTTATGCATTCACTTCTGCTATGAGCGGTATAACAGTAGTCAATATTACGTTGCAAAATTTAAATTTCTAAAGTTAAGGATTTGAAGTTTTTCCAATATTTTAAATTATGTTTTAATATAAGACCGTGCAACTTCTTTCCAAAATGGTGACATTTAGATGACGGCGAAATTGGTATAGGTGCTCTTGATGGCGAGGTTTCCATATTTTCTTTTCAAGCTCCGGGTCATATGCCGACGGTTAGCTCCACTAAATGATCGTTATATGCTGTAATTTATCTTTACACCGCTTCATATGATGGCATTTTTTCTTTAGGAGGCCTTTGAGTATGCGAGCTTAGAGAATGATGGGTATGTAATCGGCCTGTAATTCTGTATTTCAGGATGTGATGAGACCTTATGTGTTTTTTAATGGATTATAGAAACCCCCAATTTTTCTCATAGCGTAGGTTATTCATTGCTATTAAAATGTTTATGATTATGTCCAAATTATAGAACTCCAACAATTGGGAGCGAATCCCAAGATAGAATAGAACGTGCTTCTTGGTATTATACATTTATTGTACCTTAATTTAAAACACCCCAATTTTAGTGTTGTGACTACAATAACGATTAACATGACATTTTAGGAAATGTAGTCACCACTAATGCAATAATTAAAATTACTGATTATTTTTCTCAAAGCGATAACTCTGAAAGCTACTCAAAACCAACGGAACTTGTAGCAGATTTATTCGTGACTAAGCCTACACCAGAAATGATAGTAAGCTGTGATATCAGTATCTTGTTACTTAGCTCAGAGTGATAGTGCCAACTATGCACATTTGTTATTACTTTGTTAGGTTCGCTCTTGGAAATTTTCGGACATTATTCCAGATTTGTTAAAATCTTATGCTGATGAAGTAAGTAAACGTGAGAATATGTCTTGATTTCTTATTCTTTGGCTTAGTAATGGTAAATATTTACGATTTCTATTTTAGGGAGATGTTCAAACGTGCGTTTCAATAATAGCTGCTCTTGGAGAACGATTTGATGTTACATCAATTAATGAAGAGACTGTCGTTAATTGGTATAATTATTATTTAGGTAAGTTAATTTACTAAAATTTAGTAATGACAGTAGTCAGATTATTGAACGATTGAAAAATCAATTACCAAACGTAACCCTATATTTATAGAGATTCTAGACAAATTTGAGCTTTGGAATGCTCATAACGAACTTATCAAAACTGCTCACTATAGCGCTATCAGGGAGTTAAGTTTCGTAAGTATTGCCTAGCGATTTGTAAATTAAACTGTCAAATTATTTTTTGTTCCAGACCGGCTGTTTCGAATACAGTATTGGAAAAAGGATAGTTGCAAATATGGAAAATTTATTTATGTTAAATTCTAAATGCTACCACTTTCATTTTTTAGTCTTGGCCTTACAACACTGGGTGCAACAATTGTAAAAAGGTTGTGAATAAAGCTGGTTGTTGTAATATTTGTAAGAAGCAAGCCGCTTTGTGCTCAGTTTGGTAAGCACTGACCTAGCTAGCTAACTTTTATGACTAGTCATACTGTATCATAACAGGATTTGTAATAGTATCCATACTTATATAATACTACAATAGCTGTAAATACCTCAAGTTATAACATTAATAAAGATTAAGAGAGAATATAGTAATAATATATTATCCTCGATGTTGACTGTCATAATACGTTTATAGCCATTTGCCTGTAAAAGGACTTTACGTATGGTGTCATGGATGTGGGCACGGAGGACATTTGCAGCATATGAAAGAATGGATAAAAAAAAATCATGTTTGTCCAACTGGCTGTAAACACCGATGTGAATATGACTGATCAGATTCTTTACTGCCAAAAGATTTAAATGCGTTATAATTATTGTATTGATAAAATCATTTGTTACAAAGTATTAAAATAAATTAAACAACAATATATTTGTCTATGCGTATGTCGTAGACAGTGCTATTCAATGTAGATTAACATAATGTAATACAAGCGTAAAGTATGGTCGACAGGTAGAGCATACTTGTCTTTAAAGTCTGAAGGTGATATCAATTGTATTGACTTAATACCGTTGTCTTATATACAAATATTTACATCTAAAGACAGAATTTCTAATGTAAGTGTAAGTATTTGACAGCACTTATCATCCACTGTATAAAGCTCTGAGATAACATATATTACTTTATAGGTGAACGTGGAGCTGGTTCATTTACAATTTCTTCCGTAGTATCTACAGATTCTTTTTCTATGTATTCCTCTGCGGTTGGTTGTATTCCTTGATCGTCTGTAGATTCTTGTATTATATGTTTTAATTTTCTCCAAGGATCTTGTAGCATAGATTCCTTAAAGTATGAACGTGGATTAAAGTCGTAGTCCCGTTGTTTTTGAGGACCCTATAATTGAATATGCACAAAATTTAGTTTTGTAGTAAACAAGGATGGTTGTAAATGCTTGATGTCCTCCTGATCATTTAGAAGGACGAATTGATACAGTCATAATTTGCAAATTCAAATGAATAAAATTGTATATTTCATGTAAGGAGCACACGCAACAATGAGTCGAACTGATACTATAGTCAGATGATTTAACGTCGTGACTGTGATTAAGTTTCAATCAGAGGACGGTTTACGCGTACCTTCCTCTTAAACGGTATATTGCATGCACATTCTACTATCAAAGTATGTCAAGTATAACTTAAAGCGAAAATATTTATCACCGGTCTATTTTAATTGAATTTTCGGAGTGCCTGGTCTGGAGTAGTCGTAAACTGAAGAATTAGAGAGTAGCAATACAGCAGTAGTGCAACAAGAAGAGTCTGTTTACTTTTCAGCAAGATTTACAATCTTATCGTTACTTGATCTTACTAAGTCTAAAGCGATTAATGCAGTAGTATTAGATCACTGTTGTAGAAAACTGTACTAGGTAACAACGTTATAACTAGGCTAATCTCAGGTGTCATGCCACTTTAGCCGGCTCATATTTAAGTATGGAGCTACCATCAAGAATTCGCATCACAAGCATTACAGTAATTGAGTTATCTAGCGATGACATTGAAGCGATCAGCATAATGCGAAGCAGTCTTGCTTGTCTATTGTCATATAATACTCGTATTGCATGCAATTATCAATTTAAATGAACACTTCTAGTTGTCCTGTTATAACAATATATATACATATGCACTAGTACGTATATTCAACATATAAAAGTGATCAAGACTATTGAATGAAATTTACGAAAGGAACTAGTCATTACCCGGTTTCTAGGGAATCGTCCCCTGTAGCTTCCACGATGGCCACGACTACTACCGCTTTGGAAACGCAGTTGTGACGTTGGATCAAATGGATAGTTGCTAGCGCCACCAGGACCGAACGGAGGTCTAATCGGCCTATTCATTTGTATAGCTCGTGGATTAAAGAATCGATTAGGTCTTGGATTGCGATACATAATTGTTGATTCATGGGCTGTGATGGAGGTTGAAATTTTCAATGTTGGAGGCACCAACAGCAGCAGCACCAGCTGAGTCCAATGAGTGAATCTACGGATCTCTCGTTTACAGTTCAGTTCAGTTCAGTGCAGTTCAGTACAGCTGTACGGTACAGTACTGTACACTGTACAGTACATGTATTAACAGTAGACAGTACAGTACTGTACAGTACAGTACTGTACTGTACTGTATAATACAGTACAGTACATGTACAGTACAGTATATTGTAAAGTACAGTACATAGTACAGTACCGAATACACTGTAGCATTACTACAGACTACTGTACAGTACAGTACAGTATACAAATTTTCTGTTGGTGGTTGTCTGATGATTACAGTTATGGACGGACTGCTGCAGTAGTGAATCTACGCATCTCTCGTTTACGGTTCAGTTCAGTTCAGTTCAGTACAGTATTAACAGTAGACAGTACTGTACACTGTACAGTACATTGTACAATACTGTACTGTACAGTGTACAGTATAACATACTGTAGATTACAGTACATAGTACAGTACCGAATAGTACTGTACACTGTACTGTACTACTACAGGTCTACAGTACTGTATACAAATTTTCTGTTGATGGTTGTCTGATGATTACAGTATGGACGGACTACTGCAGTCGGATACTTTACCGCGCCAGTATGGTAACGAACGAGTCGGCCAGTCACGACCTGTGTGCTGCAGGCCTTCAGCGCAAATTCTTTGTTAAGGTGAACAATCTTAAGACACAGTTAACAGTTACAGTATCAGACTGGGCAGTGGTCTGTTGTACCTTCTACTGTAGCATGACCGCAATGTTCACTGACAGCCTGACTCAAGGTAATCACTGAGAGGCTTGGGCCAAGCAAACAGCGTTCATCATGTCGATAGGTAACGAGATCGAGAAATGGAAGGAGATTTTAAAGGGATTACAAGACGAATTCATTCATTCAGATAGCGATGGAAGTAAAAGTAAGCTCTATCAATAGGAAATATATCGATGTGGATAATGTGATATAGGGTCGTTTTTCAATGTCTTTTTATTATTGTTCTATGTAAGCGATAAACACCACGGTAAAATGTTCATAGTACTGTACGTATTGCAAACCGCGCTTGCAGCCGTACTATATGGAGCGTAGTAATAACTGTCGGTTGCCCTGACATCACAATGGATTCCATCTTCTTTGCAAGTTGGATGATGATTTGACTTGAAAATGAATGGATGGATTGTTATTTTTGTAGTTCATCCTTTTGCTGAAAATAACTTCAATCAAATCCACGCTAATTTTAAAAATTCAATCGCCAATATGAAGCAACACCTGGATAATATTCTACAAATGGATAATAGTTCTCGGATTCTTCTGTTATGCCAGGTCAGCGACATCAAGTCTACTATCTACTCGAATTCATTTCTCAATGTATCATTATTGCCAGTTATATTTAGAAATGTCATGAAAAATAGTTTAGTTAAATTAAGTAATGAAAGATCGCTGTCATGGTTATATAAAGTTGACTCAATTCTACGATGGATCTTCAGCTTGCCATAAACTATTGTTATTACCATCATTGATTAATTTAATCTCCTTGTATGCTAATGCCCATGCAACAGGGTGTAGACTGCAATGATTTTGGATAATATCACTTGATTGATTTATTAAATTGCCCCTTTTTTCTTGGATAGGATAAATTCCAGCAGCAAGAAAATTGTAAATACATCAAATCATATTTGAGAAATATCATTGAATCTTTAGGTGTACATTCGTCAGGTAAATCATATATTTCTTCCTATCAACTTATTTCAACGTAGAAAATATGAATGCTACTTTAACATGGCTCCTGTTGATAAAAAATAGGAGAAGCATATATAGCTATAAATAAGTCATATTGAGCCTGATAGCTTACTTACATAACTTTAATATTTATTGCAGCAAGCGATACCGATTATATACCTTACCTTGAGATAATTGCAAGAAGTGCCAAGTCAGTATATTTAATATTCATTGCAACGCTATGATATTAGACCTCTCGTATTAGCTAGATACTTAAATCAACTTGATGCTTAAAGGCAACGTAAAAGAAGCAAATTTATTTCAATTTTAAAATTTTTCAGTTTAAAATTTGTTCACCATGGGGACAATTGCTTCATTTCTTCGGATATGTTTTACGTCGAGGTTAGTGGATGTATCATAGTCTACTAGATAAAGTTTCAGGAACAAATTATTGACGTAACGATGACATTCATCAACGTACGTACATTTATATAGATAACTTTGAAAAATCATAAAGAGGTAACAGAAGTTAAAGTTGTTCATGGAGAAGATCCTAAAGTAAGTGCAAAACATGTCTACTTGCTATTTTAAAATAATGAAGAATTGGTGCAAAACATGGATATCTTAGACATACGGCTGGTATACTACGTCTGTATTAAATTAAAATATATAATAGGAACTATAATTATTTCTTATTGATAGGTTACTCCCGTTATGACCGATCTACTTAGGTGATTATTTATGCATAAGATGTTTATCTTTTAAAGTGCCTTCGAGACATTTTTGTTAAAATTCCGTAACACTGAGGTAAATTTCTGAATATCTTTGAAATCGTAAACTATAGGAAACGCCAATTTCAGGAATTCAAGAAGCATTTACTAGGCTTATCAAGCCTCTACCAACTATTTGGTACAAGGTAGGTTATCATACGCTGGCAGCATTGTTAAAATTATACGGAGTACATAGCCAATTGTAGTGTCCCTGACTAAATCTTAGCACGCAAGTGGGTATTGTTGTATTTTTAAATTGAATGATACATTAAACTTTCAACTGGACATTCACTGGTTTCATTAGCATATTTTTGCATCTATCGATTTCTATTTGAGTAATGCTTTAGCAGGGCTAGAAAGGGCTATTTTCTTAAATTTGTGTCCGTTTTATATCTTTAAGTACTGAAAAAAGTTTGGCATTTATGGCTTTACAAGCAGTGGAAACTGATCTGTCAACATTAGCTGCATATCAAAAGTAAGATAGATATATGATATGAGTTTCAAGACGATATTTATTACCGTATTTTTGTAGAAAAACAACATCAGTAAGTGTTGAGATATTCTTTTATTCTTGTCTAGTTTATCAGGCCAAAATAATCCAATGGAAATTATTAACAAAGGCTATGTCGGCCATGTAACTGAAAGAGAAGGAGGTCTGTACAGTCTATAGTATATATACTTTATAACTAATTTAATATTATTTTATTGTATATTAGAACAGTTTTGTCAGGTTTATAATCATTTTGCGGTTTTGTAGGTCTACCTATGAAGCTTACCTTCTATATTTCTCCAAAAGATATGTTCGATAATAACACTAGCGAAAAAATTAATTTAGAAGGTAATTGGTAGATACAGATTCTTATAGGCACACTATATAATGTACATGTGTTAACATCATTCAGATATTTGAACTAAAATGATTACTATTATCATAGATGCAATTATCAAAGGTAGAGCAATCGGATTTTCAGCTTCCGTTTTAATCGAACAAGGGAAAAAGTGTTTATTACCAAAGCTGCCTGTAGTTGTTCTACCAACTCAGGTTACTGACGTACCAAGGTTGGTGCTCCATCTTATTTATCTAATTTTGAAACCGTATCCATACAATGGATGATTTTTTTAATAAAATTTTTCGAATATTATCTTATTAAATTTAGTTACAAAAAATTATGTAACGAAAACAGTGCAGAATTACCTGCGAGTTTTGTTTTAGTCTTTGATGACTTTATTCCTGTGGATGCGAGTATAATGGCAAAAATCTATAAGATTGTGAAAGGACAAGGTATTCGATGATAGCCGCTATGAATTATCGTACCCTGTCCATACTTCATGAATACTTGCTTACTTTTTTATAGACAAAGTCTATATAAATTCGTCCTCGGCTACCATTGAAGATTTACTTGCATCAAACGTATGCTGACTGTTTGATAATTTAGTATTTATGATAAGATCCGATTTTTACAGCATTATAAATTGTATTCTTTTGCATCTTTACCATAGTTTCGTGAGGAAAAAGCAAAAAATGGCTTTCATCGGAATCGAAACTCCTCTTTTGTTGTTGTAAGTAGTTAACTTCTTGGAAATATTTCATACTACTTTATCTCAACTTGATATTTTGTGTCACTCAGAAATTACCGGATCAGAAGCAGAAGTATGTTTTCTGTAAATCGTTGGATTCAGTACCATTGGGAACATTAAACGTCAAAAGAATCCCTTTTTTAAATCCTCAACAAGTTCCGCGTATTATTACGGTAGTGCAGATTTAGAATATTATATACATTAATGAATGAAAGTGCATTTATAGTACGTTCTTTAAAATTTCTTGTTTGATTCTTACTCGTGTGTAGCTATTAAGACAACAGATAGTTTTCAACGAATTAATTAGCAGTTGCGTATGTGGACAGCCGAACGATCTCAGAGGTAAAAATAGTTAAATGATTTACGCGATCTGATTATTATACTTTTTAATTGATTGTGAGTCTCTGGATTATTGTAATCTCTTTAAAACATAGATGATGAAGTAGGAATTACAACATTTGAAGTCATTACTTTCCCGCCCAATTTGTTATGTTTAACTTTTCAGCATCCGTTAAGTGATTTTCTCATGTCTGGTAAGATTTTGTGCAGTATGAATTGTGCATATGTCCTCATCTCCATGAAAAAGTACATAAAATTGTTCTTTATAGTTGAAATTAGTGTCAACGAAAATGGAACGGTGTCGGGGCGTGCGTGCGTATGTCCGGGAGATGTATCATTCTGTACAGACGAGTATATTACAAGAATACTGCAGGCGTAAGATAAGAATATTAGTTTGTTATACAATTTATACTATAAGTGTATGTTGTAATCTGTCTATTATGTTTATACGAAATATGGACTAATGGGAGGCTACCACAATTTGCTTTGCTATGCTTTAGTTGCTTAAGCATACCAGTTACGCTAAGGGCGATATTACGTAAATCCGTCAGTTATTCGGCGAATCAGCAGGGAGACAGTCACGATATTGCGATTCCAAGTTCAGCTGGAAGCACCGATGCAGAAAACCAAGTTATGCAATTTTCTAATATTCTTTCACCAACTACTAGTTTATCAATGAAGTTAACCGATGCTGTTGAACAAAATCCTACTAAACGTAAACGTAATGATAGTGAAATTGAAGGTAAAAATTTTTCAATACCAGTCATTATTACTGCTTGCAACGGTTATAATGCTACTGATATTTAACGTTATTATTTTTTAAACAGAAGCGAATGTAAACGATTTCGGACAAGAATCGGCTGTACGCGTAGTTGAGGCTGGTACAGGCTCAGTAACAGAAACAAAGTCTGCTAGTAATGATAATAATGAAATTGAAACACCACCTGCCAAGGTGTTTATTGAAGATACTGATGTCATGGAATCTCCAATTGTTGGAGAGACTGAATATAGTAAAATGTCAGAAATGAATGATAAACCTGAAGATGAAAATAATCATGAACCTGAACCAGTAGTTGAAAATATTGTGACATCGGCTATTGAAGAGCCTGCTGATGCTAGAGTGGTATCTGAGTTAGAAGCTTTTGTTCATAACACTGTACATGATTCTCCTTCGACGTTGTCGAAAGACCCAGCGACTTATCTTCAAACAGTCGATTTGAGTAATACTACAGCTGAAAGTAATTCTGAGCCCATTAATGACGTGTCAATTCCGGAAAGCGATCGTGATGAAATAGATCGCTTGCCCAATCCTGCAAGTATTGGTGAGATGGATAGCGATGGCAATATAATGATAACATCTATTGATGAAGTTATTACTGGATCTATACCCTCTGTTGAAGATAGTATGGTTGCAACTAGTGATCCTGGAATGGAAGGGGCAGATCTATTAAGTGCCATATCTGATCTTGCTGGGAGTGGTTCCGTCAATTTGGAGAAAAGTGACGATCCATCTAGTTTGCCCAGTATCAATGACCCTACGATTAGTAAATTGTTAGGTTTATCTCGAGAGGATGAAACTGAACTTGATGAAGAAATGATTGCTGGAGCTGAGCAAAATCTTTTAGGGCTTGCGAGTTATAATTCTCCGGAAATGGATGATAGCTTTGCTCAGATAGGTTCGATAATTGGTGAGCCAGATAAGGAATTAGAAGAGGAAGAAAATAACTAATTCGGTTTAGTTGTAAAATAAACATATAATGAATATAACTCGAAAATAAATAGGCTGTAATTTTTTATGATAATTCAAAATTTACAGTCTATATCGAAAATTACCCCAAATGCCAATTTTGAATGCGAATATGGTACTGGCTAACTAGCAATACTTTTTTCTGAGTGACAGAAATTGTAGTGATTGTGTGGCTTCGATAATATAATTAATAAACTAACTTCTATAGTCTATCACTATGTGACATTACTTTCAGCAATGGTAATTTTATACCTTAGTACTGTATATTTATTCGGCCTGCTATTTCTTTCTAAATTGGCAAGATTACCTTATTCGATTGTATGTTGAATATAGCATTCGATCTACACTTTTAAAAACGATGTAGACTATATCTACACTATTATTATAAATACTACTGTTGCTATATATCAAATTGTTTATAATGTATCAAAATTAAATGTTTTTTTGTGGAATAACTTTTTGAAATTATCCAAATCTTATGTAGTTATCTGTAATATTTTCACCTTGCACTGATTTCAGTGATATACTAAGTTATTGGATTCTATTAGTCAATATTTGATTATCATTCTGTTATGAGCTTTAAACGTATTTAGCAATGTGTACTTTGAATTGACACTGATTGTACCTTCCGTTTAAACATTGATTAACCCATTGGTTATTGAGGTTGCTGGTGAATATTCTTTTCCGAAATTAATAATGCTATTCAGCTATCCAGTTCGATACATAAAACATTGTTTAATTGTTGCTATTTTAGTCCTCCTGTATTAGGATGATTTAGATAAACGGATTTTGAAATTTTATGATTTCAACATCTGTACGTGGATTGAATCTGCAATTACTTTGTATACTAATACTTTATTAAAGTATCGTGTTGTAGATTTCGTCTACTTGGGAATCTGTCGTATTGCAATAGGGTATACTATCTCGCGATCATGCAGCGAGAGGGTTTAGCGTAGATTGTACTTCACATAATAATGCGTGAGCCGTCTCAATAAAAATTCATTTTCAATCTCATGTGTTGATATGCATACTTGTGTTACCCTGAGTACAATTGCAGCACGACGACTAAAAAATACTACAACAGTAGTCCTTTTTCACGATTCATTTTATTAGTAAGGGCTAAGGCTAAGATAAAATAGGTTTGGATAAGTTATCCAATCACACAAGATGACAACTCCTTCCAAGTGTTTCAAGCCGGCTTCTTTTCAAGTTAGTCAAAAGTAGTAGATTACTGTACAGTACTTCAACAGTATCAGAATTAACAAAAGTGTTAAGCCTTGACTCTATACAGAGCAAAATATAGTGAATTAAATTAACACTCTAACTGTATGAGAGATCTGATACAGTATGTACTCGTGTTCCGCATTTGGTGAAAAACTTTGCTCGCTCAAAATTCGTCAGTGTAGACTACTCGTATATGGGCAATGTTGATTACTGTTAACTACTATCCACTTGAATTCACTAGTGTAGTGCTACTTCCGTAAGCGATACAGAATCGTGTTTTGCTTCACTGTGTTATATTATCGTTATTCAGTGCAGACTACTTTTCATACTACTGTATTTTCGAATTGTCTTTTCAGGTATTTCCGATATTAGTCCTTAAAATTGTTCTGCGAACTACGAAGCTTAGAGGCATTTTGCCTCCACCTAGAATTTCCATCTTGCTATGGACTTGTTAACTAAGACAGGACTAGTCCGGTCCCGGATCGGACTACCCTTTACAGTACAGTACAGTATCATTACAGTACCGTACTGTAAGAGTTTACTGATACTGTACACTGTACAGTATCAGTAAACGTGACGGCGTATCAGAAAGCGTGGCGCGATTTTTAACAATTGTTTTGTAGTGTAGCTTGACGCCACTTGCAAGTTGTCGCCTCGTCCTTCATTTTGACAGCTTTCATTGAAATTCACTGAACTACCAAGAAATAAAAAATTTCAACAAAATGGCCGTCGAGTCCCCGTGGCCGAAAACAATTCAGGCTTTAAGTAGATTAAGTGATGCTCTATCCTGTTGTGTCTGGTAGGTTGCGTTAGAAGAGGTCTTTTCTGGTAAGAGGTAATTTGAGTTGGTAAGATTGGCTATTGAATGTTGTTGTTTTATTCATTTTGTATCTCATAGTAAAAAATTAATGACAAAGCCTTCGGTAGCTGCAGAATGTGGCCACTTTTTCTGTAGGTAAGGTCGATAGAAATTGCCTTTTCTTGTATAAAACAGCATAAAACAAGCGTATATGATTAAGGCGGTGTTGTGCGTATTAGTACACTGTAAACAATTCACAGGCATTGAAAATAGCAAGTAAAATAAAAAGTAAAATAGGATACTTCTTCCAATATTGTATAGTAAGATAGACAGTACATGAGTACTGTACATTATTGCAATATGTGCATACTATATGCTGTACGCATCGACTTTCAATGGAGCCTCTGTAGAACGCAAGCTGGACAGAACAATATTACCAAAGAAAACTTGCTTACATAGTAGGACTTAACTTTAAATTAAGCTGGTATTAGCGTAAAGGAAAGGGAAAACTTGATGATACTTGTAATATTATAGCTTCTATGACAATATAGTGATGCTTGAAATCATTGCACACTAAGTAAGAGTTACCCTAACCACGAACTACGCGGAAGAAGACCCTACATTCCTACAGTAACTAGGTCTTCTTCTAGTAATCCATAGCCTAACTTAAGCTGTTAAATGTGCGCTAATAGTCATGTTTGAAATCATTACTGATTGACAGGATATTATCTAATGTTCCATCTAACTAATAATTAATTATCACTTACATGGAACATGAGATAATACATTACTAAATACGCCTATTTATTTGAGGCTAAAATACAACTTGAAGCCTCAAAGCTTTTCTTTTAAACCATTTTATAGCATAAAATTAAAATGATGGTCAGTATCATCTACCTCAATGTTGACAATCTTACAATTATTAAATTATTAGATATGTGAGTCTTGAAATTGGGTACTTTTACTTTAAATTAAATTAAATCCTTACATTTGTGAAATCATGGTATTCTTATCTTCTATCGGACTACCTACAATTTTGCATTTTAATTCTAATCACGTTATTGGATATATCATAATATTCAACAATGATTCTTATACTCTTCTGGGCTTTCTTCAAATAGTCGTTGCTTTACTGGCTCTCGTTGTGCACGATGCAATGCATTCTTTTACTCTAAAGACATTAAAGTCGATCGTCAATTAGAAGGCGCTATCGGTACATTAGAAAAGTTAAAATCGTTAACGACCAAAGTAATACCCACTAGTACTAATGGTAAGTAAAAAAAATACTTGAATATATTACAATTTCAATAATAGTTAATCCTAATCCTAAGATACTAAATATGAAATATTAAAAATAGTTATAAATTGCCTATAGACACAAATTAGCTGATTAATAGACTAGTAATATAAATTATAAATTATACGCGTATAAATGTCATTAACGAAAATCGGATCATCTATTCTTTTGCAATCAAATAAAGTAGTGCCTAATCTCGTACTGACTGCATAGTCTATAAGAATAATTATAATGGTAAATCATTAAATTGTAAATACATAAAATTTTTCATATAACACTGTTGACTATATGATAAATCAGATGAGAAAAAAACTGAAAAAAATGTATCACAACGGAAAAGGAAGGTAGAATCCTCGCATGACGATCAAATCGATCTGGTTGTCAAGAATAAAAAGACTGAAAAGAGTAGTAAGAGTAGTAAAGTATCAGCCGTCGATAAAAAAGTAAAAGTGAAAAGAAATAACAAGGGCGAAACACAACTACATTTAGCTGCTATCAAAGTAAGAAAAATAAGTTATTAATAATATTTTAAAAATATAAGACTTTATTGAAGCGTGCGAACTATGTTGTAGGGAGACGAAGAAAAGATCAAGAGCCTATTAATACAAGGTGTAGATCCAAATGTTAAAGATTTTGCTGGATGGAGCCCATTGGTAAGCAATAATTAATTTTAAAAATCCTTAAGTGGATGGTAGAGATTTATAAATTAGATCTGTCCTTACTTTATAACTTTATTGTGTATAATTATATTACAGCATGAGGCTTGCAATTATGGCCAATTACAGGCAGTTAATATATTATTAGCTAGTGGCTGTGATGTGAATATACTTGGTATGGATAACGTGACGCCATTACATGATGCTGTTTACAACAATCATATGGAGATTGTGCAATCCTTATTACGCCATGGAGCAGATAAAACAATTAAGTAAGCTAAATCAGATAAATGGTCTAATTTCTAGATAATCATTCCGTAATTGTACAATAGATAATTAACACTGTTCAGTTAACGAGAAATGTTGACGCCAATAATTTCTTAACAGTTGATAAAGCAATCATTCTCATCAATATACGTGCGTACGTGACATATTCACAAATTTTAGGAATAGTCAAGGGTTAACGCCTGCTGACTGTACAAGTAATGCTAGATTGTTGGACGTATTGACATGCAATGGCGAGGAGAGCGACGATCAACATAGCCCAGTTAATGATCGATCAATTCAATTGAAGCTCAATACTTCAGCAGTAGATGTAGCTTCGATGCCGGTATAACAACAATTGAATGATATTCTCATTAATTGAACACTTCTGTGGTTACTAATACTTTATAATTGAATTGACATCTTAATTATAGAGTCATCGTAGTCCTCAAATTGTTCTCTTGCCAAGTGGGTTAAAGAAAAAAGATGACAAAGTAACTTCTTGATAGTATTTGCCGGCGTACTTTACTTACAATACTATTCACTATACTGTGTTCTCTCTTGATTCAGGATTTACTTGATAAGTGCATTCGTGATCTGAATTTCAAGACGTTAATGACGTTCTCCAACGACAGTAATGTTTTTACATCTTATGATTTTAGACTATAGATAGCGCTAAATCGTCTTTCACTTCTTAAAAAGCTTTAAAATTTGAACATTCTAGTAACACATGTCATCGTCGTTGCTGATGAAAATAGCTGTTGCCCTAGAACTTTAAAGTATCTCAATGCCGTTCTAGCTGGAAAATGGATTGTGGATATTGGCTGTATGTCTATTTGCATGCTATCATTTTATTGTAAGTTACATGCTGGAAAGCAATTTAAAATTATACTGCTTGGTGAACTATTAGGGGCAAGACAGAGCTTAAAGCTTGGGTACCCAGCGAATGAAATGGATTACGAATTGAAAGGGTCCAAAGACGTACCTGATATGGTGACTCCTAAAAGGGCTAGAGAAAATCGTGGTTTAAAGGTTTTATAACTCATTTATAAATAAATTTTAGCATATTTCTATATTTGTTGAATTTAATTTATGAAGATATTTAACAAATATTGTATTTATTGATCCCATATTGTATCGTTACGTTTATTAATTTAGTTACCAGGGCTATTTCATGAATGCAAGTTTTATTTTATGAACGAATTTAAGCCTCCTGCTCCAAGTAAAGAAGAATTAATTGAATTAGTACAACGCGGGGAGGGTACAGTGCTATCGCGACGTCCTGAAAAAGAATCTACTAGCAATTGCCGATTATATCATAGTGAAGAAATATTTCCATCTAGTAGTTTTATAGTCTATGATCCGAAATGCACGAAACATATCGTACGACGCCATAGTTTCAACTATGTGACATTTCAATGGATAATGAATTGTATATCATGTTTTAAGCTTCTTAAACTTCAGGACAATTAGTGATGCAAAACTTTATGTCTTATACAATAAGGACAAATAGACTACAGTATTCGAAATTTATCATATTCTGTAAGATATGTTTACACTGATTTGAAAGTTAAATCACTTAGAACAACTCGCTTTAGTTATCTCGAAATGTACCTTCTGCATTTATACTGTATAAAGGAATAAAAGATTATGTTTGTTACTGTATGTAGCTCGGGTTTAGAGTTAATGCTCATGAAATGATCCAGAAAACGTATATGAAACCGAACCTGCGAGTAAATACTTGTGTTTACAGCGGAGACTGTCAGGTACTGTACATATACAGTACAATATACAGTTTATATAGAGAGAGTATATATAATTAGTGCAGACGTTAGTTTCACTAAAGGATTGCGGGAGCAAGCGGTTCAACTGGTGCAGTAATAATTATTTCCGCTTTCGCACAATCGGTTCTCAGGCTAGAGTGTACAGTAATATACGCGTATGTATGCAATGCAACCACATATAACTTATCGGTATTAATGTTAAGGTTGGCGTTTGTACTGATATACCGTTGATTATAAGTTTAGATTATATATAATACATATAAATTATCTTAGTGAAATTAAATTTTTTAAATTACTTTATTAGCCATTCGATTAGGTACCGGATAAGCCGATATCCAAAACATAATTAAAAATGTACCACTTGACATGAGTAAAATATGAATTATTTAGCAATTTATAAATGAATAATTTGTTGTCAAGAGTTACAGTACATTGTTATGCAGTTATCGCCCTCAGGTGAATTGAAGATAGGTGGTGCGATTACATAATTATTAATTACCATAATAATCTTAGCCCTGACTGTAAGCTGTAGATTTTTATCAATCAGTAGCTACGTCCGAATAATGTATAGAAATTCGCTTTCTTCTCACAAGCCGGCGATATGCACTCGATGTTTTCCTTTAGTGTAGGCTGCTGCAGAGGGATGCACAAACTCTTCGCTCCCATAGATGGTGCTCTAGGATCAACAGGGTCTTCACTGATAATCAAAACAAACAGTTAATTTTTTGGATGTTGATCCGAATGACCAGGGCGAGAATAATATAGAATTGATGACATTACCTCGCACTTTTCGCTTTGATATGATCTTCGCAGCTTGTCGCACCACAAAATGGTGCTAAAATAAGATTCTTTGATTCTAGCTGTTTACGGAAATTATTCCAGTCTTCGGTGCGAATAATTCTTTCATCCATGCTCTTCTTTGCTCTATTTTCCGATAGCAAATATGATATTCATAAACACAAGCAGTAGCTATATACTGAGTTTTATTACTAGTAAAATAAAATTAATAGCATCCTACTTGTTAAACATATCAGTCTGGACCGCATTTAGTAACATTTTAATGTGTTCAACTGCATTATCAGCATTAGAGGAACTCTTAAAATAAAATACAAGAATATGATTTCATTTAAATAGGATAAAATACAAAATCTCGATATTTTAATTGACATTTAATGCAGCTGTTCTATTCTTACCTTCTGCGCATTATCACGGCGGACAGTAACAAATTGATTATTTTTGATATCTTTTGGGCCAAGCTCCATCCTGAGTGGTACACCCTAACATCGAGGAATGCATGCATGTTATAATAAATATTGCTTATAAGTAAATTTGGTTAGATCAATCTAGCAAATCGTCAATGTAGATAAACTTATAATATTGGTTAATTTATCTAATTAAAAATTATATTATACACACTAACTTTCAATTCGTAATGGTTGAATTTCCATCCTGCTGAATAATTGTCTCGAGTGTCGCAATCAGCACGAATACCGCCGTCTTTTAAGATTTTTACGTAACTAGAACAGGAATCATAAATTTTGTTTCTTTCGTCCTCGCTAAGATTAGCAGATATACCACACGGAATAATTATAACCTAGTCAAGGATATAAGAAATCAGTGCTTGGTTGGAGTAATATTTCTTAATAGGGTCTTTAGTTACCTGAATATCGGCAACCTTGGGTGGTATAATCAGTCCTTTGTTATCGCCGTGAACTAAACATAGGACACCAAGGGTACGAGTACTAATACCCCAAGAATTTTGATAAACAAACGCTTTTTCTTTAGTTTCCTATACAAATATTTACAATGGTTGCGTTGTAGGAGTATTAATTACAAAATATGTAGGTAAATCATAAATTTAAATTTAAGATCTCAATTTAGTGATCCGTTGTACAGCGAACAGTGCGAACGTACTGGATGTTCATAAACGATTTCAAACATTTTAGAAAAGTTCTGACCCAGGTGATGCGAGGTTGCGCCCTGATTTTAAAAATGAATAGTATATGAATTCGTATAACGTATAACATCTGCTCGTATAGGTTATCCAATAATTGATGCTAAATTCGTTCATACCTGTGCACCCCTGCCATTTGCATCGATAAAAGCCTCAACAGTAGTAGTAAAATCGCCACCAGCAAATTTCTCTTTCTCTGTTTTTCGGCCTTTAACAACTGGAATAGCTAATAACTCTTCATAAATACGTCGATATAATTCTAGTATCGTAAAAACCTAGAAAATCCACATACGCGTACATGATGTAAGTTTCCTACAGCCATTTTAAGTTTAAACAACTAGTAAGATTGCACAAAAAAACGACTTACTTCTTCTTCGGCTTCTTTCTTGGAGACAAAGGCTGAGTGGCCTTCTTGCCATAAAAATTCTCTTGTTCGAATGAACGGTTGCGGATGTTTAAATTCCCATCTCTATTAACATTAATAGCATTCTAACGAAACTAGTAACCAGGCGAATGTAAAGAATCATAGTCATTTAACTAATAAACAAACTTACAACAACATTATTCCATTGGTTTAGCTTTAGAGGCAAATCACGATGAGACTTAATCCATTTAGCATAGGATGGGTACATAACTGTAGTAGTGATAATAGATATTTATAACTAATTTTTGGAGTGATTCTACACTTACACATATAGTAAAAAGTGATTACTTGCAGCTTCTACGTATTATACCTGTTTCACTAGTGGGACGAATAGCAATAGGCTCAGCAAGTTCTGTATCGCCAGATTTAGTAACCCAAGCAACCTATAAAGCAATATTGTATCTCTCAAGATTCTAATGCAATTAATCAAATACTAAAAAATAGTCCAATTTACTTCTGGAGCAAAGTCGCTTATGTGAGTTTTCTCCCTTTCCAAAGCGGCTTTCGAAACAAAGATTGGGAAATATACATTTTTGACTCCTAGTTTCTTAATCTCTGCATCGAAGAAATCTAGCATAATACCAGCAAGAGAACATGTTATGCTAAGCAAAATAATTAACCTAGGATTGACTAGTCCGGATATTTTGCTGCTTAATACCTTTAATATATTCCCAAATAGCGTATGACCAAGGACGGAGAATATAACATCCACTAACATCATGGTATTCTATCATTTCTGCTTTCGTAATTGCCTATAAAAACAATAATAGTTGGAAAAATAAGCATGCATGACATAAAAACTTAATAAGAAATCAATGACAAGTACCTGTGAATACCATTCTCCAAGATTTTCTTCCTTTGCAATTTCTAATCCTAATCTAGATACCTTCTTTCGTTCAGGGTTGTTTCGCTCATCTTGTAATCCGGCATTTTCCTCTTTACGAGCTTCTTGTTTAACTATCCGATTTCAAAATTAAATCATGTATATATTTATTATACGAGATAACACGCATACATTGTTACCAAGCAATTACGTAATGATAGACTGAGCTCGCTACTCTCAGACGAGTCATTATCAAGTACGACAGCTATAATAATTTACCTGGCTTTTCTTTTTTCGGTTTTGCCGTATTTTTGTCCTGATTACCAGCTTTTTTCTCTTTACTTGGCTTCTTACTACGGTTTGCTCCAGATACATCCTCGCCAGTTAAATCTTTATATCGCTTTTTTAATTCCAATAATTTCTTCACTTCTGCATCAACGGTCTCCTAAATCATTCGTAGATACATATTTCAATGTTAAAATTTGCTAAATAAAGGTTTCTAACCATAATAAATTATAATGCCTACTTTGGCGGCGTTAGAACCCTTGAGCTCTCGAACTTTGTTTCCTTGTTCCGTAATCTCATTTTTTAATTTATCAACTTCTTGCGAGGAGGCTGTCGTATTCGATGTCGCTGCAGGCGTTTTTGCCGGTTCCTTCTTAGGTTTCTGAAGGTGATCATACACAATTGGAGAGTTTCATTAGTTTATAAAGCCTTAAACAATTGTTTTTAAAAGATATCAAATATTAAAATCAGTACCTTTGCTTCGGTTCCTTTACTTGATTTCGTTTCGGTGTTTTTTCCACTAGCAGACTTTGTATGTCCATCAGGAACGCAAATGAGCACGCAAGGTTCACCACTACATATATTATCAAAACCCACATCATAAATATAGATAATTACTATTAACAACATCACATCATATCACAAAGAGTATCAAGCTGTCATACGTTGCAGGGTCAAATGCTTTATCGCATCTAAAAAATCCTCGTCTTTGTAGCTGAATGATATCTCCAGCTTTCAAAAATTTTAGTTCAGGATCTCCTAACATCTCCACATTATTCTACAATTCAAAAATAATCAATACAAGTTTTACTACATCAAATAATGAGATTACATTACTACTATTTCGAAGGATGAATAGTTTTTTTCTTTATATCTGTAATGATGTTAAACGCTAGTACGAAACGGACCTTTGTGTTCTTATTGACGTAATCTCTAAAATTGTCATCCTTTCCTAAGACAGTCTTTGTAATCAAATAGTCATAGTATACTCCAATCGTTGGTACAAACGGTGCCTTGTCAGTTTTTGATAACCACGTAAGTTTTCTCGTTTTCTTGTAGTCCTATTTTCCATATAAATACACACTACATTAGGAAGCTACATACACTACTAGTATGATATTAAACAAAACAATGCTTACAGTATTTTCCAGGTCGAGACTAGCTGTTATTCCAGTAACTTCATTACTTCCATTTCTGATATTATTTATTTATACAAGTTAATATTTTTTTAAATATGATTTAACGTTTGTAAAGAAGTTAAGTTACATTAATGTACCTTTCAACTTTACTTATTTTAATATTGCCCCAGTTGATAAGCGTGACAATTTCGCCTTCTTGGACGTCAACTACGTCTACTTTATCAACGAGAACATTCGAAGAATACCATACGGTCTTCATTCCTACATCTTTATTCTACAGTAGAATTTAATATTATTAAAATGGATAGCATCCCTAGAAATAACTTTAGTTAGTAATATTATACCTTCGGATGTTTGAGTGCAGATTCGGATTTTTCTTCTACACCAGGAATTGTTATTTGCACAGTGGAGCCTTTTAATAATGAGGTGAAGCGTGGAGCAATAGGATCAATTACCTAATTGAAATAAGAATATTTATTAAATAGCAAATATACATACATCGCGCTCTTATGTCATAAAGTGATATGTGAATCAAACAAACTTAGCTCACCTTGCGGTTAAAAGCCCAGATTTTATCCCACTCCATATTGACAACACTACGAGATGATCCCTGAGAATGTAAAATTTTGCGCATCAATAGAATTCTATTTGCCGTTTCTTTCCATTCAAGTCATACCTGAGCAACAATAAACTGGCGCAGTCCTTCGATCGTCATACCGCGACGAACAATGCCTCGTACAGTTGGAAATCGAGGATCATCCCTGTAAGAATGATATCACTAGGTTATCGATTAACCTAAACTAATTACCGTCATAAGATAGAGACATGCGATACACCATTAGAAATTTACGTAAGTCTATTTATGCATACCAGCCATCAACAAGTCCTTGCTCAACAAACCAAGCTAACTTTCGTTTGGACAAGACAGTATGATTTAGGTTCAATCTGCTATATTCCCATACGTGCAGTGTACGAAGACCTAAGTAACAGTTTGTTAAATGTTTAAGTTTTGTCGCTTCGAGTAACAATAACCAGTTTACAGTACTTCAAGCACAAGCCTATTAACTGTGAAATACGTTTAGGACCTATCTAGATTACAGAATGTTAATGTACCCATTTGCTTTATAAACCAATAATATTGGTCATCTCTGTCATGATACTCTGTCGTCCGTAGGGCATGTGTAACACCCTCAACACTGTCCACGATAGGGCAAGCGAAGTCATATGTTGGATACGCCCTGTCATAAGTAGATAGACCGATAAAAATAATACCGTAGATTAGATCAATTGATACGAATGATATCACTTGCACTGTAAGTTATCATATTACTTGTATTTTGTTCCAGTCTTAGGATGAGCTTCTAGTTTACATCTATACATTGTCGGATCACGCAAGCAGCCATTAACAGAATTATAATCAATTTTAGCACGAATGCAACATTGCAGTCCTCTCTCAGTACCAGCTTGCATTTCCTTCCACAATTGCAAATTTGTCTCAACAGCTGAAATCAAAAATTTAAAAGAGTAGCTTAGATATTTTCCTAAATGGGTAACAGTGCATGAGGAACAAATGATGATGATGATGATGGTTAGCTTACAATTTTCACGATTTTTAGAGGGAAGTCTTTGTTCTCGTTGTTTTTTCATATCGTCAGCTGGTGTATCATCAGCATATGCTTTCCCTTCTTTTATCAATTTTTCCGCCAATTCAAGCATCAACGGAAAGTGATCCGAAGTGTGCGAAAAAATATCAGGCTTAACTTGTAACAATGATACGTCTTCAATAATAACCTACAGACGGAAATGAAGCAATATATATATATAAAGGGTAAGCTGTACCTACGATAAATACTTGCATGCAGGAGTTAACTTCGTTTATTTAATTCTGCTATAGATAGCGTAAAGTCATTTTATAAAGCGTAGAATACCTTCTCAAAGTCAGCTTTCTCTTTAACAGGGTTAGTATCATCAAATCTAAATATCAATTTTCCTTTAAAGTTGGTTTGATAATGTTGATTAAGAAGGGCAGCTTTAGCGTGACCAATATGTAAGTACCTAAAATATAAAGCATTATTGAATTTATTACTGTACAATTACAAAAGGTATCTTTTGGTGTTAATAGGCAGTTATACTTACCCGCTAGCCTCCGGAGGGAAACGTACCACAACTTTTCCCATTTCAGCTCCTGGTAACTCGATAAATTTGCCCAAGTCTTCTTTTGGTTGTGTTGCTTCCTGGACCGACCACAATAAATAATCGTAATTAGATCGCATCGTAAATATCAATAAAAATATACTACCTAACATTAGAAGTTAACTTTTTAAGTACACATTAATTTCGACGGTTACTGTATTTATACAATTACAGTTAAATTATATCAAGCGAAGATACTATCGTATAAGAAAACTTATTTAGTGCCACATCTATCTATTTTAGACAATATAGGATAATACTATATCAAAGTGAATATTTAATGTTAAGGCTAGATACCAGAAGTTATATAAGTACTAACAAACGATAGTAGTACGTATAAACTTATTAGACTTACTTTAACAGTTTTCTGTAACTGAGATAACGCCTTCATAAAGATGCTTTGATTCGATAGGAAGTCATGCCATCTCTTTACGTTAGTATAATTGCAAAGAGAGTCTTCATGCCCATTTACTATATATTAAGATATAACTTATTTAATTCATTGAACGGTTCTATTTCTCTATTGTATAACTTGTAAGGGAATAAGCATTAAAAAGGTATTCCAACCAGGGTCGATAATTATAATACATATAATACAAGGTCACATTGAGAGCAATGCGCTACCTTTAAGAGTAAGAATGTATCGCATTTATGAAATAATCATTTTAAACTGTTCATGATTAACACCGTTATTTACCTCGAATGGTTGTCCAGACAACAAAGTCGGCTAGCGTTACGTTATTACCAACTAAGTAGGTCCTTAGTGCAAGCTGTTCATTTAAGTAAGAGAAGTCTGGATTGGATTGACCAAGGCATTTTTGACTAAAGGAGATCCAAGTATCAACCTATATCCAATTAGCATAAAAATCAATAAAGCAGGATACTAAAATATTTCTTATTTTCACTGTTATTTCCATGATTATCTGATTTTTCTTTCCTTTCAAGGCCAATTAATAAATACTGTAGTAATTTATTAACCAATTCGTTTTTGTGATGGGTGTTTGATATATAGACATTAAAGTATAATGATAGATAGTCATACTTCACAACTGATTATTATAAAATATGACAGTATATTTCGATAAGTGTTAGGCTATGATTGAGTAATTCAATTCAAATATTTAGAGAACAGATTTGATTGCATCCTTCCAGAATCACTAGAGTGCGTAAACATTTTCTATTTTTCTAATGAGTATACTTATTGCAAGAAATAGCTACTGTACAGTGATTCACTTTATGTCTTGTAAGATCGCTATAGCAATTGTAGAATGTACAGTGTATGATAACATTCATTTTTCGCCATTAGCATCATTGCAGACATAGTTAGTACTTATGATAGGATAGAATCGATAAGTCATTGACTATCCAGTCCTGATCCATTAATCCATTCAGTTCAGTTTACCTCGGTGGATTGCAATATATTATGGCCATAAAGTTTCAATTCAGTTTGACTTCGAGCAAGATATCGAGCAATAGCGATATCATTGGTTAACGTAGTCCTATGGATATACATAACAAATGATGGATAATTAATTATCATCATTATCAATACTAGATAATTTCTGTATGAAATCAATGGATATTGAACATTAAGTTATGATTAAAATTCAAGAAAAAAACGAACCCGGATGATAATTTAACGCAAGAGTTATCGCCAAGAGACCAAGGAATCGATGCGGATTCCAATGATAACAAGGATACTAGAGCACAATATGAAATTTGTATGTTAATCAGGGCGTTTTACTAGGATTTCTCTTTTAAAAATTTTGACTTTTTTACCATAGTAACAACTTATAAAGTGATTTATTGAAATTAGCCAATACAGATAGTCATTTATGACATTCAATTAGGCATCAAATCTATTTCAATCTTACTTGCAGAGCGAAGTTTCTTGCCGACGATCGCTGATTCGACATTACACGCGGAAGACATGATGAAAGTGGTAGCCTGAACGCATGCGCGATGCTCCCTTTCAATGCTTTTATTTTGCATTTTCAAGCCTAGCGACGGATCAAGTACGCTGACAGATTATAATTTTTATCCATAGCGATTATTATAGGTTACGAAGAAGAGTTTGATACAGTCTACTACGTCGAGGTTAGACTGGCCACCAGCTTGCAGTGATTAGACACCGCCATGGCTACCGCAGCCATAGTTGATTTATTTATTCTAAAATCATCCATTAAAATTTGATGCTGTCTACTACGCCTGGCAGGGTAGCCACAATTCATTACGTAACATTGCAACATGTGTTCATACTGTTCTGGATTGACTTTTAAGCTAGGGCTTATTTGAGGGATCCTTGCGCATACTGATTGCTGTTATTGTTGTAACTATAGTATGTTAAGCTTCGCCACTCCTCATCAACTCATTTTCTCGCCTAGTATTTATGATGATCAATTTCTATTTAGAAAGTGATCTTGGAGCATTATTAATTATTATTCGATCATTTCTAGAAGTGGATGAATGTACTATGTGTTATTTTAACGACTCAAATTTTGAATTGCATGCGGATTGCTGTTATAGCCGTAGCCGTAACTATTTACTGACTCATTTCTCACCTCGATAACGTGATGATTCATTTCTATTTAGAAAGTAATCGTGGAGCATTATTAATTATTATTACTGTAGTGATTCCATCCAATTAGTCACAGTAGTTATGTGTTGTTTAAGACAATATAGTGATAATATGCAACATAGAATTGTAGGTCTTAACCTTAATAAAGTAAACTATTGATGGATTATGGCTAGTAGGATAAAATAGCTCACATGTACAGGGCGTCCGGAAAGTCTGGAGAAAAAAGACTGTAAAAAAATCTGGACACATTTTTCATACAAAGCCATATAAAATGTGTCCAGACTTTCCGGACGCGCTGTACTATGGATCATGAACTTCTACAAATATGCCCTGTGTAGATAGTATTTAAGGTATTTATGTTATCTCTAAAGGTACATTCACATAATGAACTTTTTTATGGATAGGGACTCGAGACAAGACAAATGATTATGTCGTCCGTATTCCTGTTCCTGGTTAATAAATGGCGTTAAATTAATTCATTATTTTTTATTTTTAATACGTATCGTATTCATGTTGCGTAATGGATGTCGCTTCTTATCGTTCACGTTACTATATGGATCGTTGTTATTAATGTGAAAGCTGTAGCCAGCTCTGAAATAAACTTAGTTCTAAACCTAGCCCATGATGTGTCTTACACAGAAAGTAATCTGGGAGTATGACGAATGATTGCTGTAATGATTTCAGCTAATTACAGTAGTCATGTGTTAGGGAATACAGTGATAGTATGCAGTGGAGAACTGTACTGTATATCTTAAGAAAGTAAGTGTTGATTATGGCTAGCAAGATGAAACGGTTCACATGTACTTTTACATTCAGATTATCCGATAGAGAGAAATAGATTTGGTTGGTAAGTGATTCCTCTAAGTAGTTCACTGTATAAACAAGATGTATCTGGCCAGCATGTTTCGAGACTACAATTAATTATAATATAGGAAGAGAGAGCTTGGCGATTTATAATGATACCTTATCTTGATTTTATTTCCTATCTCTTTTTAATTCAATTTTCGGAGTGTCTCATCTATGGTCTACACCACGGAGTTTGTAGAGAAATCCAAAGTTCGCCACTCTGTGATTCATTACACTTGGAATGTATTTATAAGGATACTCTTTAACTTTACATTTATATTGGCTTAGTACAGTACATAGTTGTTCAATGAAGTACGAATCAGTCATGTAAAGTCCAGTAAAGTGTATTTGGCCAATGGGTCACCACATTAAGTATTAAGGACAGCAAAACAAGAGAAGAAAGGAATTGGAAATCTCCTTTTGGTATAAACTATTCATATTAACTACGGTACAGTTGCCGCTAATGTCATCTGATGATAAAACCTGGCATAATATTACGTAAAATAACAAATAAGTATTTTCGTGGAGTAATAGGAGAGGCATCCTAGACTTTGTAGTAAGATCTTTTTGCAGTTGTCCATGATATTTTTTATGCATTTGATAAGTACTACCTAGAAAATTTTTATCTAGATTTTTATTTCAGTGACAATTTAATTACATAATGCCATACAATTAGTATCATAGAAAGCACTATTTAACATTGTAGTCGAAATACAAACAAACGTAGAGTGAAATCCTGTTCAGTTTTTTATACGAGTATAAACTTTTAATGTATAGCACATTGGACGGCTGACAAGAAATAAATCAGATGTCAATTTTAAATTTACTACTTGTAATCGAATCTGACACATAACTTCTAGCGTTAAAACGAATTCTCCAGTAGTTTCAGTTGTTCGATACAGATACTGCCCGTTGGTATATCTTAGCACAAAATACATAAAGTGATATACATATTATAACAATAATTCAACAACAAATGTTGAACTAGTTATTACAATTATTTTACAGTGGGTCCTAAATTTTTTTAATCCTTCTTTTTCTGTAAGATTTCGCATTCGAACATAATTGGCAAGAATACTCCTGCGTAAGAAGTACAAATAAATGTTTTAATGCAGAAAAGAAAAAATTAAATATTGATTGTAAAGTTAACGTAAGATTAGATATATGTAGCACTTACATTTTCACGAGCGGGTAAGCAATCTTTATGATAAGCATGTCGGCAAAAAAACATAACAACATCATCGTCCATACGTTGATCTAAGATATTACGAGATAACTTTAATTGACGTACAAGTGATTTAGACCGATGTTGAGAACTTAAATTCCTTTATAGGCAAAATTTAAGCAATGACTTGTGATGAAAGATTATAAACTCGTTATGCGAGGTAAACATACTTAAAAGCAGGCTCCTTTGACAATTCGGACATTTAGTAAATTCTAAAATAAAAATTTAGAGTAAAATCAGAATGACAAAGTTGGACAACATCAATGTTCCATCTTTTGAGCGCTCTTTTTATAATGCTAAATATCGCTCAAATATATACTATTACATACCGTCAGTGTAGAATCCTCTCCGTTGTGTCTTCGTTAATTTATCAAATAGTAATACACTAAAAATGTTCAAGTATGCATTAATAAACCTACTCTGAAGAAAGGCCATTAACGATTTCCATCAGGTTATTAACCAAATAAAGAGAGTACGATAGTTTCAGCAGTAATCTACGAGTAAACATCCTTACCTATCATTAACTAAAATTTTCTTACAACCCTCTTGTAAGGAAATCTGTGTTACAAAACATAAATCCAGTTTAACTCAATTCTAAATTACCCATACAGTATAAATAGAACCGATTCACCTGAAGTTTGTAATCCTGCAAGATTTTCACTAACGAATCCCTTAGTCCTGGTATTTGTAGTCCGGATGGTATCTTCTACATGATCGTAGGTATCGATTTAGTAAAAAATAAACAATTGACAATATTTCAACGCAATATGCTTAATACTGTAATTCTAAAATTTATGTTAAGACTTACTTCAATTATCATGACTGGATTTATATGGCTTCCAACGTTATGCAAAAGGCTTGTGATAAAATCTATATGTGGTAATTATTATAAATACTTTCAATCAGTACCAGCAATAAAGCTGCTATAAATAAGCTAGTACAATGCATCATCTAACGTGGTTTGTCCATTGAATATTCTACTAGTTGCTGCCAGAGCTCCTCTTCATCTTTTTCTTTCGAAAATTCGATGGCCTTTAAATCAATTCCAATTGCTGTATGAGTTAAATTGCAAGAAGAATAACATCGTCTAATATTTAGATAACTTACGTAATCGATATCATGAAGTTCTGATACAATAATAGTTAGAGCTTCCTTAGAATTTCCCATTCGATCTATGATAGTGGGGTAGTATCGTTACAACATCTTTCAGTATACAAGATTTCTAGATAGTTTGATCTTTAAGAAAACATAGTCCCATTACGTAATTTACACCGATAAGTAGTACCTAATAGGAATACCAACTCCTGAAAGAACTTCCGTTCCTTGCATATCGTATACGCCTATTAAAGTAAAACAGCAATGGTCATCGTAAATCTAAGGTGCAATTGACAGTAATTTTTCATATGACAATACATCATAAAGTAGAATCGAGACAAGTCATACCTTTTTCAGAGAATAGCTGGTACTTTTCTTGAGAAAGTGTAATAGCTTTTTTGGCTCATACTCTGCATATAGTTCAACCTACGAAATAGAAATAGTTTATAGTCTTAAAAATTTTTGATAACTTTTATCATCTATAATTAGACATCACAGATACCTGTAATTCATGATGATCCTTGGCAATATTGGGATCTTTTTCAAATAGCTTATCTAGATACTGTTACACATATAAAAAATGTTTATCACAAATAAAAAACTTTAAATATGAAATTCCTATAACTCAAATATTTATTTCAATTAATTCGTCAACTCTTTGAATCCTTACCGCAAGTTGTAAATGTTTCAGTTGATCTAACATTTTAACAACTACTCCAATCTGAAAAAGCAACGTCAGTGGTAGTGTAATAAATATATCTTTAACAAATATTAAAATTGATAATAAATTTTGTAATTAAGATTTGAATTTCCTACCTGCATTTTATCTGTATTTTCTACAAGCATCTTCATAGCTCTCTAAAAAATTTACATTATTAGGTATGTCGAAAAAAATTTAAAGAAATAAAGTCAATCTACATATTAATTCCTATACTTACAACTTCCTGTAGTTGCATTAATCTTGGAATATGTTTCAAGACGGTTTCGTATAAATTATATTTATCGATAAGGTCGAATACATCTTCATGCCCAAGACTGTAAAAGATTGCAAATTGTCATAAGGCTGATACTTTAATTATGCAAAAGTAGTTAATAATGATAATCTTTACTCTAAGTATGTTCCTATGGCGTCTTCATACTGTCCTTCTTGGCAGTATCTGTAAGAAATGGTATGTATTAGCTTAAAGAAATAAAATTTCTAAGATATGAATCTTAAAATTTCTAACAATATTGCCAAGGCAGCTCGCATGCTTCTTAGTTGTTTCGCTGTATCAAGTCTTTGCTTTTGCAACATTGTTCTATATTGTTGCAAATTTGCGCTCTTGGGTGAATTATCCTGGTTGGAATCTATTATTTGATCTTCACTTTGTGACAATTGCTGGTTTAGCGTTGTAAGCTTCTGTAGTGCTACAGATACTTCTCTCTATTAATAACAAATAAATTAACATAAAAGTCTCTCTAGCAAAATCATATAAATTAATCGAAAGTCATGTAGACAACAACTTATCATTTACATTCACGGCCGTAACTATAGTTTCAAAATCGTACAAATCTTTTGGCCAAGTCTTTATCAACGAATAAAATCCCTAATTGAAAGAGAATACTCCATTACTGACAAACAATATACAAATAAATGTTTTAAATTTTTACTTATTACTTTCGTCTCACCTCTATATCAGTTTTTAAATAATCATCAAGGATAAGCTCATAAACATACTGATCTAGTCTGAATGAACCAGTAGGAACATAAAAACTAATTTCCTATCCAAAAGAATCATTGTAATTACTATACAATGCAAATGTTATATTAAAAAAAAAGGAATTATTGGAAAGAACTTATTTAGTGGCATACTTTAAGTTTTTGAGCAAGCTTAAACTTTTCAATTAACTCTTCCCATGCGTTTTTGTCATTGCCCATGTATTTGACTGATTTACTATAACACAAATTAGGTATTAATTACTATTTAATAAGCAGGTAGACTTATACGGAACAGTGTAGCAAACTTACATGGCTGCAGCTTTGTAATTCTTAGAAGTAATTAAGTAATGGACAAATTTGACTCCAACACTCTGTGAAATAATAGAGAAATGGCATAGTGAATTTTTAAATTCGCGATAAATGAAAAATTGCATGAAATTAATTCTCAAACACACACACCTTCACGGAGTGTCTTTGAAGTCTTAACTTTTCAGTAAGAGCCAAAGCCTCCTAATAAATATAAACCAGCTTAGAGCGAAACTGATAAACGAAATAATTAATATCAAAGAATAGGTTATAACATATAATTCTATTTCGTTCGTAACTATTCGTTCTTAAACGTATTTATACCTCAAAATTTTCATGCATAATTAACCAGTCTATATGATCATCTTGGTCTCTGGGCTAAAATTAAAATACAAAGTTTGAAATATACAATCAATAGTAAAATATTTTTTTCATGAACTCTTTGACGCACAAGAACAAAATGTTAATTGCGTAGCATAATCTCTACCTTGGCAATGATGATATCTTTTGGAGTGACTATGAAGAGTTGTGATTCGCATTCATCCCTCACTATACAACATTAAATTTACATAGACTGGCTCAGCGGAGTCATTTTAAAAACCCGGTAAGAAAGCATACTTCAAAAATCATCAATTAAATCGATGATACTGTAATCCGACACGTTTATCAGTCAGTAAGTACCTAAGGAATAATCGAAACATCTATACTTTCGAAAATTTTGAATGGGTAATGAATTAGAATGTTCTTCTTTCTTTTTGGGAGCATATAAATCACCAATGATTCGTAACTGAGGCCTTCTAGCATCTTCTTCGTCCTGAAATTATAATTTAGCCCATAAGCTATACCATATAATTTTAATATTCAATAAAAAGCACAAACCCATTCTAAGTCATCGTCTTCCTCGGCTTCCTGTCTATCTCTTTCAACTGCTTCTTCTGTTGGTAAACATAATATGGCCTATAGAACAATACGACAACTTAACTATACGAAATCAATTGCGATAATTTAGAACATATGTATACCATTTTATCTTCGTATGGAACTAATCCACACAAGTGTGCATCCGCTACTTTGAAAACGGAAACTATTCGTGTATAACAATCAAATCAAGAAAGTCAATAGTTTGCTTGAGATCATAGATTAATAAGAAAAATAGCTATACCGATTTCCACAAAATAAAGAGGCATATTTGTTGTAAGCATCTGAGGTTTATGAGATTCTGTTTGTTCCTTTATTGCACAAATCTATACACGTAATGTACGGAAAGTATGTAATGGTGGTTTAATGATCAGTCTAGCCCGCTAACTTGGGTAACGTTACGATGTAAGCCACTTTACGCTAGGTTATAATTTTATATATACAGTATAAAACGTTAACTTCTCACCTTGACAGAGTCTATCGAACCTACAACAAACCTACGGTCATTGATCCAGTTGATAATCGTAGGATAGAGCTCGGGTCTAAAGCTATTTGAAATTAGGATTAATTAAGGGTTTGTTTAGTAAAGCTAAATTGCAACGAAGCAACTGCCATTTTATACGTATGTCATAACAGGAAGAGTAAACGCACTCATTTGTCGTAGGTCTTTGAATAATTGAGATTAATCCTCTAGCTAAGGTGTCGTATACTTTGACCAGGAACTAAAAGATGAAAGATTTGCACAATTAGAGCATTTCAATTAGATTTTCAGATCACGATAAAGTATAAAATATAAGGTGACGATAACAATACATGATCGTACTCGTCATCACTCAAGTAGTACTAAGTCCCTTACTGCGCTATTAGACCACACGATAAAACGATCTCTCCATCGAACATTAGTTACTGTGCCTTCACCACCATCAATAGCTTGAAATTTATTTCGTCCCAGCCAATCAGCAGATACTAGAGATAGCTAAAAGACACCCCACCGATTAACCATTTCAACGAGCTAGAATTAAGCTATTATTGAAATAAGAATATCTGCAAACACTTCTTACTCTGTCACCATGACCAATGACATAGGTTTTAGATTTCAAACGGGCAAAATTTGGAGCTAGTGCTAATGTCTATAAACGAAACCAAGAAAAGTGATGGCTGTATAATACACGTACCTAGTAACTCAATGCAACCCGATGTGACTCATGTAATGGGTAGTTATTCTACCTTTGTAGGACGATCGAAAGACAGGACTACAGGGCTTTTTGGCGAGAAAACCGTGATAATTGAGATCTATGATTGAATACAAAGACGATTCAGTTAATTTCTACACATGAAATAATCAATTGTGGATATATTTCGTTAACTTTCGTATGTTTTACAGTTTTTTGTTACTCGTTAATCTCTCATTGTTTATTTGTAAATCATGCTGATAACAATTCTGACAGTACCTTTCCATCATCAGAACAGCTACCTATGACTTCCCCATAGGTGTCAATACTAATGTCGCGAATTGCACCACCATGCTTAAAATGATCCCAAATAAAAGCAACATCAGACATTGATGATGATAAAAATTTACTGTAGCAATCTCATGAACGATCTGGAAGTTAATTCTACGCATTATCACTTTCTAAGCAATAGTTTTATAATAAAAGAAGTTATAGAAACAGTCTGCTAATATAATGTCATATTTTATACTTACAACATTATCATACTTTGCAATACAGTTACCCATGGAATCGAGCACAAATACAGTGCCAAAATCGGTACCAATAGCTAAAAACTGTTTGGGTCCAAATAAGACATGCTTAATTCAACCGATATCATATCGAGGCTGATATAAAACTAAATAGTAGATTTTGATTTGTTACCTTTGTATGAACAGCAAAGCAAGTTGTCGCTCTATCCTTCATAATATTAAGAAATTCGTTGCCCAATTGAGAGTACTTGAACAAAGGTTCATCTTCATCTTCATCTTCATCTTCATCGTCTTCATATTCATCATCACCTTCGTTATTATTCCTCTGCGAGATATTACCTCGATCGTCATTTTCGTCCTGTTACGATATAGAGAATAGAATTATATAGATTCAATCAATTCTATATGATTGCAGAAAGACTAGACATTAAAATAAAATTTTGCATCAAGTACAGTATATTGAATTAGCCGAAAACTCAAATATTGTGTATTCAAGATTGAGGATCTTTGCTAGTTGTTGTTTCAGTGACAAAATCAGTCATTGATAAGTGAAATTCAATATCTGAGAGCGATGTGAATTTGTAAATTAGATTGAAGTGAGTAGTATGTTATTACTCTCTTACTTGAAACTATGCTCATTACGTTATTCTTAGCTATGTTTTGCAACGGTCATCGGCTCAACTGAGTGAAGATCACCGACACTACAAAGGGTACTTTCAGTGGATTAACAACAATGCGGAGTTGAATTTATACGAGTAATGTTGCGCCGTAAGCTGTAGTGCAAATATACTGATCGGCTCATGATGACAGCGATATCACAAGTTATATCACGGGATTGGGATTCATTTTTGTCGACGTGCTTGTACTTTCCTATGATCACAACAGTACTGTATTTACAACATGACTGATTTGAACTGTCTATTCAGCCATGGATGCATAAAATACAGTACAGGCATCAATGCAATAGCGTCATTTAAATATGAACCATTCTAGAGTAGGCTATATTATGATAGGAAGAATAGGAATAGAAATAGTTTTATACCTCCATCTCCGAGATAGCTAAGGTCTGGGGGTTGTCCGCCATGATCAAATCAGAGACTGTCAATCGGAAAATCGACAGTACAGTACACACACTTGTATTGTACCGTACAGTACTGTACTGTACTGTACTGTACTGTACTGTACATACTGCATAGTGTACAGTACAGTACTGTACAGTACGGAAAGTAAGTACTGTATAACAGTGTATTGTAGGACAGGCAGTGGCACTTGTTTCGTGTACGGTTTCGTGTACGGTTTCGACTGGTCATCAACATAAACGATAAGGTATATCCTAATCAATAAGACATCCGGTACCAGCAGAGATATATTAATTATTTTATTGGGATTATTTTATATAAGACTATTAATTATTATTCCAATCTGAGGAATTTTCGTAATAGTCTTTGCTTGCCATTATGAGACGGAGCTATCTACGAGTACTTTGCTCATTTACATTGTAACTGCTACGTCTACTATCCTCATCAATAAGACCATCCGGTACCAGCAGAGATATATTAATTATTTTATATAAGACTATTGATTATTATTCCAATCTGAGGAATTTTCGTAATAGTCTTTGCTTGTCATTATGAGACGGAGCTATCTACGAGTACTTTGCTCATTTACATTGTAACTACTACGTCTACTATCCTCATCAATAAGACCATCCGGTACCAGCAGAGATATATTAATTATTTTATATAAGATTATTAATTATCATTCCATTCTGAAGAATTTTCGTAATAGTCTTTGCTTGTCATTATGAGACGGAACTATCTACGAGTACTTTGCTCATTTACATTGTATCTACTACATCTACAATCCTACAATAATAATTCGCATAAGCTGTCAATTTGTTTCCAATGCGACGTCCATTCAATTGAACAGAATGTGTGAATTTGCTTATACTTCCACTTAGATGTATGGATAATTCATTTTAAAAATAACTGGTACCGAGGTCGCGATTTTCTCAATCAGATACGACTAACGAACAGCTTTATAATATTTTTACTTTATATCCTTGAACACATGAGCTGGTTCTGATACACTTTATTGCGTATACGAGTATAATAATTAGTTAATCTACATTACACTTAGAGAAACAGTGGACGCATAAAAAGTCGTCGACTTCTCATCGTGTCATTAGGAATACGTTAAAATATTCTTGAGACAACTATCATGATAAGATAATTATTTCATTGGTAGTAGGATGGAGCTGTCGTTAAGGACTTACTTACGTGAGGTTGTCCGCTATCCTATAATCCTATTCTGTAAATATAATTTATTACTCTGCATGATAACAGAGACGAAGCATGTATCAAAGCTGTCAATTTTTTCATCAAGTGAGTGGGAATACAAAGGACTAGCTAATATAGGGTGCTACATTTTGATAAAAATTTTCATTCGTTACCATTAACTCAAGTACAGTAATGGTAATCAACTGCAGTGCTGCATTACGTTGCCGAGTTATACATCATTATACTTTGGCCTTTGCTCTACGCGCATACTAGAGATGCAACGACAAGCATTCAATCGTATTACTTACAACATGGATTACTAGAGTAATTTTCTTCTAATTATCCATGCTTATAGTCTGTAGTCTCTTTTTCAACCCTATTTTAGGTGTAAACTGGCAAACAAGTACTGCTGTGTTACATAAACAAAGAAATTATTGATTGCGGAAAGATTGCTTAACCTTTTGCTTTACTATTGATTGCAATGACTACGGTACTATGGAATACATACTGGTGACCTCATCACGCTTATCCTGACCTTGGTGCGGTATTTCTTCTACTTTGCCTCATGGAAAGATTAACAGCCATGCTACGAAATATTATACAGTATAAGAATTGCAGTATTGAACCATTTCCATGTGATTAAATTCAACTACAATATACAACCTTAGCCATAATATCTAGGCGAATTTTATGCATTAGTTCTAGTTAGTCTCTTTCAGATTTTATGATCCGATTTTAGTTTGCGTCAATGATTTACGTAGATGTACACAACCGAAACATACTATCGTATTTTGGGGGGTTATATTACACCTTATAAGTGGACCCTGGCATGCATTGTAGAAAGATTGGATTGGCTATGAATATTCATGTTTATACAGAGTTTCATAGACGCAGTGATCACCTACGACCATATTAATTCCATGCTATTACAGGCGTTGCTTTCGCAAAATAAGTATTATCTTTTCTTACTTGGCTACGGTACGCTTGAAAAATTATCAGTTTATATATATGGAAAGTGAATCAATGGTGCATTTCTGGAATTAATTGCAATTATAATAACATGCTGGCGATATTTTGTAAGTCATCCATGCTGCATGATATTTTAATAGCGCCATTAGTCTATTCCTTGTTTATTTAAGTTTAAAGTTTAAAGTCCACTAAAACTGAATAGTAACTCTTTGGCCTTTGTAAGGGCTAAAGTGAGAAATTATTTTACCTCTATGGGTTGAACTTCCTGAACTAATTACAATGCGTTAGACAAGCGGTAACTGATAAAACGATAAAATCCTCTAATAAAATTGTAGATTACGCATAATCCGAACAAGATCTTACGATATTTAATTACATTATATCAGTCATTATAAATACGTATTACTAACTTTGCTTAAACAGAAGCATAAGTTAGTTTCACCACATTCTAAAGAAATTGGTTCAAAATCTTCAAAACATGGATAAAAGTGATCCCACTACTCTCGATTGTGACAATCCTACAAAGGTACAACGACGCTATAGGTTCTATTTCTTATTATTGAGCCAAATAAAATATTGCGCTCTATTATGATAATATTACACATAACAAAAAATTATATGCAAGTCTTTTTTTCCATTCTATTATAGAAGATCGAAAAAGATGTACCACTTGATACAGCCTTTTGGTTTCCTCGCACGGTTTCATTTTGGTAACGGAATATTTATCTGTGAATTTTAAAGTAATAGTTCATACTACCGTATGCAGAAATTATTCTTATACCAAGATAGACCGCAATATCATGAGTACGCCTTAAGTAGTATGAAAATAACTGGGTAATCAAAAAAATACTTGCTAACCCGCAATCTAGAATTAAATCTATAGCTTTTGTTAAGTATCCTTAATTGCACAATTTGGCTAATCGGATACTGAAGGGAGAGCTTACTCGTATATGCCGGTATCGCATAACCCCTGTAATCTAAACATAATAATAATATAATATTTATCTGATTGATAAACTCAACCCGAACGGATTTTAAACACATTAAGTCAGAATAGGCAAAAAAGCCTCTACTGTAAAGAGATCTTTAACTTATATTATTATCATAAATAGGAGTTTAATTGCTATTACGTTAACCATGACGGAATTTAAGCAACAGTCAAAATATGATGTCAAGAAATTGGAGTGCTACTGTTGCTTCCGGTAGCATGCCGATGAGGACATTATCGATTTACTGTATATCATAGTCATTTCTCGAGGTCTATTTCACTAATTATCTAATTATGAGACCTGCAATGGTATCTATTAATCTATAGTGTTGTAATGTCGTTTAAAACGTAATTTAATTCCTATTACATCAACTACTTTACGATCGCCAGAAAATCGTACAACAATGATAGTTTACATTAGCTATCATATTTCTTTACCAGGGCTATAAAATCGCCATTTCAGAGGCTATAATAATAAATTTCGTACCCATACAATCGGTTAGAAAGTAAGAACTTTTAATTTTTAGCTAGCATAGTCACTAATCTTATTGATTATTAGGTGGTTGAATAAATTATTTCGAATAAGTTCAAACAGAACACTTGAAGTAGAAGATCTATACCAGCTAAGTTCACGTGACAAATCGGATGTTCTTTTGAAAAACTTTGATCAGTTAAGGATTATAACTGCTGTATATAAAATAAATCTCAGTAATTCTGAAAAAAATTTTACGAAGAAAGCTAGCTTTAATCTAAGCTGTATTCATTTTTATTACTACTTCATTCAGAGAATGGAATAAAGAACTAGAAATTCGAAATCATGGTGGTAAAGCAAGTTTGTTTCGGGCCTTAGTGAGGTTATTTGGAACAGGCTACCTGTTACTTAGTATACCTTGTTTTATATCGGTAATATTTCATTCTAAACTTTATTTAAAGTAATCATGTACTGCTGCTCCTGTATCACGCCATAACTGATATTGAATTACTTTATTTATCAAGTAATTTCTGAAGCGCTAGTACCATAATAGAGCTCGTAACATTTATTATTACCAATTGTGCCATAAAAATTAAAATAGTTTCTATATGAACATTTTATAGCTAGCTGGTAGGAGCGTGTATCCTATCTTTATTGGACTTCTTGTTGGATGTTTTTCCCCTCAGTCGACTGCCACTAAAACCGAAGCCTACCTTTATACTTTAGGTTTATGCTTATCAATATTTTTTATCGTTATTTTCGAGCAACCATCATTCTTTGGTGCATATAGACATGGTAGCCAAATAAGAGTAGTTCTGACAACGGCCGTTTATAGAAAGGTAACAAATCACAACTTATAAATAGTGTATCTATATTATGATAAACTACAAATCACAAGGAATTTGAATTCTTCTATCTGTAGATTTTATATTAATATAAAATTTGACCTATCAATTTACTGTATACGTATCATAGACACTAAAATTAGGTAGTGGAACCATATCGCAAATTACTACTGGCCGAATCATCAATATACTAGCAAATGACATGTTAAAGTTTAACGATGCAACGAAATTTCTACAATATCTATGGGTTGGTGCTATAGTCGGAATAGTTATGCTCGTCATTTTATGGTTGCAAATTGGTATTGCCTCGCTTGGAGTTATCGTTGTGCTGATTGTTACTATAGCTTTTACTACTATAATAGCTTCTTTTCTTGCGAGAGAAAGGTTAGGGAACTTGAATACAGTATGCACAAATATCCTTTTTAAAGGATCTATGCACTTGTTAATACTTTTTTTCATGCTATTATGTCTCAATTAGATTAAATGTATATAAAAGTAATACGCAGTTATCCTTTATCATCCATTACAGAATAAGTTATTTAAAATATGCAGACGAAAGGATAAAGGTTATGAACGAAATTATAACAGGAATGAGAGTAATCAAAATGTATGCTTGGGAGAAATCTTTCGCAAAATATATCTCTAATGTTCGAAAGTAAGGCGAAAATATATGGAATTTATTTTTAATAAAATCTAGTTATAAACCAATTACTAGAGACAAGAAATTAAAGTTATAATGGAAAACTGTGGATGTTACTTGCATTACTATGATATCTAAATATAGAAATGAACCATAAGATTCTTTTAAAATCTATATGTACATAGTACCGGTACTCATAACCTTTTAAATTTAAATATAATATTTGTCAATTTATTTTAAGGAATGAAATTAAGCATGCATTCAGGATTGCATATTTGAGAGCAGTCTCGATTTCAATGCAATTTGTATCACCTGCATTGATGTTATTCTGCTCTGTCGTCGTTTATGGCCTATTTGGAAATCATTTAGACGTTGCAAGGATCTTTACAGTTTATTCCTTAGTGCAAGGCATTCGAGCAATTTTTATGTTTATCATACCAGAATCAATCCAAAATATCAAAGAAGCTTCGATTTCATTGAAACGGATTGAGGTTCATTTCTAGTCTGTTTGATCATTATAGTATTTACTCTATCAAATCACGTATTAATTAAAATCGTTTCGTAATAAAATTTACTAGAATTATTGATCGAAAATGTGACATTCTTTGTTTAATTTATAGGATTTCTTACTATCGGATGAATTGCAACCTTTAAATGAAGAAGAGAGTGAAAAAAATCGAGATGTCACTCAAGCAGCACCAATACAGATTACTAATTTATCTGTTTGGTGGTCAGATGAAAGTAGACCGATTCTTAAGGATTTATCATTCAGTATAAAAAAAAATGAATTATATGCAATCGTAGGACCTGTAGGAAGTGGTAAATCAACACTACTAATTACGCTTTTAGGTGATGTGAAAACATTTAAGGGTCAATATTGGTAAGAATTTAAAGTTGACAAGAATAAAATAGCATTTTCCATTTCAAGGATATTTGTATAAGCTATTCCTTTACATTTACGAGTTTGTATATTTTGAATAATGATTCAGCTATAGTAAAAATTGGCGAAGAATAGATCAACTAACATTTTATGCTTTTGCAATATATCTTTAAGTATTACCGATATTTTATTTATCATAAATCCCTATTACTGCCAAGATTATCTCATCTAATTTGTATTATTGTACTATGCAAACAGTAAGATAAGTCGCGAAATCCTCTTATATAATATGTATCAGAAAGTCAACTGTACTTGTAAGACTACATCTTGTATTATAATTTATTTCTTTTGATGCATTGAATATCTGCATCGATATTTACACCATGGCGCAATCAAGCACAAAAACAGTACCGTTACGGCCAATTCACAACCGCATCTTGGATTTACGTATATCATAAAACGTCTTGAGATCGCTTAAAATATTTACTATATTACTATACATTTACACAGCCAATTACTGCTTTTACGACATTATTTAATACTTGACTTTTCAAGCACACATAATACAGTACCATGTTACTTTACAGGATACAAGGAAATATTGGTTATGTATCCCAACAGGCATGGATCATCTCTGATACGCTAAGAAATAACATTCTCTTTGGCCAAGAATATGATGATGAAAAATATAATCAAGTTATTAACGCTTGCGCCCTTAGAAAGGTTTATGAAATAAAATATTGACTTGTGATGTATATCTCTAGTTTAGTTATGATATTTCAACAGGCAGGCTCTCATAGGCTTATCTACTATCCTTTGAACCAAATGCTAGGATTTAGAATTATTACCTAATGGTGATATGACATTCGTCGGGGAAAGAGGAGTACAATTAAGTGGTGGCCAACGCATGAGAGTTCACCTAGCTAGGTAATTTTGGATAAGTTTGGCTTACTAGTAATAAGTAATTTATACTGTCATAACGGTTCAAGGTTAATTCTCTATTTCTCTGTGACTGCTGAAATAATAATCAAAATTATGCTTACCTTCCTCAGGGCTGCTTATTATGATGCCGATGTTTATTTGCTTGATGATCCTTTAAGCGCTGTCGATGTTGATGTTGCAAATCACTTATATCAACAGTATGTAAACTTTTTAAACACTCTTCAGTAAATTTATTCTTGCTTGATTAAATATATTACGTTATGCTAAGATGATCTTTCTGTTAAACGATATCTGAAATGTTTTAAATATTGTAGATGCATTTGTGGCCTTTTAGCTAAAAAAACACGTATCTTGGTGACACACCAATTACATCATTTGAGATCTGCAGATCAAATTATTGTATTGAATGATGGAAGTATTGAATATATTGATACATTTGAAAATTTACAACTGAAATCCAGTATATTTTCCATGCCTGCACAAGAGCAATCACCAGATGCAGAGAATGACTACAGAAAAATTAAGTTCGTTAAATTATAGTGTGATGCAATCGTTACATGTATGTATTTTAAAGTGTTTTTGCTACGGTGATTAATAAGGGTAACTCTTTATTACGATATATTCATGTAGTAGCTTGGATACGCCTAACTTTGAGAAAAAAAGGACAGAATCTTATGCCAATAACAAGGTTGGTATAAAATTTGGGCAATAAAGTACTACAGAAAAATTAGTGCTAAGATATTATCTCGTACTAATTTTATTGTCGCTAGGATAAAAATGGACAGGTGATAGAAAAAGAAATTCAAAAGACAGGCAGTGTATCTTGGAGATTTTACATGAATTATTTTGTTTCGGCATTTGGGGTAATACCATCAGCGATAGCCTTGGTCATTTTTTTCCTTACACAAGCGTCCCTTAATGTTACTGATTGGTGGTTTTCAAGATGGTCTACGGCCTATCAAAACGCATCTCTATCGAATAATGGTTCAATAACAATAAATACTGTCATTCTATTTGAGCTATCTAACCTCAATGTAGTCGGTATTTATGCCGGGTTGTTAGGAATATCGATTGCGTTGGTGTTTTTAAGATCATGGATTTTAGCTCGGATGGCAGTCAAGGCATCAGAACAGTTGGAAAATAAATTATTTCAATCAATATTGCGAACTGTAATACATGTTTTCGATACTTATCCGTCAGGTTTGTCGATTTTTAGTAGATGTTATTTTCCTTATGATGAATGCTAAAATAAATTAAAATAGCGAAAAACTGACAATACTAGAATTATTGAACGGAAATGTCTATGATACCTATAAATCAAAATTATCTACGCAAGCATAGATACTAGAGTATTCGAAATATACTTTAGATATTACAATATTCGAGAAGATTTATTTTTATTCAGTGCACTAGTAATCAATTTGTATCATACCATCGACAAACTTGCATTAAATTGAAACTGTTGATGTCAGTAAGTCCATGTTATCCTTAATTTAGGACAATTTAACTTATCCATGAAGGTATACCGATAGGCATTGGAGCATTAAAAGCATATTTTAATACCACAACCTCAGAGCAGGTTCTATTTTTTAAGTTACATATCTGAGTAGTTAAAAACATATTAGAATGGCAATAGACGTACAATAAATGGAATCGTTGACCTGAGATGCTTGTATTTTGCGTATTAGTACAATAACTGTATAATTATCTATGCGAGTATACAATAGGCAACAAAATATTTAGAATACCGTTCGGATATTACCATATTGCGAGGATAATTATGGATCTAATTGCTAATATTGGATGGAATTTTATGCGTCTATTTAAGATCAAAAATTTAGTTGTACATAATTTTTAAATTAGGAAGAATTCTAAATAGATTCTCCAAAGATTGTGCCCAAATGGACGATAATATTGGCTACAGTTTAATGTTCACGGTTCAGGTCGCTTATTTTTATAAATTAATTTCTATTTGTTTTATTGCATATGTCTTAATTAATTCTGCTACTTATGCTTTCATTTTCTTATATATTTTAGCTGATAATCTTAAGATGATCTACGTAATATTAATTTTAAGGATTGCTAACTACTGCTGACTACTACTTTATAACATATATTTAGTGTATCTTGCTAATCTTTGGGCAAATATTAACTACTGCAATAATAAACCCTTGGATGCTAATTCCAATTGTAATTGTCACTATACCTTTCTTAATCCTGAGAAAGTATTATTTAAATCTATCAAGAGATGTTAAGAGACTAGAAGCTGCAGGTTAGTAGCTCCTATTATGTTAATTAAGTACTAACTTAAAAATTTTTCAATATTGCATGTGACTTTAAATCTATTCGACTAAAATCTAAGATAGCAAGGCCTGATTGACTCCTTTATTTACGTTATGTACTGAAACTGGCGATATGCTTATAGGTAGTAGCCCCATTTATAGCCACGTATCAACAACACTACAAGGTTTAACTACCCTTAGAAGCTATGGTGCTAGCTCAAGATTTTTACAAGAATTTCAGCATCACTTAGATAGACATACACAATCTTGGATAACCTTTATTTCCTCAATTCGATGGAACTCTTTCCATGCTGATTTCTTAAGCGCATTACTAGTAGCTGGTGTAGCATTTGGTCTAGTTCTTTTACCTGAAGGATGTGAGTAAAACTTTTCTGTTAACAATACTATTACATTATATATCTAGGATTCATTAATCTTATCGATTTGTTCTACAATCTGAAAGAGATTTGCTTTTTTGATATCGCTAGCTATAAATGTTGGATTAGCAGCGCTAATTATAAGCTATTCTACAAATCTACTGGGAGTCGTAAATTGGACTATCAGAACAAGCTCAGAACTAGAGAATCAGGTACAAAATTTGTGAAATATAGTCTATTGATAAAACGCTTAAATATGTCGCGAGGATTATACTATCAAAGTAGTTGAGACTTTATTTGATATCGCTGATCAAAAAATACTGCCCATCAATTTGTACATTTTACAGATGACATCAGTTGAACGAGTAGATGAGTATACCAAATTGCCGAAGGAGAAAGAGTTCTATCAGAAAGATGACCCTAAGTCCGAATGGCCAAAATTTGGTAGGATAAAATTTGAAGATGTTTCCTTTGCTCATTCCGAGCATTTGCCACTCGTTCTTAAGTCAATAAGTTGTGAAATCAAGCAATACGAAAAAGTAAGAAAGTCTATTTTGTTATTTGAAAATAGTCTATCCAGGACTAATGTGTTAAAAACCGTCAAAAGTTATTGTTGTAGTGGAGGATGAAATTATAGTAATATCATTTACAAATACTGAGCCAACCTACAAATATGAAATTGCTTGAATTATGCAAATACATATACTCGTAGATCGGAATCGTTGGACGTACTGGTGCTGGAAAATCTTCGCTTATAGCATCGATGTTTAGATTGGCTGAACCTCGTGGAAAAATATTAATTGACGATGTTGTCATTAACAATATAGGATTGAACTGTTTAAGAAGTGCAATATCAGTTATACCACAGGTATACGCATTATAAGTCAGCTAGAGTAACGAAATTAAATCATAAATAAAGCTGGAGTGCAATAATCTTATTGAATCAATTTATACCGCCTTAAATTCTAGTTACTTATTATGCATTAGAATAAGAAATAGAAATTATTTATCCCATGTATTTATCATTTATAATTTAGGATCCAGTATTGTTTATTGGCACAATCAGGAAGAACTTAGATCCATTTAACTGTTACAATGATGATCAATTATGGAAAGCATTACATGAAGTAAACAGAAAAATCAACAGGAATAATTGCCCAAATATTTATAGCCTCCATAGATTCGTATCTTATTGGTTGATGATATACATTTGTAGCTAATTCTTTTTACTATTCTGATAGGTTGAAATGGGAGCTTATGTTAGCCAATTACCGAATAAACTAAGTAATGAAGTGGCTGAATTTGGTGCAAATTTTAGTATAGGTCAGAGGCAGTTGTTATGCCTTGCCAGAGCAATACTTAAGAATAATCGGATATTACTTATTGACGAGGCAACGGCCAATGTCGACCTTGCGTAAGATTATTTCATAAATTTCTTTTAGATACAGAGTAGTGGAATTCTAATATATTAAACAGCTATATCGATTTGCAATTGGGTCTCAATTAGAACGGATGCAATTATACAACGCACTCTTCGTGATAAGTTTATTAATTGCAGCGTATTGGTTATCGCTCATCGTTTAAGTACCATCATCGATTGTGACCGAGTTATGGTAAATCAAAATTATAAATTTTTGTAATTGATACTAAAACTGATCATATAAATATTTGGCAATAATTCGTACACTGATGAAAGATTAATTAAAGTTTTATTAACTTGATCTTAAAGGTGATCGAAGCCGGAAGGATCGTTGAATTTGATTCGCCGTATGTATTGTTACAATCTGATGGCTATTTTAACAAGTTAGTAAATGAAACAGGTACTGAAGAATCTCGCAATTTAAGACATCAAGCTGAAAATTATCATCACGATTAATTATTAAAGGTAGAATAGAGTATAGTGATAATTCATTTATGGTCAATTGCTTAGGTATAGGAGTAACGGACAAGGTGTGTCCATAGTTACAGTACAATCGTACATAATTCAAGCGGAAAAGTATTAAAATTCATTTATTATTTCGTTGTTAAAATTTCTTACGAAATAACATTTAGGGCAGCGATTGTCAGAATAGCTACAGGAATAATTTATTCGTGGCATCTTTGCAATATTATGATAAATAAAGCTTGCTAAAATGCTTCTTGTACGAATCTTAACGAGTAAATGCTAGTGCGATCATCTTAGCTAATGCTGTGTTAAGATCCTGTATTCAGTCAGTTAACATAGCATAAAACATAGAGCGTTTCTTGCAATCTACTTATACGATGTTTTACCTTTAAACCTGTAATAAATATAAGACTGTCTATAAACTTTTCATCTTGCTAATTATGGATAATTGAATATTTTGAGTTATTGATACAGTATGTACCTTCACCTGGTAGCATTAGATTGAATTGAAATTGCGGCAGCATAGTCAAACCTGATTTCCGATACTGAGCGAAAGAATCAACGAAGAATAGTTGGCTATTAACTGTTCTCACGTTATAAGTTAGAAAGTATTTATATTATGTTGTGGATTTATTACTATTACGTAGCTTTCTATGGTACAGTACTTGCTTTTTAGATTATTGGTATTTAAAGTATTATTAACGTAGCTTATTCATTCAATCATCCAATTACAGATTATAATTATTAATGTTGACTAACATGGCGCACATACACTTGCAAATATATCATATTGAGCTACATGATGCATTACATTATACATACGCATAGCTTTTAAATTTTCTAGTTTTATTAAAACCGCTATGCAAGATAGAGAAGACCTAAGACACTGTTACCAAATTCTTCAACTCTTGCGATTTGTAGTGAAACCCAGATTAGCTTCAGATTGAATTCATAATACGAGTATATGCGGGTGTTACGAATTGCCTTTTCGAACGGGTCTTAAAGATCTAAAAATGATTAAAATGGAACTGAACAGCTAATTTAGTGCTCGACCTCCGCCGATGGTGCATATGTTAGTATCTTAGACATAGCGACTTACACTGTTTAGTATAGGAATTTAGATGGAAGAAGTTAACATAAATCAGTGTAAGTTAACGCTAATTAAGAATAATAATTTTATTTGTGCCAATTAGAGCCTCAAGGCTCAGTACAAATTATACCTTACACTTAGGTATTAGTATTCAATTACTTAGACATTAACCTTATCAATAAACAAGTATTCGTTAACACTTATTAGACTACTGGAACAAACAACAATTTATATTAGATATTTTAACTAACAAGGCTTTTATTATTTCGAGCTTGGCTCCGTAACATCGGGTAAATCAAAGAACTTGCTGTAATAAGTTAGACAGTTGTCGACTGAAGATAGGTACCGTTAGGTAAATAGAGCTTTTTTTGATCTTACAGACGTACTAGCTTTGCTGATCTAACTAAGACCTCATTACACTTGGTATAGTTTGAAGAATCAAGTTTATGTAATGAAGTGAAATTTTACAAGAAATGCTAGTTCTTGTTGGAATACTTTGAGCATACTTTATTACATACGGAAAGAGATCTAGTCTACGATGTCTTTTTAGAGGTCATGTAAAGAGTGATTTTTCTCATATACCTCTGTATTGAGTCTGTATATACGAGTATAGCGCAGTATTATCAATTACCATTGGTATTGCGATAGTTTGCTGGCCATAATCTCCAGATTAGGACTATAAGGGGTTGAGTGGTTCATAGGATACTTCAGAAACTACGGACAGTGAGCTCAGATTCATGTATCCATATACCCTATCACTAGTTCTTGTTGTAATAATTTAAAGATACTGTATCATCACGTTCGGAAATAGACCTAGTCTACTAATACGTATAGTCCATAGACTACTAGAAATTTTTTTAGTAATCCATGGTAGTCCATACACCCTCACACTAATTCTTATTCCTATATTTCGAAGATACTGTATCATATACGGGAATAGACCTAGCCTACTAATTCATGGACTACTTGAAAATTTCTAGTAGTCTAGGGTAGTTCATACACGCTCATACTAGTCCTTATTCTAGAACTTTGAAGATACTGTATCACATAGAGAAATACATAGACCTAGTCTACTAATCTACGCACTATTAGAAATTTTTCTTGCAGTTCATATTAGTTCATACACCCTCACACTAGTTCTTGTTCTAATATTTTGAGGATACTATGCAAATTAATTATTCATTTTGCAAATTGCTAAAATTCTTCGTATTGACGGTAGTACATACATCTATACACCCTCACATTAGTTCTTGTTCTAATATTTTGAGCGTACTATGCAAATTAACTAGGCATTATGCAAATAGCCGGAATTCTTCGTACTGATGGTAGTACATATATCTATACACCCTCACATTAGTTCTTGTCCTAATATTTTGAGCATACTATGTAAATGAACTGGGCATTTTGCAAATTGCAAATTGCATTTACTGTATTTTGCAAATTAACTAGGCATTATGCAAATTATCGGAATTCTTCGTATTGATGGTGTTGCATACATCGATACACCCTCACCTTAGTTCCTGTCCTAATATTTTGAAGATAAGTAGGTATTTTGCAAATTGCAAATTCAATTTACGCCAACTGCAAAAGTGCAAATTGCGGGAATTCTTCATATTGACGGTGTTGCATACACCTATACACCCTTACACCAGTTCTTATTCTAATAGCTTGAAGATATATTACGATATGCGGAAATAGACCTGTAACGGTAATATTAAATTGTCTCTAGTTGTGTGGAACATGGTGTCAGTTCCTCCTATGTTAGCGCTATATATGCTATTGATTATCTATTGGTGGGAATCAGAAAGATGTAGCGGTGTTAATGGGCCTCTTGGCGAGAAGCGCAGGTGGAAGTCCTAGAAGATTGACTATTGGTCGAGGAGCTGAGGAACAAGGTTCGAGGCGATATAAACAAGACGCGGATCATGTTAAAGGGCTTCTATACTGTAGCCGTTACGATATACTATTTTGTATAGGGAAAATTGTGATAGAGTTTTGATGCAAATATTTACATCAACGATAGATATATAAGGAGGCTAATATAATTGTAGAGCTAGATAGATTCATTCATAGGTTAGCTTGGAGAAGTCATAGTAGATATTCTTTTGATATTCTATCTGTAGGTTTTAATGCCTGTATTTTAACATCGTAATAAAACTTTTTATATTAACGGAGTCTTACTCATTCTTGTGAGTCGATTGTAGTTAATATAGGGAAGTAGTATTACAAGAGCTAGCCATTGATGGCCTAGTCTTCTACTTAATAATTTATCTAGGGACTGCTCGAGATTTTTCTAGTAGTCCTCGGCAAAGATTCATTTTTCTCATGCAGGTGTCATGCACTGACTGCATCAGTATAAACTTCACACAGTTCCCTATACAATATACAGTACTAGCGCCATTGTACTAAGCACTATACTATAATCGTATACCATATTCATCGACCGTATATTGGATCTGGTATCCTATCATGGGCCGTAATGATACTTGCGTGGCTAATTATCTCTCTATGTTCAGTATATGGAATAGTCGACTGTTTAAGCACTCACCTAGCTCGCTACAATCCCTACCATCCATGTACTGTAGTTTACAGTACATACTGTACCACCCTGCAGTAGCAAGAGTGCTGCAGCCTCAGAGTCATGCAGTGAAATGAGAAATTGGCCGATAAAATGGCTGCAGTTGATCTAAATTTTATAAGCACAGTGGTAATAGAGTGCTAATAAACACTTAATGTCATTGGTAGTCTGATAATGCTAGTGGCTAGATCTTCAATAAAGAATTCTATTACATCCCCTCGTCCGGTAGATAACAAGTTTGCATAAATCAATGGAGCGATATGATCATAAGCAAGTTTCCACTCAGGTAAGGTTTATCAACGATGTCTGTAATCTTGCTTATTCCTACTGATGGATTACCTGTATTTTTGCCTACTTGCTGTTAAAAATGATGGAATAGTAAGCATATTTTATCTACCAGTAGAAATCTTGATGCAAAAGAGTCGTCATGGTAATAATTACAGTATTTATAGTGGAATGGAAAGATACACACTTTCATTGAATTGTATCGGATGCAAATCATCCATTCATTTCAGTGGCTGGAATTTCAGTCTTGAATGATATCCTTCTTTGCTATTAATAGAAAGACAATAAAAGAATTCCACTAGATACTGACTGCTGGTTTACTCGTGTGGTTTCTTTTTGGTTAGTATTCCTCCTCATCATTTATGAGTATAGAAATAAATATGCCAACCATCATCTCTTGCTAAATGGAATACAATAATACCAAATTATACTTTATCATACTTTTGCATTAATTAACTATATTTATCTATTATGATGAAAATTATACCATCTAAATTTGTAATATCGATCGAGTAAAAATAACGACCACTTCAATCTATTCAAAGATCTTCATATTCAAGGAAATTTCATATTTTGATTGCAATGCAGGTGGCTAAATAAATTAGTACGAATTAGTGCAAAGAGGCGACTCGAATTAGAAGATCTCTATCAGTTAAGTGATGCCGATAAATCGGACGCACTATTAAAGAAATTTGACAGGTAAAGTAATTAGCATAACCGAATAGAATAACGTAACTAGGCATATGTGATAAAGTGTCTTCAAAACAGTCGAACAAGATCCACAGTTTTTTGTAAACTTCACTTTAATACATAAATTAGGTTCGTCGAATAACTACTACCTAACTGCAATCAGACTATATAAATTATACAGCAAAATTCATCTTCCCACCCATAAGTTTAGCCCCACTTAATTAGTTATTGTAATCTTAAGCTAATTTGGGCCTGCACTACAGTAGCCAAATAGACACTTGATGCCTTATTAGAATCATTGAATAGGGATAACCTAAGGCTGCTAAACTTGATCACCAAATTCTATAATCATCAAAATAGGGAATGGGAAAAAGAATTAAAAATTCGAGATAATGGTGGTAAACCAAGTTTAATTCGGGCACTATTTAGAATCTTTGTCTTTGATTATTTTCTAGTTGGTATACCATGCCTTATTGCGGTAA